TCAATCGCAGTCCTTTTTGACAGTGATACTTCTACCACCTAATGCTTTCAAAAATCCCTGCTTAGGCTCTGTGATTAACGTGTTCTCTCCACTACTCTCTATTATTTCCCATATTAATGCAGCTTTTCATCATGGCGCTCCAGGCAATAGAAACCAACCCAGAAAATTAAGCTTTCTTGGACCAAATAGTACTGTTCCATCATATTAAAAACTTTGTTATATCTGATTATCCATGTCAGTTTGTAGTATTTGGAGATTAACATTTTTCTTTTATAGTCTTCATTGGTTGCTATAGATGGACAGCGGATGCTGACAACTCTTGCTCAAACCGCTGCCTTGTGTAAGAAACTTAGATCAGCTGTTCATTCAATTTTGAAAGAGTTGATTAGAAAGCAAAAGGTTTGATTGTGTGTCATTATTTGTAGTTTAGTTGTCTTCTTTCGATTGTTATAAATTTGAAGCTCAGTATATGTGAAATTTGTGCAAAAGCCTAAAGCCTTAAAGGTTCTTGGTATGGAATTTTTTTAGAGTTTATTTGTGTTCTAACTGAATTTTCATTGCCAAACTAATGATTGTTTCATAGTTCAGAAACATGGTATGCATGTTTGGTTACTTGAGCTGTTTCTTGAAGCAGGATATTATTTTCTTTGAATCATGTTTCTAGGTTAACTAGCCACATGCAGTTGCTTCTATATTTTTAAAGATTCATATTTGTTTCCCATCTTTCTTTGGCAAAGCTTGTGCCTGTAATGATGCATAACTTTTTTTTTTCTTGTAGAGTGTAACTATTGTAGATAATGAGGTAGTCAGGTTTATGATACATTAGTTGCTAAAGACAAACCCAAAAATAATTCATCATTATAGGTATATGATCATGCTTTGAGATTCATAATTTAGCTGGTGACTAATTGGCTTATTCATAATTCAGCATTATTCGACTTATTTGAAATTGATATGACCATACATGGCATTATGACTTGCTGTAACAGTTATACAGCATCAAGAGACATATGCATTTATGTAACTTGTTCAAGGATCTGGTTACTTGGAAGTGGAACCGATCTTTGTTTTCATTGGCTGTGCAATACTAAGTTCTTCAAAGAAGCATCAGGTTACTTTTGCATGGTCTGCAAAATGACGTGCTTCAGTAAGGTTGCCAAAATGAATTGATGACAAGAACTGCAAGTTAGCCTGAGTACAAGAATTCACTCTCTTGCCAGCATCTGACTTCTCTAAAAATTTTCTTTTATAACACTGTTCCTCTAAGAATTCACAATTTCTTGAGCATTTTATGATGTTCATGTAAACACCTGTTATTGTAATGTTCTCCTTACCATGCAATGGATTTAGCTGTTGCTATTCTGTACCTTTCTTTTCAGGGGATGTTGAAAACTAGACCTGCTCTTGCTATTGCTGGGTTGAAAAATGACATTTGGAACTGCTAAAGGAGGGCAACTTTCTTGTTGTTTGTGGTGAAACAGGATCTGGAAAAACTACTCAGGTTATACTTATATATTCCTCTTGTTTTGGTGCAGTCCCTTATCATTCATGAGTCCCTTGATCTGCTTAGCTTGAATTTCATGTGTTTGGTTGGCTTATTGCATTAATAATTTCTTTTCTCCCTCCTTCTAAAATCAGCCTTATGTTTTTCTTTCTCCGAATGTATGTTCCTCAATTTATATTGGATGCTATATGATTGAATCAGGACATGGTGGATATTGCAATATCATATGCATGCAACCAAGAAGAATAGCGTTGGGGGAATAATACCTTTTCTCACTTTTTTTCTTCCAAATTCCAAATCCCAAACCCCTCCATCTGTCTCGTTTATCTTCTCTCTTATCTTCTCTTTGAAGTTTTAAGATGTTTGTGGACGACTTAAATGCATTATGAGGACATGACAAGGACAGAAGAAGTTTGGCTCTATTTTCACAAAGAAAACAAACACGTGAAAGGCCAATTAATATTAGAGTCTTTAATTCCAGTTAAGTTACAAATAATATGTTCATCTATATGTAATTGTCTCGTCAGGAAGTTGTTGCCATCATTTATAACAAGCACAAGTTCTTGCGGTTCTGAAAAAAAATCGCAAGTTCATCCTGTAGGGCTAGTCAAGTCGTGTAGAACGTTTACGGGAGTTCAATCTGACCATACCCATAAGGGAAATGGCTGGTATATACTAAATTACTTTTTGAGGTTGGAGCCGTATCAGCTTATACAATTTTCAATCGGTACTGATACATACAAAGCCCAAATTTGCTAAATGATATTGACTTGTTTCTTTCTCCTAAGCAGGGTGATTTTCTTACTCATTGTTTTGAAGAACCTGATTGAGAAGCAATCTGCCCATAGCTAACCCAAACTGAAAGTTATTCTTATGTATGTATGTTTATTTTTAGTTTTCTGTAAAAGTGTAGGTGTTACTCATCACTCGTTTTCAGGTTATATAAGCTTGCTTTGATCTCCATCCCTTCCTCACCTTCTTTTTCTCCTAGTTTTTGACTTATGCTCAAAATGTTTAGGTCCACTACGGTTTTTTCTGATTTATTCTCGAGATGTTTAGGATTTACCCTGTGATTACTGGACAAGGCCGGACACATCCCGTGACAACTTGCTTTCTTGAGGATATACATGAAAGTATCAATTATCACCTTGCTTCAGATTGTCCTGCATCTCTAAGATATGAAACATCCACAAGGACATGGTAATTAAAATTTGGTTTCATATTTTTCTTATTGGGTGTTAGCTAACTGCTTCTAGAATTTGGAGCTAGAGAAAATGAAAAATAAATTTGTGATAACTATGTGATCAGGCACATGCATTGACTATACTTTTAAAACCAGCTGAGTGTAGGTGGGGAAATTATTAGGCACTTTTAACTATGTGTTTGATGTTCTGAGAAGGGGCTTGAAATGTCTGAAGTTCCTCCAATCTTGATTTGAGCAGTTATTGATTTTGTTTTCAGACCCTTTGTATGGCTATACATTCATCTATTGACTTATGAGCATTTTCATGTGCTGTTAAGCGTTATTGTTTACTTGCGAAGGGGTGTGTATAGCAAAGGACGATTAAAACCACATAACTGCATCTTATTCTGGACATAATTCTAATATTATTTTTGAAGGCAATATTATGTGCAGGTTTATGTCCTAATGTGACTGCGACTGAGCTGGGCATTGCTGGAGTTAGCTCTTAGCAGACTTAAACACAGTCCTGTAACATAGGGTCATCCAGTCTGGTATGATGGAAGAGAGAGTTCTATATGCACCCTTCTTCAATCAACAGTAGCTTGAAATCGTTTCAACAGCCATTTCTTATCTTCCTTGATAAGTTAATGTAGAGTTCTAGCTAACTGGTTTAATTTAATTCTCCTTTGTCTTATGAATTTTATTCTTTCTCTAATTTGCGATTAGTACTTACTCATACACATAGGGGTGACAAATCATTGCCTGGCAATTTCCCACGGAGCGATAGAACTAGTCTAACAGAGCTAAGGAAATGCGTTTTTTCTTCTTAAAAAAATTCTAGCTGGAGTCATTTGTTATCATATGTAGTATGAATGCAATAAGTTCCTTGAATGTTGATAGCCATATATTGTTCATAATGTTGATTAGATGGTTTTCTCTTGTTTAATCTGATTCAGATTTTAATTTATAAATAATTAAAGTCAGGTTCGGAAATGTGAAATTGGTTCATGTTGCATAATCTTGGTGTTGTACAATTTAAGCCTTTCTGATACTTGATTAAGAACAAACGTATCCAGACTTAAATAATGTGCTGCAATATAGAGGGGACATCGTTCTTTAGGTTCTTATGTCATGTTTAAGGTATCCATATAATGATTATCTGTTGCTTATTCTAGTCTAGAATGCCGGGCTTTCCTGTTTGGTCTCCACTACCAGATTTGAGATTTCTTAAGAATCTAAAAATGGTGATTTCACCTTGACCGTTTGTAACCCCCCTGCCCCATCCTAGATTAAAAAGGTAGAAAAAGAAAACTTGTTAGGAGCAAGCTCCGTCTTCAATTTGCTTTAGATTGCAATCTAATTTTGACATTTACAGGTTGAAACCCACAAGATATTTCTGCTAGATACTACCATCAAATCTCCCATTTCTTTTTGTTGTTTGGTGGCTTAATTAACATTCAGCATCTGGTATTAAAATAAGCGAATTTCTTCTGCTTATGCTGTTCGAATTTGATGGAAGTGTCTGATGGTTTTTTTCATCTCTGACTTATTGTTGGCTTGCGTGTCTCATTCACGATATCGAAACCATTTAAGTATCATTAGTGTTTTCTTTGATATCCCACAAGATTAATACGTACATGCTCTATAAGATTTATGGTAAACAACTCAAAATCAGAGTCCTTTTTGACAATGATACTTCTACCGCCTGAAGCTTTCAAAATCCCCGGTTGCGCTTTTTGATGAACATGCTCTCTCCACCGCTCTATTATTTCCTTATTAATGCAAGCTTTTCTTCATGACGCTCCCAGCAAGAGAAACCAACCCAGAAATTGAAGCTTTCTTGGACCAAATAGCTGTTGAAGTGCATTCTTGTATAATATTTCTTCCGCATTATAGGTAAGACAGCATCTCAACTTGATCAGTGCCTATATGAGCATAAGGGTAAATATTTGATTTTGAAAATTGCATTGTCAACATATAAAAACTTTAGGGTTTACCATTTAGAGATTTGTACATGTAAATTCCGAACCATAGCAATAAGTTGAAGAAATTAAGTAATAATAGAATAAAAAGACCAAAGATCTAGATGTGAGTTATGAGAGCTAATTGTTGGTTAGGGTTGAGATTATGGTTCAATATTTTCTCAGATGTTCTTCTTTAAAGTAGCTGTTTGTGTTAAATCTTTGGCTAATCTTGAGGAGATTAAGTGTTTGTATTACATGGGCGGGAAGGGACTTACTCTACTGGAGCTTTTAGCAAATTAAAGTATTCAATACTATCTTTATCTTAATCTCAACAGCATATCTCAGGTCGAACTTGAGTTCATGCTCAAAGGCTGACTGCAGCAGGTCGGTGTGCCACAAACCTGATGGATATGGTGTACCTGAGATGAATTTGATTTGAAGGATGTTAGTGAAGCCTATGCACAGCAACATCAGTTACTAACACAAAGTGTAATAGTCGACTGCTCTTACGGAAAGGGTTATGCCCGAAAGAAGGGAGGTTGGTCTCTGGTTTCATTTTTGGATTTGGTTAAGATGCACATGGTTCTCTTATGAATATATGCCAAAATGAGAAAGGTTAGAACCTCCTCTAAAAATGTTAACTTTTTCAATTTTAAAGTTAATTTGGAAAAGTTAGAAAGATTTTGAGATGACATAAATAGATTGTGACCAACATGCTGAAGTTCAAAACCTAGGTAAAGCCTATATTACAGTGATTCATTTGATAAGAATTTAGTTGGAAATATTGAAACTCAACTAAAGACTATTACAGATGCCGAAATTCAGTAATTACTGTCTCATAACAATTAGGATCTCACAAGATAAGAAATGTCATAGACTCGTAGCTAAACTTGGCACTGTTTTTCCCAAGAAGGTATTAATTCTAGATTGAGCAAGAATATGTTAAAGCGAAGATTAGGATGTACAATGAATGGACTTGGAATTACAAGTAAAGATAATAGGATACCTCACCCCTCAGCCAAAAGCTGTGTTTCATTGCTTACAAGACGTGGAGAAACCTCTTTAATTGTCTAGAGTCAAGCTCACACCCACCATGGTTTCTCTGTCAAGTCTTTTGAGAAAATATACCTGAATCTTGAACTATAAGGCAACCAATCAATAACATATGATGACTTCTTCTTGGATTTACCGTCGATACATTTCTGTATTGAATTGTGGAGCTTTTTGTCAACATTTTCAATAACCCAGTTCAACAGGTCATCCGAGCTGATAGAGGCTTCTTTTGCAAACCTTTCGAGCACTCTTGGTAGAAATACTTTCTTTGACTTCTTCACAACCACATTTGCTTGAAGAAACTCTCTTTTTGCAACTTCTAACTCTTCTTTAATATTTGATGCTGTGTAAACTTTTAGCTACAGACATTAAAATGAGCAGTGAACAGGTTAAGATGTGGTGGCAATGTCAAGAAAGCATGCCTTGAAAAATCAAGTAATATGACTTAGAAATGGGATCAACTATGTGTAAACCCTATTAAATGGTGGTCTGACAATCTTCGAAGTCATACCACATTACCATGTAAAAGAGAAGTAGAATTTACCACAGGATCAGAAAATGCTCCAGTACATAGAGCAAAGCAGGCAAATGGTTGGGAATATGGAAGACCAAATTTTGAACTGATAAACTGCCTTTCTTCACCAGATTTTTTCCTTAAGGCAGTGGAGAGGATGGCCTCTAGCCACTGTTTTTTAAACAAAAGAAAATATGTGAATATCAGGAAACTGGAATTTTTCCATGCATCAAAAGAAGCTATGGTAGGTGATTTCCATTACAAGAAGTTAGTGAACTAAGAGCAAGCTAATGACTCTTTCTGGTTTTACCATACTACTGCTGTTTCTTGGCTCAGTGACTGATATATAAGCCAAGTGAGCAAAGGAACCCCAGTTCCAAAATTCCCAATTACAAACAAATTTCCAGAATTCACAGGATAAAAGGTTACACCGGTAAATAACTCACACATATTGATCACATCAGAGCCAAGAACGAGGAATTAAAGGATCATATGAAGTTGTGAGATCATCATTAATGGAGGGGAATGATGTGAAACAAATGATAGTCAGAAACCAAATTATAGCATATTGAATCAGACCAACATTTTCTGAATAATGCAAGGTTATGAAATAGTAACATTTCAGTTAGGTACTGCTAGAAGCAAAAAGTAGTACCCGTCCAATTCGAGGTGTGCGGAAGCAGAATATTGACTGCTCTATGGCATTTGCACTTATAATATGGCCACCGATGTTGTATGCAGCCTGCACTACACAGAAAAACCTCTCAGTTTTATTGCCTAATAACCGACTTGATCAAAATGAAGAAAGAATACTGACTGAAGAATGAAGCTGCATCAGCTCCCCCAACACATACACACATGCATAATGAAACGATATTGAAGATGCATCCAATCCCCAAAATATATTACTGCCACTTGTTAACAACAGTTGTTTGGAGGAATCATATAAAGCATCTTTCAGGAAATAGTCTTCCATTAAGATAAAGAAGAGGAGACCTGAACAATTTGTTTTTGGTTTAGATAAAGAAAAGGACTACCTTGTGAAACAAGGCTAACCGTCTCAAAGAACTGTGGGGAATTCCATATGATAAATATGCCTGTCGAAGGCAAATAAGAGAGTTAAGTATAGTAAAAGGAAAATGAAAAAATCAATGAGCTTTTAAACAAATAGAAGCTTACATGCATAACAAGAGCATTGTACACATTGATCCAGAATGCAATTTGGGCATTATATTCCATCTGACTCACCGTCACTTTTTCTAGCTGTTCCACTAGAGCTCTGAAATTTAACCAATGATGCAAAAATGTGAATATAAGAGGAAAATACTGTAGGTTAATAAAGATAAGGAACCATTAAACCATTTGATTTGCATCGCAAGAAAAAAAAAATCCAGAAGTTTCTCTTATGTTACTTGAGCTTTGGGAAGACTTTCGCCAAAATTTATGCTGCAATGGGCACCTTAATTTCCTCAACACACAGCATTCCCCTGTTTTTCTCTTCTCTCAGCCTTTTCACTGTCTATCTCTATCTAATCTCTCCTTATTTGCTTAGTTATATATGTATCTATAATAAACCAACCTGTAGTTACTAATGGCATAAGATGCACGAGAAAATTGGCTCTTATCAGTTGATATCCAAGATATTTCAACATTGGACGTGCAAGAGAAATCTTGGTCCTCTCCAACGCCACGTCTAGGAAGTACAACATTAGTTGATGATCTTGACAATAAAGGTGATCGGTTTTTCTCAGAATTCAAAGATGTTGCACTACGAAGCCAGCAATATACTGCTGCCATACATCTGACCATCTCCTCAGACAACTTGCTTGGACATTGGTACTGATGATCTTTCAAGTTCCGCAGCGCTGAGGTTTTTTCCATACCCTGAACCTTCTCATGAGCCTAAAAGTTAAGTGAGGATAATAAATGTCTGGACTCTGGAAAACAACATGCATGGCATTATATGACAGGCCAGCCATATGAAGCACAAAGTATTGTACAAAATGCATAGTGGATGTCCCACAAATGAACACAATCATTGTGTTTAATTTTCTCATTGGTATATATATTAAACAAGGATGAATTAAATTTCAATTCAGTCTAAGCAACATATCAAATATTGGGAAAGCCATCTTTCTCAAATCAATTGCTAGGTAAACCAGTTTGTTATTTCTGCATATAGGATCTGTTAAATCTTGCAGTTTTGTGTTCTTCCCTTTGATTTGTCACGCAGTTTAAATTGCATGCAGAATAGTGTGAGAGAGCACTTGCTAAAGATGCCCAACCATCTATGACGTCAAAGCCCTTGATAATGTCAGAAGTATGCAACTCTTAATTTTTACAAACTAATTTCAAAATTAGCTTTAGAATGAACATAACAAAAAATAAAAAGAAAATTAGAGTACCCACATTTCTCACCTTAACTGGCTGAGAACATGTCTTGTCATATAGAATGTCATTTTTGCCACAGAACTGTGAAGCGTCATTACTTCTAGAGATTCTTTTCCCCGAGTCATTTGTGGAAACTAGAGCTTGCAAAGGTCTGAGAGGAAACTTTTTTGATGAACAAAATGCACTTGAAATAATACTGGGGTGTTTCCTTGATGTATGCTTTGTATGAGCAGGAGAAGCCTTGCCTGAGCTTTGCTCAGAAGGGGGCCGACTAACACAATGGTCAAAAATACTCCTGTAAAGGGATAATACATGTTGCTCACGGTTTGCAACCTCTTCCTCAAGTAGCTCGATCTCCCCAATCAATTCCTTTGTCTGAAATTAACCAATACAGTTGTCAAGCTATTTTCAAGCAGAGTGCCCTCTAGATAACTCACGTAAGGATTTAGAAAGATGTGAAACTTGTTAAACAAATTTCAAGAGTTTTAATAGATTCAGGCAATTTAAAGTATCAAGTTCTGGAAAACTTTTGGAAATATTTACACGTTGAATTGTAAATTTTGTCTTGTAGAGAATGAAACCTGATGAGAGTAGACCAAGGTCTTATATTTTTGCAGAAGTGATTTCTAGCAAAACCTCTGAAATTTTGAAATGTTTTTATTGATTTATTTTTCTTTTTAGTCAGAAACATGAGCAATTCTGTGTGCCTAGCTGTTGCATCGTTGGTTTTATCTTTGTTAATAAAACACACACCTTTACATAAGGAGTTTTAACAATGAGGGACTTTTCTTGTTTGATGAAAAAATATTGGAGGAAAAGCAGCATAATATTTGCTGAGGATCAGTTTTCAGCAACAGCTAAGTCACATTCTCATAGTTAATGTTACCTGTGCAGCAAAATGTCTATGTCCTGGAGATAAAGTGCTGGAAGCCCTCCCCATTGCTCTCTCAAGAATTGTTCGCATAGATTTTTCTTGTTGCAAACGTAATTGCAGCAGTTCAATCTGAAAATGGGAAAACCATGGTTATGCTATTGCTGAAAATTATGCGGCAAAGAAATCAAAATACAACCATTAAGCATTAAGAAGCCATTGTTTTATGTGCACAGTGCACATGAAGTCTCTCACAGAATACATAAAGGGTCAGTACCCATTTATGGTCCAAGGCATCACCTTAACCATAGAATTTTTACTCCATCTCGATGCATGAATACACTTTCCAGCCATTCAGCCAAACACTTTAAAGTATTTAAAATGGCCCTCTCACATATTATTTACTGTATTTGCAGTATGATGTAGATAATTAATTTCAGTCATCTATTTATGAAGGAAGGTTGTGACAACTGAAAAAGCAAAGTTACACATTGATTCATCTCAGCAACATTCATCTATTTATGTGAATGTTCTGTATTTACAGAAGCGACATTCTAATCCAAGAAAGCTATCTAATTTCAAGGCTTACATCTTTCTCCAAAGAGGCTCGCTGGTTCCATGAAGTACTCTTGTTGCTATAAGCACAGCGGTCATGAAGAGGACTTCGAGTCCTATAAGCCCTTGTTGATAATGGAGATGCCTGCAATTTTCACATTTGAAAAACAATAAAATGGCAAAACAAAGAAGAAGTATTCATACTTTTCTTTCAACGCTGCAATTCGAGGCTATATATGGTTTAAGTCCTCTATAATGTAAGAATGGGAAGAGCTTGAAGCCAAAAAGATATAACATGAGATTGAATAGCCATAGTTTGGCATGTTCAGAAATTGTATTCTCACATATAGTTCATTCTGCTCTTTCTTCCCGGGATGCAAAATTCCACCTCTTGAAACATCCGAATTTCTGTCCGACGCACTGAAAGAAAAGTAAGAATAGTACTAGAACAGTCAGAATGATATTTAACTGACACTGAGAATTACAATAAGTCTATGGAAAGACTATATGCTCAAAATTGCAATACTAAAATTTAATCAAATCAACCTTGTAAGAACTTAATGGTTAATTACAAGAATTACAATTTGTCAAAAGTCTTATTGAGGACCTTATTATTTGTCACTTCACTGTCAGAGCAAGCTCAATGAAGCTTGCAGATGAAGCAGAATGGTGAAAAGCTAAAAATATGAAGTGTAATTTCTGATGCTATAATTTCTAAACCATTCCGCTAAAAATGACCAAGGTAATTAGATCAAAATTTGAGGTTCATATGCTCATTGCTGAGCTTTAGCAATCAATCAGTAATTCTCTATCGGGGCAAAACAAAAAAGAATGCAGTCATTCTCCTGAACCCTGCTTCACCTATTGAGAGCCGTAAGCCAAGGTCAAGAGGGGATGATATCCATATATCCGATTGCTCCATATTCTGACTTATTAGATCCCATTGCTCATCAAGTTAAGGGCACACTAAGAGTCTAATCCATGAGTTAAGAAAATACCACATTACAAGAGAAAATTGAAAAAAAAAAATGCAAACACTATTCAAGTACAAAGAAAAATAAACCCTTAAAACTCCAGAAAAATTGACAGTTAAAATAATTCCCTAAATAACAATACTTCCAAGCAAGGAACAGTGTCCAACGTATCTAAAACTCAGAATACCCTCCTGTCCTTTACATAAACTTGATTCCATATTCTCGGTTGATTATTACCAACAAGTTGATATAACAACATAAGAAAACTGTAAGGTGAAGGTTACCTTTTAGAGCGCCTATGTTGTGCCTGAAAATGTGGATGTGATGACCAAGAAGACTCTTCAGTCTCTTTCTTTCCTCTTCCTGCTGCAACTGCTTCTTCCTGATCTAAACGGAAACCATCCATTTCCTGTGTAATCAACTCTACACACTATTCCAAGCTTTCACATTATAATAATTATTTACAGAGTATTATATGTTATTGCTCCCACACAATCCAATAACAAGTTTCAATGTCACAAAAATAAACGACACCCGACAAAGATTATAAGATGTTGTAATAAAAGGCACAAGACTTTAGAGATAGTTTGTAAAGAAAAGTTGAATGCTCACGTTTGAACATGGAATTAAGTTTGTAAAGAGAAAAGAATGTGAAGTAAACTTATCACCCACAATGGGACCAGCTAGTTGCCTGCATTGTATTCAATTTGATCACTTCAGAGTTGTTGAGTGCATTCAATGTGAAGAGTTATTTCACCTGATCTTTTCTGTCTCTATTTTTTTTTCTTTTATCTCTAGAAAAAGTGAATTAGAAAAAAGGTACCGTTAGAAATTTGAAAATAAGAAAGTTGCAAATCAGTGGGATTTCTACAGTATGTGGCTACTCTTCACTGACTTGACTTTGCCAGAATTCTGTTGCCTGGTAAGTCAGTCAGGAGAGTAACATATGAGATTAATTGGATTAGATTCCTTGTTCAAGACAAAGCATCCAAGCCTTAACAATACCATGACTGGTTACAACCAATGGCCCGATGCCAAGTTGTGAAGTATGGCATGACAATTGACATGTCTTCGGTCCTCCCTTGTGCTGAATTTTTGATTACAACGTCGAGAAAAAACCCAAATTTTCAAACAAGAAAAAGATCCAAAAGAAAAAGTAATTAAAGGGAAACAACCCAACAGGGATTGATGCCAACCAAGTAACTGCATGCTAAAATTGCTGATAGGTGGACACTTTAAAATAAATTTTAATTTCGTACATATATTTTTTTAATATTAAAGTGAATTATCTCCTATTTAACAAATTTTTAATATAACGTAATTTTATATTTAAGTTGAGTTCTTTAATTTATTATTAATTAATTGTGAGTTTGATGTTTAACATGGTATCAAGTTAAAAAAATTTTTTCGTTGTCATTTCTTAATTTATCACGTGAAAAAATTTTTTTATTTTTATCTACACATAATATGTGAAAGAGTTTTTTTATCTTCGCCTATACGTAATATGACCTATTACTTATAAAAATATAGAGATTGAAACAAATAACTCTTGTATTCCAGAATCAATAAAATAAGAACTTTGAGCATTAAATAGCTTATATTCATAGAACATTTAACGTAACATACATAATGAATAAATATGAGTTAATATCATTCCAATTGTCATTACCAAAATAATTACTATTTTTTATATTAAAAAATATTTTTGGTTGCTAATTATTTTAAAAAAGACTATCAACTCTTTAACAAAATCACTCGTACTTAGTAATGCAAGAGAAGCCATCGATAAGATATTGAATATCGTAAATATTTTTGAAATCGAAATAGTCATTTTATCCATTTCGTTGAGATAAAAAAAAAATGCATTCTATTGTAACTTGTTCTTGCTAAGAAAAAAAGTGCAGCATTGATAAATTCATCTTCGCTTACATGTGATGAGAGTTTATTAAAGTGAATTATCTCATATCTAATAAATTTTTAATATCCTGTAATTTTATATTCGGGTTGAGTCTCTTCACTTATTATTAATTGATTTTAAGTTGGATGGTTAATATTATGCAGTCATATTTTAGTTTGAAAATAAAAAAAAATTATAAATACGAATATTTAAATTTTAAAATTAAATATTAATTTTTAAATGTGAATTTATGAATTAATTAAATTAACTCGTATTCAAATCATAAATTAGTTTAATAGTTAAAAAGAGTATTTTACTTAAAAGTTTAGAGAAAAGAAAGGGTTGTAGGAATGTCCAAATCTTATTTTTCTCATATTTAGCATTTAAAGTAACTCCCATTTCCCATATTTTCTATCCATATAAAAAGATCTTGCATGATGAATTCGAATGAAAGCAGCAAGTAATTTGTTGAAAGTCATATCATGTTTTCGGGACTTTGGGGCAATAACTTTTGCTTTTGAGATCCACCATTACCATTATTTTAACACACAATTTTCCGTTAACCACCAAATTGCTGTAAAAAAATGAAAAATATGCCATAAATAGCACTCCTATGTAAGTATTTGAACTGGGTACAAAGATGATCAGTTATTCAAGCATTCACAGTTTCACACCATAACCACCACAATTACAATTTTCGGAAATGCAGTTCCCTTGCAGTCAAGGCTAAATTCTGGAAAGACTTGGTCCCAACAAAATGCTTGCTTTTTGCCTACTTGAGGCTGGGATTTAATTTATAGTGACAAGACTGAAGGGTGCATTTGGTGATCAATTTTGTCTTGCTTGAAAACCCTTTTTTTTCCCTCTATTTTGAATAAAACAAAGGCTAAGCATTATTGCATCCAATCAAAATGATGTTAGAAAAACATTAAACTTTGCAATTAACAAAATTTCAAGCTAAAGAGATTTCCACCATGGAAGAGGGCAATAAAAGGCACAATGCTAAACCACTTCCACTAGTTAGCCACCCTAGACATAAAAAATACTGCTTCAAAGCGCTCCAAAAATTTCTTTCTCAAAGAAACTTTGAAATCTATCCACATTTTATTTTATTCTTGTCTTCGTAAGCCTAATAAAATAATTATCATTATGATGATCACTTTGCAAATTCATGGATAAATTTCAAGCTAAAGAGATTTCCACCATGGCAGAGAGCAATAAAAGGCACAATGCTAAAGCATTTCCACTAGCTAGTCAACCTAGACATAAAAAATACTGCTTCAAAGCGCTCCAAAAAATTTCTTTCTCAAAGAAACTTTGAAATCTATCCACATTTTATTTTATTCTTGTCTTCGTAAGCCTAATAAAATAATTATCACTATGATGATCACTTTGCAAATTCATGGATAAATTAATTAATTTCTTATTCTTTCATTGATCACGAGAAAACTAATTAAACAATTTGATTTTTAGAGATTATCTAATTAAATTACAACCCCAACAACAAATTCATGTACAAAAACTCTAATTAACTTGCGACGACCACTGATATAAGCTATGAAGATATTGATGTTTGGCGCATGTGATAGAATGTCGGTAGAATCAATCTAAGTTTAAAATTTAAATTTCAATATTTATAATTTTTTTATTTTATTTGTAATTTTTTTATTAGTTTTTTTTTCTTTTCATGACAAAATACATAAATGATAAATCCTAAGGTCCCTAGCTAGCACATTAAACTCCCTCTAATTATTTTTAAACATAATCATTGGCATTATTGTTCAAGCAACCTCGCAATTTGTATTTAATAAAGCTAGGAGGAAAATGACATCGGACCTCTAGCAATAATGTAAAGGAGCATACTTTCATAATATTCCATAGCAAACACACTTATCCTTCACAGAGTTTTTAAAAGGAAACCATTGTCTATTTCTTCATAAATTACTAGTTAAGTCAGTTGTCTTATGCTCATAATTCCTATATAATTTATCATAAGACGGTTGGTCGGTTGCCAATCGGACGGTGCCAGTCACTCCTGTAGGTCCCATAGTCGGTGCCGGCGATGGCTCTTTTTTCTTAACCTACTAGCTAATAAGCTTTCTATCTATCGATAAATCTATCTATCTATATATATATATATATATATATATATATAAAATTGTAAACTCACCCAAAGAAAAGCGTAGAGAGGCACAGGTTTCTGGTTTCTCAGTGTTGAGCTCAGTTTCTGAATCTTCCTCTTTGTTTTTGTGAGCCAAAATGGTTAAGTTAGCTTTCGGTAGCTTTGGTGATTCTTCCAGTGTTGGGTCCCTCAAGGCTTACTTGTCTGAATTCATTGCCACCTTGCTTTTTGTCTTTGCTGGTGTTGGATCGGCTATTGCTTATGGCAAGAGTGCAAAATTAATCTCCGTCCTTGAAACTAAAAATAACAAGATTGTGTATGGATAAATTTTTTTGAGATGTAGCTAACTAAAATTGTTTTTTATTTTTTTTTATAGGCAAGCTCACGTCCGATGCAGCTCTAGACTCACCAGGCCTTGTGGCCATAGCTGTGGCTCATGCATTTGCCTTATTTGTTGGGGTATCCATTGCAGCCAATATCTCTGGTGGCCATTTAAACCCAGCCGTCACCTTTGGACTGGCCGTTGGAGGCAACATCACCATCTTAACTGGCTTTTTCTACTGGATTGCCCAATGCCTTGGCTCCATTGTTGCTTGCCTTCTTCTCCAGTTTGTTACTAACGGATTGGTAGGGAATTGAAGAACTTAATTATAGCAAGTAAAAACTTAAAATGGTTTCTATATTACAATCACAAAGGAAAAAAAAAATCAGTCAATTAAAATTCGATCCTTGTGAAAAGTACCAAAAAAATAAAATTTTGAATGCATCAAATTGATACGAAAGAGTATGCTTTAAAATTTTTTTTTTTAATCAGTCATAAAAGGAATTAAGCTTAGTAAAAACAAGAAAAATACCTTTTACAAGGATAAAAAAAAGTCACTTTTTTTTTTTGTTCTTTGATGAGAAATGAGAACTGATCTTAAGTTTTGAGAAAGTTTAAAAATTAACGGGCTAGGTCTAAGGTCAAGTCAAAGAACGAATTTTTGGGCTGAACCTGCCCTATTATTGTTGACTTTTCTTCAGACCAGACTAAAGTTCTAATTTACTCGAATTCTTCAATGGTTTGAATCTTGCAGAGCATACCAACCCACAGCGTTGCTTCAGGAATGAACGCTCTTGAAGGCCTTGTAATGGAGATTGTGATAACATTTGCCCTAGTGTACACCGTATATGCCACGGCGGCTGACCCCAGGAAAGGTTCTCTAGGAATAATCGCACCCATTGCAATTGGTTTTATCGTTGGTGCTAACATTTTAGCCGCAGGTCCATTCAGTGGTGGTTCAATGAACCCAGCCCGTTCCTTTGGACCAGCTGTTGTCAGTGGAAACTTCACTGATAATTGGATCTATTGGGTTGGCCCGTTGATTGGAGGAGGGTTTGCTGGGCTGATCTATGGTGACATTTTTATTGGGTCATATTCCCCAACCCCAGCTTCTGACGATTATGCTTAATTATGATGCTTTGGTTTCTTCTGCATACGGGATTTGGCTTTGGGTGTTTTCATGACTGGAAAAAAGAACTTGTACTTGTTAATAAGGAAATGTAAATAAACCTATTTGGCTTTATGGATATTTCGATTACCAATCTTCTTTTGTCTAATTTCTTTTTCATGTTTTACACCATGGAAAACTATTTCATGCTTAAGGAGTTAAAATATTTCATCAGTGTATCAGACAGGGAAATTTTAACTATTTTCGAAGTTGCTGAGCTCTTTAATGGAGGAGGTGGGTGAAAGAATGTGTGAAAACTAGAAAACACAGTTAAAATTGAATTCAAAAGGAGAAGAAGGGAGAAGGAGGCATTCTTAATTGCATTTTAAGAGAATGCAACATAAGATGCGGTTCGTCAAGTATATATATATTTGTTTGACTTTCCGTCCTTGGGCTGTGTGTTTTAATTATGTATTATATATTTGTTGCATTGTTTCCAACGCTAATTAAAATTTGACTTTTGACTTTCTGTGGCTTAATTAAACGCATGAAGGAACCAAAATTTGACTTTAATATTGAAGTTCAATACGTAATGCCTAGCTCTGTCCTTGGGCTGTGCGTTTTAATTCTGTATATATATATATATATATATATATATGAATATATATATATATATATATATATATTTGTTGCATTGTTTCCAACGCTGATTAAAATTTGATTTTTGACTTTCTGTGGCTTAATTAAACGCATGAAAAACGAAGATAAAAGCATGAAGGAACCAATTTTGACTTTAATATTGAAGTTCAATACGTACATCATGGTATGGTTGATTTTTTTGGTAATCAGGTTGCAAGGATTGAACTTAGTTACTAAAACAAAGAATCTAATAATAACATATGTGTATTCCTTTGACTATGATAACAATGATATTCATGATTCATGTTTTGAGGAATGTAGACAAATCTTTTCCAAGAATGGATAAATTAGACAAGAAAAAACTTGGAATCTTGCTTGGAGCATGGAACCTAACTAGTTATATTTGAGAGTTTACGTTCTAATCCTGTTCCTTTCTCTTTCTGTTCCCAAAAATGTTCACACTGTTGAAAGGGAGAGTAGTGGTCAATCCCTTTGGGAAAGAGAAAATGATTATGATTTGTTTGGTAAGGAGAAAAATCATTATTCACATGGCAATTAAATTAAATGAATTACTTTAGCAATGCAAATGAACCATAGGCATATACAGCAGTAGCAAAGGCAGGCAAGACAAACTCAAGAAATCTCAAAGCAAACAGCTAGCAAGATGCAAAGCTTCAAAATATTGAGTCGTTCTTTCAACAAGCAGCGTGGTTTTGCCTCATTTACCAGAAGCCTGTGCTCTGCCGTCAACAGCTCTGGCAATTGTGACAACTTGGTGAGCTTTTGAAGAACAATGGCTTCTATTTGTTGCTTACAATTGAAAGGGAAACTAAAGCAGTGGATAACCAGCTAATTTGCCATTTTTTTTAAAGGTATTGGTTGAAGAGCAAGCTAGTTCACGAACTGTCATACTTAACAGACCCCATGTCCTTAATGCTCTTACTACTCCGATGGTTTGTTCATTTTTTTCCATTTTCTTTTCTTTTTATTTTATTATCAAAAGTATATACCATTAATATTTTCATTTTTAAAACTTACTATCAGGGACTTCTTCTTAATAAATCTTATGAATCCTGGGAAAGCGACCCTAGTGTTGATTTTGTTGTACTCAAGGTAAGTCCATAGCTGTAAGAAACTTTTTTTTTTTTTTGGCTTTCTAGTAATGCATTTTTTTTCTATTAACAGAAAGGAAATTTCCTAAATTTGTCCAAGCAAAGTTGGTCACCTTTTTTTGTTTTTGTTTTTGAAGGGAAATGGCAGGGCGTTTTGTTCTGGGGGAGATGTCGTTAAGCTGTATCAATTAATAAATGAAGGTGAGAAAGTTTAGAACATTCTAAAATGAGATCTAAAAATATATTTTAGGGGATAACATTAGAAAATTATTCAAACATATTTAATTTACTCTATGGAATTGCATGATAACCTTATCCAAAGGTTTTAACTTTGAACTTACATCTCCGAATTGAAATCCATTTTCTATAATTGAAATGCGGGAAGATTTGATTCGTGCAGCCAACAATCTTGTAACGATGTTCTTACTGTATACTTCAGGAAGAGTGGAAGAATGTAAAGAATGTTTCAGGACATTTTACAGATTCATGTACCTCTTAGGTACATATTTGAAGCCGCATGTGAGTCTACTATTCTTTCTGATTTAACAAGTAAATAAAGTATGAACATCAAAATCTGCATTGGTATTTGGACTTCTCCACGACAATTTGTATTTTTCAATTGCCTGATTTTTTTGTCACTAGATTTTGCCTGGGAAAATGTTTTCCATTTACAGATTTGGTGACTCTAGTCTCAAGTCTCACCCTTCAGTTCTTTAGAAGTTAGTTTGAGGCTTGAATCTCCTGTACTATAGTTACTATAATGTTTCATTTTAAATTCTTTTTTGATGCAAATAGGTGGCTATCTTGGATGGCATTACAATGGGAGGAGGTGCAGGGATTTCAGTTCATGGTTCATATCGTGTTGCGACAGATAAGACCGTATGTACTCAGGACATATACTTTATGAATCAATTAATCTAGGAAATCAAAGGAGACATCAAAGTCTATAATAGGAGTGTTAAGAAATCAATTTTTTTGTAAAAGTTTCCCAGTATCTCTAGCTGTCCAACTAGCAACTAGATTAGTAGATTATCCGATCTAACTAATTTACAATGCTGTTTCTACCTTTAACAAGACTCTGATACCATCCGCAATCACTTTACAATGCTTAACACTTGGTGAGGCCTTAAAAAGCATTTAGTACTTTCTTAAAATTTGATTCAATTATAATCTCTTTTCTATCAAAGTTAAGCTGTCTTTCTCCTAGCCTATGTCAAGGCAATTATTGTCTGTGCATTTATCTTAGTTTCAGTTACCTTTTCATCAGCTAGTTTAGTTGTTAATACAATCTGTCTCACAAAAGATAAATGCAGGTTTTTGGTATTCCTGAAGTCCTGATTGGTTTCCATCCTGATGCCGGGGCTTCTTATTATCTCTCACGCCTGCCAGGTTACTTAGGTAGGCTCTTAAGTTTGCACACCATTCAAGTTTAGACCACCTTTTGAGTAAGGTGTTATTAAACCATTTGAACCAGATGCTTTTACACTGATGGAAGATTTGCTCCAGCACAAACTTCATAACATTTCTGATATTTCTTGCTGCCGTATAACAAAAATGTTCCTTGGCTGCTACTGCATTTTCATCACAGGTGAATATCTGGCTCTGACTGCTGATACAATTACCGGAGAAGAAATGTTTGCTTGTGGACTTGCAACTCACTATTCATTGAGCACAGTTTGTCCATCTTCTGAACCTTATCTCTTGTTGATAAGTACCAAGTATTGACTGTCCAATTTTAGCCCGGTAATCTGTTAAGATTTTCTTCTTTGTCTAATAACCAGACGCTTCCTGTAATCGAAAAGCAACTCAGTACATTATCTACAAAAGACTTTTCTGCCATGGAAACTTTTCTGACTAGATATAGTGATCCCAAATGTCCAAATTCAACAAGTATTCTTCACAGGTTTATATGCATACCAACGTTTTTTTTTTTTTAATTATACTAAATTTCGATTTCTAATTTCTGTACATAGCATGTTGTAATTCACTTTGCCATTACGACATTCAGGATGGAGATGCTAAACAAATGTTTTGGTCATGGCATGGTTGAGGAAATTATTAATGCTTTGGTAAGACTAAATTAAATACTTAATTATTGAAGGATTTGCAAAAAACCAGAAACCATTACAATAATAATTAAGGACAGGCTGGTTATCCCACCTCCACTTGGTTTTCTGTTAGTTTAGTAGTAAAATTTTACAAACTGAATCTGTGTCAATAGTTCATAACAACTAGTTAATCTTTTCAGGAGGCTGAAGCAGCTAGATCAAAAGACAACTGGTGTATTTCAACCTTGAAGAAACTAAAAGCAGCTCCACCATTGAGCTTGAAGGTTTCCTTAAGATCTGTAAGACCTGCTCCAACTAACTCTAGAAATGTAGTAATTGCCCGAGTCACAGCCTATTAATGGTTGATTAACGGACCATATAACAGATACGAGAAGGCAGATTCCAAACTCTGGAGCAATGTCTTGCCCGCGAGTATCAGATGACCCTTCAAGCTATCACCAGACAGATCTCCAATGACTTCTCGGAGGTACAAAATAAAACTTGGTTCCTTCAAAATTGGTACTGTAACTTTCTATTGACCCCATTTTATGCTCGATTTTAGGGAGTTCGGGCACGATTAGTGGATAAATGTTTTGCACCAAAGGTATTCTCCGATTTTCATTTTCTAAACTGATAAATTTTTTACAAACAACAATTTTGCTAGTGCACTGATTACCTGACATTGCATGCAGTGGGATCCATCCCGTCTGGAGAAAGTGTCTGAAGATATGGTTGACGCATATTTTTCTCCCCTTAACGCGTATGAGCCTGAACTAGAGTTATCTGTGAACTTCCAAGAAGCTAGCCTGACTTGTTAGGCATGTCTCATGTGTTTAGCTGCAGTCAAGTTGGGCAGAGACAGGGCATTTAATTCCAATAATGCAAGCTGTGACCTGTTTGATCTTATTTTGCGGATATGTAATAGAACATTTTTTTCAGTGTTAAGTTCCTCGGGCTATTTAAAAATTGAAAGTTCATTATTAAAGAAACATCAGTAGAAACCAATTACTCAATTCCAAAACCAGATGGAAGCATTGTAATTCCAGATGCGAGACATGGTCCTTAGTTCCGAGTTCTTACAAACTTTATTTGATCCCAAGTCCCATGCGCATGCAAATGGTGGAGAATAACTTTTTATCAAATCTTTTTTTTTTTTCTTTTCCTATGGAATGGGTGTTCATTCCTTTGATAACCTTTAGAATACTTTTGAGCTGGAACCTGGTTTGGCCATTGCTTAAATCATGGATGGGAACTGAAAAGGTTTTTGTTAGTGCGTCTCTTTTTGAAAGGCAAGCAAGTGGTGGAAGATGACACATTTTTTTGCAGCCAACTACTTTTTCTATTTCATTTGCCCATTTTCTTTTCATTGATACACTTTAATTTGGATATACGTAAAAGATAAAAGTTATCTTTACAACAAAATCTTGCTGCTATAATTTATCCATATTCAAGTTTAGTGTTGGTAATGTTTGGTATGGGTGATCGTTTCAAAACGTACGGTGATAAAATTATAATATTTGATAAGTATTTAATGATTTTATAAGGAGGTAATCTTAAATCATTTAGAGTAATTTGTCTTGAATAATGATCTAATTCTCATAAAAAAAATAAGAAACATTATTATTAAGATGAAGTGATATGTAAATTTTATAATAATTAATATTATTCATTTAATATGTGAATTAAAAGATTAATTTCTTCTAAAATTATAATTATTTTATATTGTAATTTTTTATATTTTCAAATTAAAATTCATTATGACAAATTCAAAATAATTTTTGTATTTTTAAATATTTATATATAAAATAATCTTTTTATTTTTCTTTTATTATAAACTTAATTAATTAATTTTATTTTTTAATTCAAATTTTCTTCACATAATTTATTTATAAAAATTAATTTATCTATCAACAAATTTATTTATTTATTTGTATTTTATTATAAACAAATAAAATATTATTAATTTTTACAAATTGTTATCTTTAAACAACATTAAAACCATTATTTTATAATTATTATAATATGTATGATTATTTTCATATTTTTAAAAAATAATATTTGATTTTTAATAATATCAAATACTATGATATTTGATTTTTAAGAATCGATAATTGTTAACTAAATAAAATAATTTTAAATCTCGATCAATAAAATCACTTTAACAATAAGATCTCTTTGGTAATTATAATATTATAATAATTTTATAAAAGATATCAAATGTTAATTTGAGAAAAATAATTGAGTTCGATATTAGACATAATTAAATTTAAGCTAAGTTTCGTATTCAATTTCTTTTATATAAAAAAATTTAAGTGAAGGAAGATTATTCCGTTTTAAATTAGGGAAAACCGGAAACTTCAACGAAAGTTTACATCGAACTTATAGATTTAATCTTAAATCTTTAGAATCTTTTCAATTACAAAAATTTTTGTCAATGGCAGCTCAAGAGAAAAATATAAAAGTTACATGCAAGAGGTAGCTTTCATTGGCAAAAATTGATCAGTAATATCTATTCTTGTTATATGCTATATATTTGTTCGTGTAGGTATGTATACGTGATGAACATGCCTTTTCGCATAACACAAAGACAAAATCATATTAATTTCAATTTTGATTTTTTTTAATTTTAAAAAAGAAAGACTTGAATTCAAATTATTAGAAATTTTTTAAAAAATCATAAAAAATAATCTCACATTAAAAAGGGAAATGATAAGACATTCATTTAAATTAAAAGTAGTAAAATTCACTATAGCTATACTTAAGTGGTTAATGGAGCTTGAGCTTGATTGATTAAGTTTGTCCAAAAATAGACGGATAGTTAACTCTATAAAAACACAAATAGATATATTTGTTCAAATCGGTAATTATTATTATTTAAAAATAGATAATTTTTGTTTATTCAAATAGATAGTTTCTGTCTATTTAAAATAAACAGTTATATATATATATATATAGGATAAATGAACACTTAATTGTTTATATAAAACTCATCTGATTTTTTAAAAAATATATACAAAAACAAATTTCAAAACTCTTCTTCTTTTTCATTAAATTCCAGATTTCCTTTCATAAAGTTTTGCTATAGAAAATCTTATAAAAGTTTAGTAATATTGTAATATGTCAGTAATTGCTCGATAAATTAATTTTATTAGTGTAGAACATGATTAGTTATTGAGTTTCATTATATCCTTGAGGTTTATCGATTGCAATTTTTTACATTCTTATTGAGTAAACAATACAGTGAATATGAAATAAAACCTTAAGAAAAATGATATCGTTACACGAATTTTTCTTCAAAATTTTAGAATTTATGAAAAACAATAACTTCAAATTTTCAATCTTTTGCACTATAAAAAATTTCGATTGCATGATATTATTATTGAGATAAATGCTAAACCGTAATTTTAATTTTGAATCAATGTAAACAAGTGTGATAGACATGAGGTTGTGTTATTTATATTTTAGAACTCCAAACCCCTTCCATTACGTTGTTATGGATTTATACTTGGGAAGACTTTGTACAGTCTGGCTTTGTCAAATCATGCTATCAGGATAGACTGTCTTGGTCATATATCATGAAATCTTCGGCCCATTCTCTGCCTTTTTTTCAGTTCTAAAAGACAAGATAATAATAATAAGATGCTGTCATGATCATCTTCACTATCCCAAAATTTCAAACTAATTAAAAACAAAACCCTTTGGTAGAAACATGGAAAAAAGAAACTTGGTTAGACTTATTTTAGTAGAACCATGGTGAGTGATGACCAAAACATTGATTGTTGAAAACATTTTCGACCAACACAAATGGCATGTCTTAGGCCAAACCTAACGTAGCTAATTTATTTTTTTTGCCCAGACGTAGCTAATTAAATTTAAATTTCAGTATTTGAACCATTGCATAAAATATAAAAATGTAATAAATTTTAAGTTCAATCTTTTTTCATCAAGTTAATTAATCTCATTATCGGTTAATTCAATGTTATATACAATTAATCACTAACTGATTATTGCTTCATTTGGATCATTAGAAAAGAAGATATCCAATCCTAAAACGATATAATGATAAAATAAAAAATTTTTACCGACCATTTAAATGAAACGGCACCGAGGGAAAGTTGCTATATTTGACTTTATATATTTGTTAGGTAGCTCTAAGAAGTGGATCGATGTTGGGGTCGTGGTCATCTGGCAGTGACATTACACCGACGTCAATTTAGTCCTTATCAAGATTCTGTACCATATTTCCAAGGTCTTGAACCTGATTTAGTATTGAAAAATCTCAATCATTAGCCAATAAAATGCGGACTAATTATGTACTGAAAAGCTAATTTTTGATTCTCTGTTAATCTCCGACTTAGCACAATTTCGCAATCAAAATGAAAGCAGATGGATGAAGAGTCAACCACCAGTAGCTCTAAAAAGACAGCTCTGGGACCAGAGCTGAGGTTTTGAATAAGTGGAGCTGGTTTTAGGATGAGAAACAGACATGAACCTACCCATGTAAAATTCACGTGAACATCGTTGAGTTGTCTGGGGTACCAGGGTAGGCTTGGGCAATAATCAAGTTGATAAAGGCATTTCCTTTAATTGATTAATCAAGTTCCATTCCTAAATCCTATAAGCATCTCAAGATTGTTATGGCTTCAACCACACATATGGCCAAAATATGAAAATATTCAAGCCAGAAGTACTGTCAGGGTAACCATATATTAAAGTCTCATAATGATGATATATTAAGAAACAAGATTAATAAAAAAAACAAATTAAATTTCCTTTGTTTTTTTCCCTTCATGCTAATACTGTTAGCTAACCATATATTAAAGTCTCGTAATGATAGCTAGCAGAAGATGAACTCCTAGATATACGAAAAGATGGTAGATTAAATTCTTAGAAGTAACTGTTTCAATCAAAATGAATTTCGGTTTTTCATTGGTTACTGGATATAAAAACTTGTAATTTTAAATTTTAATTCAATTAATTTATGTAATGATTTATAAAAAATATTATTTAATAAATTTAAAATTCAAATGAAGCATTTATAATATCTTCTAATACGATCTTTTTTGTAAATATATATATATATATGTATATATAAAGTTACAATTGTTCTCAACCACGATTAAGAAAAAAAACCAATGTGGCAGACATCCATGGGAAGCATCAAACCATTAAACGAACCCACCGTCCAGTCAAGGCTTCAAGCAAGGCCATTGGCTATTACAGTTGGTCAAATATTTTCAAACCTGCCAAAAACCGAAAGTGATATGGCGCTAAACCCACAAGAAAGAAGAGAAAAGTTTATTCTTTTCTTAGTACTAAAATATGAAAGATACCCTTAATTACAACATCAGATTACGGATACATGCCTTTAATTGCATGTGTCTTAAGAAACAATCCCCCCTTTATCCGGGACAAATGCTTTTCTTTATGTTCCTTAATCTAATATTACTTGATTAATATATATTTTTGTGTTTCGTGAATTCTGTTTTGATTACTCCCAGTCTCTTTCAGTGAACCATACCTGAATTCGTGGGCGGTTCAAAGCACTAGATTTTGATATCTGTTCCTGTTTAATTATTTTGTCACTCACTGTTGTAGGAGGGGGGGGGGTGGGGGTCCTTCAATATTGTCTATCTATATAATTATAAGTTTGCTCGGACAAGACCGGAAGTTTGTTCTTAGTAAAGAACCTTTCTGGTTTCAGAAGGCAATGATTTTTTTTTCTCGCCTTTATATTACCTCTTTAACACTGTTTTCTTTCATTTAATCTTTCGGTCAGGGCCAAGGATACCAAAAGTTTTTTAGTACTATTGCTACAGGAGATTATAGGAGGATTTTAGCTTTTGAATTCAATCACAAAAGTTTTTTGAAGTGGTTTCCTGTCAGTTAAAAGAATCCTAGGATAGAAATGGAAAGTGGGTTTTATTCAGACAGGACAAGTGGTTCTTTGTTTGGGCTAGAGAATGTAGAAGAGGATGCACAGCTGAGAGCAGCATCGTCTTTACCGTCTATCCCTCAGCCAGAAACACCGAGGGAACCTATGGAGTTTTTGTCTAGATCATGGAGTCTCTCTGCATTAGAAATTTCAAAAGCTCTTGCTCAGAAACAGAAACAGTTTGAATTTGATAATAATCCAAGCTCATTTCCAGATACCTTTGTTGCACCACAAATTGTAAGTGACCTTATTCATGGCATCGGTTTTCCCTTCCTAAGAGTTCCATATTATACCCTTCTTGTTTGTTTCTTTTTTCCCCTCCTGATCCTGAATTTTCATGGATCAAAACTGAATTTTGATACTTCTTGATAGATTGCATTGCAAATTTTCGATTTCTGTTTCTTGGCCTTTGGTTAACGCAACCTTTTGATGGGATAGTTCCCCGTAAGAAAGAGAGAATGGTTGTTATAGGAGATTTGTCTCTGTATCCATTATAATAGGTACTAGTACTTTCTTGACTGTGAAGAATCTGGCAATTTCTTTGAATGATTGGCTGACGAAATTAAGAACTCAACCAACTTCATACATTTCTCTGCTCTAATTTTTCTTGTTAAACTTTCTTTTCTGCCAGGAATGGATGCTTCAATTGTTTAGTTTTTAATTTTTTTTCTGCTTATGTATTTGAAGGCTGGGAAAGTCATAAATTCAATTAATTCTCGAAGAACTGGATCAATTGGAAAATGGTTTAATCACCACAAAGAGTTAGGTTCTAACACTGTGAAGAAGAAAGATAAGATGCGTGCAGAAAATGCTCGGGTGCACTCTGCTGTTTCGGTTGCTGGACTAGCTGCAGGCTTGGCAGCAGTAACTGCAGCTGGAAACTCCAATGGCAGCTCAAAAATGAGCATGGCACTGGCATCCGCTACTGAACTTTTGGCATCACATTGCATTGAATTAGCTGAAATAACCGGGGCTGATCACGACCGTGTCTCTTCTGTTGTCAAATCAGCAGTGGATATTCAAAGTGCTGGTGATCTGATGACACTCACAGCAGCAGCTGCAACAGGTATGTGCTTCCGCAGTTCTTGAATAAATTCAAAAGCAATTCTACCTATTCTAGACCATTTTTATTCATACCAAATTATATGAAATGGGCTGTGAATCACAAATTGCAAAACTTTTCCATGATCAAAATTAGCCTTGAGAGGAGAAGCAGCTTTGAAAGCAAGATTGCCAAAAGAAGCAAAGAAAAATGCAGCTATAAGTCCTTATGAGAGAAGCATGGCAGAAACTAATTGGCCTGCTGCTTTTCATACTCAAACGAAGGAGCAGAATCCTCCATGTGCGGGCAAACTATTGCAACACACTCGAAAAGGTATTCTCCATTCGAGGCTCAAGAATCAAGACGTGTTAAAACACAACTAGAAATAGGTTTTTGGAACTTTGATATATAATTGATTCAGCTACTTTGGAACATTACATCTGAACCACTTGTTAATGCTATTCTCAGGTGTGTTGAGATGGAAACGGGTCTATGTCTACATCAACAAGAAATCTCAGGTATAAAAACTAACTTGATGGAAAAACAAGAAAGCATATTCAATTGCCAGCTCTTACAAACGCTCCATTGTCAGGTCATGATTAAGCTCAAAAGCAAGCACGTTGGAGGGGCATTCTCCAAGAACAATAAATGTAACTTCGCATTAATCTAATTACTTCTCATCAAATCAGTTCCTTTTGCCTTTTTTTTTTACTGCCAAGCTTTAGCAAAAGCAACTTTTTTCTTTTCACTAATATTCAAATGTCCTGTCACTTATACCAGGTATTGTTTATGTAGTATGTGATGAGATTTCCGCATGGCCATACAGAAAAGAAAGGGAAACTTCTGAAGAACTCTATTTTGGTCTCAAGACTGGACAAGGTCTTCTAGAGTTCAAGTGTGAGAGCAAGATTCAAAAGCAGAAATGGGTTGATGGGATTCAAAATCTTCTCCGTCAAGTCAGCTATGCCGAAGCAGTTGAGCTTTCTCTCGAATCTTTGAGTATCAGCGACAGTATATAGAAAATAGTATAGTTGTGCATGCATACTGAATTTGGTTTGTGACATTATGAATTTCATACAGAAAACTATCTTTCAATACGTGAGCCATGCAACAAGTTTTTCCAATGTATACTGATGAGGATGCAGAGGAAGAAGTCCCTTTCTGAAGGGAAAATAAAAGAATCTTTGTACAATTTTTTGAGATCCTTCCACTATATTCAATTCATGCTCGCAAAAAGAAACAATAACATTGATCATGACGAAATTAACAAAAGAAAATCGATAATCTTAAATGGGGTGAAAAAAAAGAAGCTTCCATGTTTTCCTTTGGTAGGGGTGGATAGCTTAGGAAAGATAAACGACAAGACTGAAATTGCCCAAGAGGAAGATAGGTTGTGTGAGAAACAACAAAAATATAGCATGCCACTCCCATACTATCACAATCATTGCACCCTAACTTAGAGCAATGATACACCTTGCTAGTTTGTATTTTTTTTATCGAAAGAAAAATCTGCAATTACAGTAATGTCGTCCCTACTCGGAGCTCGCCCAACCACTTGGTTAGCTTGATATTTGATATGGCACACAAACCAGGCAAAGCTCAGCAAGATTAACTGGAGGCAACATTCAACTTTATTTTCTTTTTTTTTTTTCAAATAAAATTCTCTAAAACATATAAGACAATGAGATTAAAGGGAAACAAAAAGACACAGGTAAGAAGAAGGGCCGGGGGGGGGAGGGAGGGATGGTATCAGAAGCATTTTGAACCATTCAAAAACTGCACCCCAATTTTCCTGTTCTTCTTTGGATAAAGGCATAGGAACAAGAATGAGATTCCCCATGCTCACAAAAGCCAGCTACAGGATTTTTAAAGCTGGTATAAGCAATTAGAGATGAATGGAGTAAAATTACTTTTGCTAGGCAATCTATATGATTAATTGAACGTGCATAAGACCCCAACCTTCTTATTTTACACTGCTTTGTCCTCCAATTAGTACTCTCAAAACACAACAGTCCTGTTTTCCTCATATGGTAACACCCGTAGTTCACAGTATGATCTCATAGCCTTTGCAAGGCATTGCCTCTCAAGGTTCTCTGATTTTTGCGCGAAACTTTGCAAATTGTCCCTGTGAGAAACTCTTTCAACCTGTCAAAAAGGATACATTGAGGGCTGAACATTAAGGACGAGCATAAAACAATAAAGTATAAATACCAAATTTATTTATTTGATATGCATTATTAAAACATGAATGTACCAAACATCATCTGAGAACAGTTGAAAATACATAGATGATAATCACTTGTATTTAGTTATACTTGCAAGTGGCTACAACAATAGCTAAGAAGTTTGCACTTAAAAGATCATTTCTTCGGAAACTCTGTTTTCAGCACCTTCTATCATTGAGAAACTTTCACAGATTACATTAATTGTCATGGCTTCTGACAAATTTGATCATACTGGCATCAATGTCAGAATTACTTAGCCAAATAATTTGAAGAATTTGTGAGGAATTACAACCATCAAAACAGCCCTTCATCTAAGTCAAGAGAAGTTAACTTTACTGCCAACATCCAGAAATTTTCAAGAATGATGATATGCATGGTCAGACAAGAAGAAATAAATTAACAGCTATTATTGCTCAAAGTGCAAGAAGCTGAGCAAAGTTAATTCAAGCTGATTGCTTCTTAGAATGGAAAATAGTAGAGGAAAACAATCACCATTAATCATAATCATTCTAAGGGTAAACAATGACTGGATCGAACACTGTTTAGAGCAGCATTAAACAAATAGAATAATACCATCTGTTCAATAATAGGCCCTGAATCAAGTTCTTCAGTCACAAAGTGACTTGTAGCACCAATTAATTTCACACCTGCATCAAAAGCCTGCCAACATAATATAGAAATTTAACATGCATCTAGAGTTAGGGAAAAAGCATGAAGTGGCCAATAATTTCAATTACTAATGGATAAGCATGAGTACTCACCTGCTTAGATGGATTCCCACCCTTAAATGATGGCAAAAGGCCATGGTGAATGTTAATTACATCTTTCCCATATGTCCTCAAAAAATGACCAGATAAAATCTGCAAAAATAAATAGTTATTTTCCAGCTTCCAAGCATAGCACTAGTTGATTCAACCATTCCAATACACCTGAAATCTGTATAAGATACATATTTAACTAAAGACAATGATGATACCAACAGATCAGACACCACAAGATTCTGCTAAATTTCAACATAAATATACAGTTACTTTCTTCATTTGTGAAAGAAAAAAGTTAAGCCTAATCTTCTTGTTAATATTGTGGACTCCCATATTAAAATGTTTTCCATGAAAAATAAAATTGCTTTGCACTGAAACAAAATTGAAGAGAATATTATAACCCCATTTACCTGCATGTATCTGGCAAGTACCAAAAAATCAGTATTCAGAACCAACTCCAAGATATCCTCTTCTCTTTTATTCTCTTTGGTTGTGTGCAAATAATGATATGGAATATTATTCCTTTCAAGAAAGCGCATCACATGAGTGTTTGGACCTCTATGATGATTACTGCCATACAATTGACAAAAACCAGAATCAGTACTTTGAAACAAAATGCAAATAGGACTAAAAGATTTTAGAAGAAACAAGGATAAAGACAAAGATCACCGAAAGGGATGACAATTTAAATATCACCTTATCACACAAGTAATATCAACTGGAAGTCTTCCTTCCTGCCATCCATAGAGCAAATCTACCAGGCAATGGTCCTGGAGCAAGATAAATGTGGTGAAATCAAGCAAATTATTAAACAAAATTAGGAGAAAAGAAACAAGTTATACCTGTTTTGAAGCAAGGACCGCGATTTTAAACTTGGGGTCTAGCTCTGGAACCCTGACAACAGATCTTGTAGCACTGAACATTTTTGAAAGCTTTAGGAAGTCTTCATCCATTTGCTCCCTCGGCCATTTAACAGTGTCAAAAACAAACTCACTGCAATTTTGCACAAAATAAGATCCAGGTCTAATTATGGTTCATTCAACCACCTTGTTGCCATGAAGTACAATCACCATGGGACATATAACTTTTGTCTGGTCCCAACATCATTCGTGAACATTCACAAACATGCGTGAGCAGCTCTGACCAAACTCAAACCTACTCCTAGACAGTGCTGGTATAGATTGACAAGAAATAATTTAGACAACAACTAAGATAATGCTATCCCTTCTTTATTCCTACAATTCTCTTTTATAATAGACTGATGTACTCAGCTTAGTTTCATAGTTCAAGCTTCATTCAAAAACAACTGTCCAACATCACAACACAATCGCCCAATAGAAACCAAAAATTCTTAATTGCAACATTCCCTTGCTCCATTGATCCAATAGTGATTCTCTCGGAGCATGTTTTATCTGGATAAAGCACTAAGCTTTATCACTTTGGCATAAAGTGATAACAACCAAGACTCAAAATTTATGTCTTGCAGTTATCAATGAAAGACAATTAGCATTGAATTAGACAAATTTAGACCCTTAAATAACCTTACCTTCTGGAATAGAAGACATTCTTTTTCTCAGGGACAAAAACGTCAGCCCCAAGTATGTTTCCACCTCTTGAAGCTATACATTCTGATAGCTTTGCAACTATCCCAACTTCATCCTATGACCAAAAAAAAAAAAATCAATAATTAAAAATAAATGAAAAAAACATCATTTTTAGTTGAAAAAGAGTTTTTTTTTTTTTTTGTTGAAGAAAATGGTGAACCATAAAAATGAGAACTTAAGTGGCAATACAATTCAACAATGGAAATCAGGAACCGGGTAAAGACTAAAGAGAGGGAAGATACGGGGCATTGGAAGACATGGATGCCATGGGTTAGAGGGGAAGAAGAAGAGGGGTCTCCGGGTAATTTGTAAGAATTGAAGGATCTCTTTGCAAATCCAACAAACTGGGAGATGCTAAGCGGGACTCGTCTTGCCATCTCTCCTCTTACGCAGCAACTTCGGGGCCTTCTATTTTTGGCTGTTGAAGCTCGCAGATAGACGGTAATACGACAGCGTTCGAGAAAGGCTTTAGATTCTCTGGGCCCTTGGGAAACAGGCTAATGAGAGATGATAAGCTGGCCCAGGCAGGGAGGAATCACAGCCGTTCAATGCCAAACAATTAAAAAAATTCAGTTTAAAAGTTTTATTTTGCAACTCAAATAAAAAAATTATTCAAAAAATGCTTTGTAATTATACTAAAAAATTATTACATTATCTAATATTTTAAATATTTTATTATTTTATACATATTTTTTAAATATTGTAATTACGTACAATAATGTGAAATACTTAAAATTTTTAATCATATATATTTTTTATCATGTGCAATTTTTTCAACTTAAATTTATTTCAAGCTCAATAATAATACTAAAATTGATAAACCCATTTAACAGTTAAATTAAAATTTTAATAATAAACTATAATTAAATATATTTTTATTTTTAATTTTTTAAAAAATATCTAATAGCAAATAAATTCCTTTTAAAAATTTAAGTCATTTTTTATTTTTATCCCACCTCGTCTAATTTTCTTTAGTCTACATTCTTTTCTTAAAGAATTTTACTAAAATAAATCGTTGATTTGGCATATATTTTAAGTCAATTTTATCTAATCACAAGTGAATTAAATATTTGATTAACTTCTATTGAAAATTTTGAAAAAAAAATAAAAAAGCTACAAAAACCATAAACCTCAATCTTGCTTTTACACTAGTATTACACCCAGTTTTAAATCATAAACCACGCAATTAACCGAAGATAATCTGATCCTAACTTATGTGGGTCCGTGTTGGGGAAAAAAAAACCCAACTTATGTGGGTTCCTCAGTTTTAGTTTATCATAAAAAAACTTACCGGACCAATCTCACAGCAGAGAATCCAGACCAACGCGAAATCTTGCCATCTCTGTTGGTAAGTTCCTTTCTTCGTCCGGAGACCGAGATCCTCTGCTTCTCGACCCACGGTTACACCCAAAGGAAAAGCCCGCGAAAGGAAATGCCAGTAAGTGTCCTTCTACGGCTCGATCCATATCTCAAAATTCTAATGATAAGATCTTTCTTTTTTTGAATTTTAAATATTAAATTGATGGTTGGTGTTGGGTTATGATTGTGTGCGGTGCAGTTCAAAACAATGATAGAGGTGGAACCGCCGACCCCGTTAAGATATATCATCGGAGCAGCAATCATGATGATCGGAGTTGTATTACCCGTAGGATACATGATGTTCCGTAACAAGCGCGTCCCTTCCTCTTCCTCTTACTCCAAACAGACGTAGGTGTGCCTTTACTTAATTGCTCAATTTCCATTTCCGTTAAAAACAATAGCTTTTTTCTTACTTAAATCAATTGCGTATTGCCAAATTAGATCTAGTGTTAATTGAGATTCAGTTCTTAAATCTCTCGGTTAGTTTTAGAGATTTATTGGAATCAGAGGGAAACGTGAATTAATTAACTGAATTTATGCAAAGTTTCAACTTTGTTTGGATAGAAGAACATTATATTGATATGACAAACTAAATTGTATTTGGTGTTGGTATTTCAGGAACAAGGTTTTGATATAGAGATTTTGGTGGAAGGATCTCTTTTTATGTGGAATTGATAGGGTTACACATTTGAAGGAAGATTAGGAAGGAGTGGAAGAAGGCCATGAATGACCTGCATATACAAAAATGTAAATGAATTAAAACACTCAGCTCTGTTTATGTTAGTTGTTTGGATATTAATTCAAGTTTAAAAAAGTTATTTGTTGTTTTGTTCAATTTATGAGTTTTGATTAGGTTATCAAATTAGCATCATAATGTATGGATTCAATGCTACTGGTTGTTTGATGGTAATTTGAGTTTATGAAAGTCTGTTCTTTCATGTCTTTGATTAGGTATATATAGTGAATTTAACATCTATCATGTTGAAGCTTTTCTTGCGGTGGATGATGAAAATAGCATTTTGATGGAGTCTTTTTTGTCTGTTCCACGGTGGGAAATGGCTTGCATCATAGTTGTGCTTTGGTTGAAGTGGTGGATATGCTTAGGTTTCTTTTATCACTATTAGCATGGTTTGCCGGTTGGATTTGTCTGTTCTTTCATGTCTTTGACTAGGTATATATAGTTGATTCTATGCTACTGGTTTTTTCTACACTAATTTGAGTTTATGAAATTCTGTTCTCGTCTTTGATTAGGTATATATAGTCAATTTAATATCTATCATGTTGCAGCCTTTCGTTTCCGGAACATCTATAGCTTCTTCATTTCATGTGGTGTGTGATAAAAATGGCATTTTGATAGGCACTTTGTTGTCTGGCTCGTGGTGGGAAATGGTTTGCATCGTATTTGTGCTTTGTTATAAGTGCTTTGTGTCACTAGTAGCGTGGCTTGCCAGTTGGATTTGTCTGCTTGGTTAACCAAACAAGAACATATTTTGGTACTAGGGGTTAGCAAAGAAATGGCATTAAATCAATTTTAAATATACTTTATTTCTTGCTTCATTTTCTTGATGTTAAACTCAGTTTTGATAAGATGCATTTATAAGAGAATGTTTGAACAAGATAGCACCTTGTAAGTGGTTCATCTTAAGTTAATTTTGTAGATTATCGCATTGAAATTAGAATAGCATGGTGTGGTTGCAACATATTGCATACATCATTTACAATCAGCATATCTGAACGAAATATGCAAAGCATAGCATCCTTCATACACTGTTGGTCCCATGAATATTTAATTCTTGAAGTGAAAATTGCCCATGGCTCCTCAATAATAGAATTAGCGCATGAACTAACAGAAAAATAAACCACCAGCAATGTCACATATTTGGAACTAATCATACCACCTTTTCAGTGCTGCTACAATGACAACGATAGCATTCCATCTCCTAGTTCGCATAACTAACGCATTTGTAACACTCTCATGAATCATGCCATCTTCCCAGTGCTTGTCCAACACGAATTCTGTCTCCACGTCTAATAGAAAACCTAAACTTTGAAGCATCAGTATTCTTTGGTGATTTTGACGTGGGGGCCTGGAAGACAAGCACAACTGTCGATCCCATGTTGAAAGCAGCCAACTGTAAGAATCAAAGTGCAATGGATAATACAATCATAATCTAATTAAAAGGTAATTCAAAGTCGGTACAAAACAGAGAATTCAAATTAACTCGTTTACATTCAAACTGCTCAAAATAAAACTAAATGTAGAGAATAAGCATCAGAAGATCAAATTAAAATTTTTGCAGTTTGGAAAGCATCAGGTTTTGAAAGGAATTTTCTATGCATCTTACCCCATCTCCTTTTTTAAGCATCACTCCAACCCCTTCAGGTTCATATACACGATCTTCTGGAGGCTCTGTGGGTAATAACTTTTTTCTTGGCCTGTTTGTTCGAAGTTCTGGTTCTATGAAAAGCTGTCAAGCACAAATTTATGGAGTCAAAACACAGATTCTCATTGAAAAATATTTCTGTGTCTTGTGCAAGCATGTGTTGTCTAAATAAGATTTCTTATTTGACTCTCTTAAGATTCAGGGTTAAAAGGGCATTGACACCTAACCTCAATTGATCCAATATTTGTCGCACCAATTGCTGCAATTGCCATGAATCCTTGTTGCCATAGACCTTCAAGGACAACCTGATAACATGAAAATTGCAACCACAATTTAGTGAAATTCACTCAAAATATATCTATAGATACATATAATTAACAAAAAGTAATCAGCACTTGACTTGAATGTAAGCTCCAAAGTCTGCAAATATCATCATTCTCTTGACATTTTTAAGTCCAAAATTAACTTTCTTTGTTACTGGTTAGGCTGCAATAAGTATGTTGAGCTGTTATCTCTATCTACCGTCTGATGGTTAAAAAGTACAAAGAACCCTTTGAAAAAGGGAGGAATTAAGGAATTAGAAACAAAATGTTTTCAAATGCTTTGAGTGGACCAGAAAGTGTAGATTTTTCCTGAGGTTCAAAATCACCAAAAATTACCGACAGCTTATTTCTATAGAACTTCTTACACTTTAGGTTTCTATGGTAGGATCACCTAACTAAAAACTACTTGCAAGTTGCAATAGTGTTCTAAATGAACCACTCTATCTTCATCTTTCAGATGTCTTTATCATTATATTGTTTTATTTTTTTCAAATTACACCATAGCTTTTAATTCAACCAATTGCAATACATCAAGACTGTAGAATTATACAAGAAAATTTGCAAATTCAAGGGGAGAGGGGATCTGACACATAGATTTACCCTTTCATTCTCAACATAAAGACTCCTGATTGTTCTGGTAGCACGTTCATTCAAAGGAAACAAGCGGCCTGCCACATTCGCAGCACATACAATCATATCATCAATAACACTGTAAGAAGAAAACGTTTAGTATATATTATGCAATTATACAGTCAAGTAACCAGAAAAATGCCGTCGAACAAGAACATTCCAATCAACTGGTGAGTGTATGCGATGATAGTCCCCTGGCTTCAAGTATATTACACAGTAATAGAGGCCTTTCATTGGACTGCAATAAAAGATTTTACGTATAAACTACCTTATCTCATAAACTTTTTACAGCAGTTAAATCATTCAAGAAGACTTTCAGAGATATACAAGACAATACAATAAATATCTTGGATGGGCCAACAATTTACAGAAACATCTAACTGATTAACAAATTCAAAAGCACATCTAAAGAAAATACTGAAAGATAAAGCTGACCATGCTTATTCTGTCAACAATTTATGCTCAATTATTCAAATACAAGTATGGACAAATGAATATCCAAACCAGTGGTGTAAAGAAATAATCAGGGAAATAATGCACGAACCAAATATAAATACAAGATTACCACTCGGAAACTGTTTCCCGGACTTTAGGAGAAGCCAATGAAATCCACCACCATGACTTCTTACTCTTTTCTCTCTGAGTGCTTTCCTGCTCAATATTACTGCTCTTATGTTGTGTATTTTTCTCAGCTATCATCGAGAGCAAAGAGTGAGAACCAAGAAGAGATGTAACAGAATAGGAAAATCCTTTAACTTGCTCAATCATAGCCCCTGCATCCTCCAACTCCCCAAATCTAAGAATAGTACCATCCACAGGACTAACCTATTATATAACAGAAAACACAGTTAGCTATACTTCAGAGAGAAAAAAATGAAAAAAAAAAAAAAATTCCAAGCTGCTTGTTACCAGTTACCAGACTATAGGGATCAGGGTCAATAGGCCTGCAACCTTCTCTCAATGTGCGAACAAAGAAATCCCTTAAAGATGCATATTCTTCAAGAGGCAGAGCTGCTTCTTCTAGATCTGAAATGCAAACCATAATCCGACATCAAAATTTATTCTTCATTTTCAGTTAACTGTGCATGTATCTCATTAATTGATAAAAGTGATATACTGCAGCAACTAGATAACAAATAGAAAATGAGGGGGGAAAAGCTATATGAAGTAAACATACTTGAGTGGTAAGCACGAGCCCATGCTCTATAAACATGTGGACGCAGCCAAACAGGAACTTCCTAAAAAAACATTCTTTAGCAGGTAAAGGGATATCAAAATAACACAAAAAAATAAAAGCAAGAAAGGAAAGGAAGCATGAGAAGTATCATTAGCCTAACTCTAAGAGTAATTTCCTTAAAGGTACCAAGAGACATTGAAGTGAAAAAAGGAGTTTAACTTGAAAATAAGAGCATTGACAAATCCCAATAATATAAGAAATCGATTTCTTGAAAGAGTCAATGATCTTATCTTCTAAACTAAAAGAATTACTCACCAAATTTGTCAAGAAACCCCAAACTCTAGAAATAGATCGCAAAGGTAGCATCCTCAGAAATGTAGCCTAAAAGTTGGAAATGTTTGAAGAGATATATGTCAACAAGTGGACATGAAAATCACAGTATAGACATTTTAGCAACAAAAAGGTAAAACCATGAAATTAAAATTGGAGAAATTAATATAGAAATACTACCTTCACATCTGGTCGGAACTCAAACTCGATCCCTTTCTCCCGTGCTTCTTCAACCTACTACCAACAAACATATATCAATAGTTAACCACAAAAACTCCAACTCAGCATCATATATGACAAATAAGATTTAAGAGCATGCAATACACAAACAAAACATGAGTTTTGGTTTGACAAACAGTTTAGATACTGGATCTTTTTTTTTTTTTTGGTGCAAAAGAAGTTGCAACTTGGGGAAAGGGAAAAGGGTTCCAAGTGCTGGGATTTGAATCCCAGACCAGCTGTACACCACCACTTAAGGGTGGCTGCATCAACGAACCAAGTTAAGCTTCAGATTCAATTGAAACAAGGATAAGTAGCCATGTGGATGGCAGGAAAACTACTACTCATGTTAAAATATACATGGAAACACATTCAATTAAGTCCAAGAAGTTCAGAACTCTAAGGTTCTTTAAAAGAAATTCCACAGTGTATCAATACGGAACTTATCAATCATGACTTATGAGTCAAACACTCTACAAGTGACCTAATCTTAGATAGTTAAAGTGTTAAGCAAAAGCTTCCAACCACTTTTGTAAACAAAACATACAAAGAATCAGAAATACAGGGCACGATAATAAGCGGATTTATACCTTCTTGTCATCGTAGAGCCGTCGAGCATGAAGAACTCCAAGCATAAGTAGAGTAGCTACTGTCGCACCAGGCACCAGAAAAGCGTTACCTATAGACACAGAGCAATGAGCTTCACCTGCTTCTCACATGGAAAACATAACAATGCACAATAACAGAGTCTAATTTATGTCGAATTCGCCTTTTTTGTTCTTCAGCCAAAATTATTCTCTGAATTAATTAGAAAACATTAATTTTCTCGTTTTCCTCTTTGATTAGTAATAGTAATGATTTTTCCGCTTTATTTCTCGCTGATTTTCTCAGAAACCAAACAAAAACTCCTACTCTAATTTCAAAAATAAGTAAATGATTTAACCTTGAGAGTTACTACTTCCGCCACTGACGGAAGCGCGAGCTTGCGACGTCGTTTGGAACTGCTTGGCGTACCAAGAGAAGAATCGGCGGTGGTAGTGGACATGGCCGAGTTGTGAATGGGAAGGGAACATAGGGACATTTTGCGAAAACCGAAATTTCACCGTTGCCATCATGTTCGAGTAACAGAGTTACAGAGATGCGAGATGCCTTCTCTCGTCACCCTATAGGGTTTTCTGCGAGTCTCAGCTCTTATTAGTAATTTAGCTGCTATGATCTGTGCTCTATGCAGTGCCCTAACACGGTGTCTATTGATGCCGTTTAGGCGTTTTTCCCTGACAGCATTGAAGCGTAAACTTTTGCGCTGGCCTATCCTGTATTAACGTTTTGGCAATTACTCCGTTTCACGGCCGAACGGAATTAATCGAATGGGTAAAGATCGAGTTCTTTGTTTGTAACTGAAGCTAACTTGATTTTCCTTGTCATAATTTTTTTGAGGTAATTTTTAAATTCAATATAATTCTTCTTCAAATTTACAGTATGCCATAATCTTGAAACAAGTTAAAAAAAAAAAAAAAAAACTAAATTCTATCCATTTTCATATAATTTGTCTAAAATTCTATTTGAATATAAGATAAAATTAATTTCGATGAAAATAAAAATAATGTTAAAAAGAAATTAATTATTTTAATGATAAAATTAAAATCAATAATAAAAAATATATTTGAATGCAAACATAATAATAATGATAAAATTAATTATAATAAAATAAAAAATAATTATTAAAAATATTAAATTAAAATTCATATATAATAAAAAATTTTAATTATTCAACTTATAAAAATTAATAAAAAATAAAAAATTTTAAAAAATATTTGAATGATAAGTAATAATTTTGATAATAAAATAAATAAAAAATAACAATAATATATTAAATAGTAATTTTATTATATTAAATTAGACTTATTTTATAAATCTTTTAAAAAAATTAAAATAAAAAAAGAAGATGATAAGTCAAATTAAATGGATAAAACAGTACCCAAAAAAAAAATCAATTGTGCATTTGGCTGGACCTAAAAACTCCAGAAAAAACCTCGTTTTTTTCAATCGGATATTCGGTGCATTGAGCACAGTGTTTCGTAACAAAGGCAGCATATACCTTCACAAATTCACAACACGTCAAACAAAAATAAATTCGATTCCATTTATTAGACTTGAAATGAATAAACTTGCAAAAATTTCGAACTAAAAATGACAAATTCAGAGATCAACGACAGAAACGTTAGTAAGTCTTCAACGATAACGACGAAGAGAGAGAGTGTTGTTTCTTTTCCAGGTTGCCCTGCGAGAAGGCCGATTCTTGTGGTGCAAGTGACCCTTTCCATGCAGGCCCCTGTTTTTCTTACCAGCAGATGTGAGTCCCCGAAGCTCCCTGTGCTTGTGAACAGGATTGCAGATCCAGTTAATTCTTGGGTCATTGCGGATAGCATTGTGTGCAACATCAACCAGGATAACCTCAAAGTACTTGTAAGTAGAATCCTACAGGATATAATGAAACACAAAGCAAAGCCATTTAGGAATCAGGACAACTAAATTCGTATTTAAGTGGCAAACCAGAACATTTAGCAAGTCCCACAAACCTCATTGATCCAGTATGAGTTAACAACCCTGAGACCTCCCAACTTTCGACCAGCACGCTCCTCTGCAACAGACCGCTTGCTGCGCTGGAACTTCAATTGGGTCACACCCTGGTTTGTGGGCTTACCATAGACAATACCCTTGGGAACAGGCCTCTTACGACCACCCCTCCTAACACGGACGCGATAAACCACATAACCCTGGATAAGGAGAAATAGCAAATTATGGACTGATAACATTACTATCTCCGTCCAAAATCCAACATTGCTTACCATCCATCTCTTAGAATAAAAAACGCCTAGAAATAGCAAATGGCAATTGCAAACGATTGATTGTTTGGTTCAAATCTAAGTAGTTTTTGGACAACTACTTGACCTAAGCAACTCAAGTGTTAAAGGCAACGTTCTAGCCATGTTCTTGTTTAGAATGAAAAGGAAAATGAAGACATAATTAGAACAAGCTTTCGGAAACTGCTGAATTGGACATTACCTGCTTGGCCTTGTAACCCAAGCGGCGTGCCTTGTCAGGACGGGTAGGGTGGTTGACCCTAACAATTGATGGATGCTGACGGTATTCCCAGCACCTCACCCTCTGCAAAAACCTCATTACATCGGACTGCTTCTTCCTCCATAGCTCCGACACGTACTTGTAAGCCCCTACATTTAATCATCCCCCATAAATAAAACTCCAGGTATAATTCAAACCAACAGTTCAGCACATGATAAATAAATTGCTTCCCACTGCAATATTTTCCAAAAATTTCACCCATAAAATAACATTTCTGGCACTTGCAAGACAGAAAGCTGAATAATTTGTTCCAAAGCACATTAAAAACTTACAACTTAAAAAAAAAAATAACTGAAAAAACATAAACATAAATCACTTAAAATGAGCTAAACCAACGGTAATTACCAAGACATAAAATGAAAATCTCAAATGATTCAACTTATTTCACTATCATTGAAGAACTAAGAATTGTGAAAAGACTCAAGTGAAAACCCAGAAGAAAATACTTAGAGAGAAAATGAAACAAAAACAATCTGTAGATAAAATCATTGAAGAGAGATCCAAAGTGAGTTTCAAGGAGTACCCATTGGCGAGCTGCGTAAGAGAGTTGCTAGGGTTTTCGATTACAGAAGGAGAGCTGAGGCCAGGATTTGCAGGTAAAATAAACCTTTTATAACAGAGGAGCCTGTCTAAATCTAGGCCATCCATTTTCTCTAGAAGTTTTGGACTCTGAGAGACTAAATCATTGCTAGGCCCAGTAAGTAAACTACGGGCAGTTTTAGAGCAGGCAATTGGGCCCAAGCGAATGATTATGTTCTTTCTTGGGCTTAGTGGGTGTTCATGTTCATAACAAAAGGTCGAAGCAGACGAACAGAGCAACGCATTCTCTGTTTTTTTACTCGTACTCTGTTCTATCATCAAGTCTTTGATTCCATGCATTCCTCTAAAAGTCTTCAAAAAAAATTATTGCTTTGAAAACCAATAAAGAACTTATAGATATTTGTTTAATTATTCAACTTAAAAACTAAAATTCTCATGAAAAAGTGCGGAGATCTGCACAAAATTATGTTTTATCTAAAAAAATGCACTTCACAAATTTATATTTAAACCTCAATTTATATATAATAGTGAATTCTGAAAATATTTTAATATAAGATTGATGTGTTGTAAATTATCTCGTTAAAGTTTGATGCTTTTATTAAATCTAATATAAAACATACTTAAAATCAATGTTATACTAAAAATTAAGATTTTAAAAGTAGCTTTCAATTCTCTTAAGATTTTAAAGATAATTTTTACGGCGTAATACGAAGTTTATATTCAATAATTAACTGTTTTAATATTATTTGTGAAAATTTGCATTAAGTATTGTGCCGAAAGTTTTAAAGTTTTATCTCTCAAAACATTATCTCATGAGTTTGTTTTTAAATTTCACCCTACATATCATAACAAATTTTTATAATACTTAGATTGAAATGTTACAAAAATTTCCAAAATTCAATCGGAGAACTGAAACATAAAGCATTATATATTATTCCTCTAAAATTTTCTTCTTTGCAGCCATCGATAATTTTAACAAGAAATAACTCTTTTTTAGACTTCTTCTCTCATTAATTTCGCATTATACCCTTCGTAAGAGATTTGACTAAGCAATTCTGAAGAGAATCCGTTAAAGACAACAACAAATCCAAAGGATTTTTATATTTAAGGGTTTTATTTTTTTTTATTTCTTGAACATAAAGAAACATCATTAAGCAATCTCAAATCTCAGGCGTGCATCAATGTTAGAATTGTAAAGATTAATACATATATTCAGCTGCAATATATTGGAAAAAAAATTAAAGTATTATATGAGCTTTTAGTTGCTAGAAAATTCTGTTAATTCACAAACCAAAAAGATAAATAATCCGAATTTACATTGTGCCAAAAGATGGCAAATCATAGAATTGTAAACCAAAAAAAGAATAAGACAACAACAGTACTAATTAATCTATAGCCATTATGCATAGCATTTTGGTGTTTGCTCTATCCAACCACCTTTGGCAACTGTGGAGTGTAGTCCCAGATGTCATCCCACCCAGTTGGCTTAATCTGATCCAATGGAATTGAAAACCAGTCGATTTCTTTAGGAGCAACACCTACTACTTCTTCTTCACCATCAGAAGGTGCCTTGATTTCTGATAAAAGATTTGGATCAATTTCCGGGTTCCAATCAATATTTTTATCAATATACATATCAGAACTTGGTAAGCCCATCTTGCAGGGAAAACCATGGAAATCTGCCCAGAATCTTCGTTTGGCTTTGTTGAAAGCCTTTAACCCAGCTGAATCATTCCATTCATATACTTTATCAGTTTTATGTAAATTTCTCTTTGCTTGCACAAATCTTTTCCAAGGCATTCCACCCACTAATGTGCAGAATCTTTTCTCCCATGCAGGCAATGATCTCCATGAACCTGAAAAACAAAAACGAAGAATCCAATTACTGCTCTGTTTTCTTTGCTTTATTCTATAAATAAAATTGCAGCAAAGAGAATACAATAAGAAAGAAACGAGAGGAAAACAAACCAGTATCATCGGATACTTTAGGGAGCAACTTTGGGTGAGTTACCTTCGGAACTCCATGTCCATAACTCTCTTGACGATGATGATATCTTCTTTGATGATATGACATGTTTTCCGAATTGAAAACTTAATTTCCAAGGAAATCCAAGTAGAACTCGATTGTTTATAATTTGAAGGAAAGAGTTATGAGTTGATGGGTGAAAACAAGTTTCAAGAGTTAGGGGTAGGTTATATATAAAGTGCAACTTCACCGACTCATCAAACGGCTCCTTCTGCTTGTTTGACAAGGATTAAAAAAGGACGTGAATGTTACTGCTTAGAACGAGTACTCGTATTGGATAGAGAACCAATAAAACAATAGAAGAAACCTAATTTTAGTAAGTTAATTAATATTAAATCCATATAATTCTAACGTAATACATGTTTATTTGGGAATCTAAGGAATTCCACACAGGGAATTATATCCAAATTTCTTTATCTCATCCTATGTATATTTTTTCAATTAATACTATGAGTCAGACATGAAGAAAGATTTAAATGAAATTTGTAAAATTTTTAATTAAAAACAATTGAATAAAAATTAAAATAAAAAATTTAAATCAATAAATAAATTAAAATATCGTATTATATAGATTAAGTATGCAAAATTTGATATGTTTTTCATATAAACATTTTTAGTAAAAATTTTCGTAATTAAATAAGTATTAAATAAATTTGAATTATAAATAATATTTTTAATGATTTGTCTTACATATCATTGAATTCTATCAAATTGTAAATTATAAATAGTACTTCCAATAACTTTTCTTAGATACATTGATCTTCTCATTGGCTCTATCAATTTATGGATTTAAAATTTTATTAACATTTTAATTAAATTACTTTTAATAATAAATTTTAAGTAAAAATTTTCATCTAAGTCTGACCTCAAATTTTGTCTTCAAGTTACTGATGAAGCTTTTACAGGAGTAATATAATTAGTAAATGAAAAAATAGCTTTTACTGGAGTAATATAATTAGTAAATTAAAAAACATAAAGCATTACGTATAATGTATGTACATACTTGTTAGGAAAAAGAACTAATGGCATCTAATGGTAGTTTAGGAAGGAACAATACTAAATTAGGAAACAATGATTGTATAAAATTATTAAAGATAATAGTGGTTGTAAAACACAGATCAAAAACATTTTATATAATTATTAAGCTAATAATGGTGCAACAGTATGCGGTAGCTCCATGAGAGCTTAGGCTGCTGCTACAGCGAGCAACAATACAAAATCTACTATACCCTATCTATGTTTACTATAACCGCTACGATCTCGTTCCTTGGATCCTCTTGAGTGCCGCGATTCTTCCACCCACTCAGCTGATGGTGGTGGCGGCGAAGACTCATACCTGGAGGGCTTCCTTTTGAAATGTCTATCATCATCACTAGACTCATAATCTACAGCATTGCTACTACTGTTCTTCCTACCACCGCCACCAGTAGCAGAAATTGCCTTGCCAGCTGCTGAAGTAGTCTTGTAGTCATCATAGTATCCGTTGGATGATGACTTGTGGTGTCCAGAAGATGCAGGTGCATCAGAAGATAGCCTGCGCTTCTTGCTCAGCTCTTCTTCTGGAAAGCTGATACGAGAAAACACACTTGCCTTTTGCTTCTTATCCATTGCTGCTGTCGTACTTGAGGAAGTGGCTTTGGTGACTGTTTCAGGGGCAAGCTTGGAAGAGTCAGATCGATGGTGATGATGGCGATCACGGTCACGATCATCATAGTCATAGTCATGATCGCGTTCATGATGCTGTTCAGCTTTTCTCTTTAAAGGGCGAGGTGGTGCTTCATGGTCCCGTGAGGAGCGTTCAGGTGAGGTCCTCTCTGATTGGTGCCGAAGATGTTCATGGCGATGGTCACCACCTGACATTTGTGGGATAGGCTTCTGCAACAAACAAACATAATTATCTTTCCAATAAAACGAGAATTTTCTAGTAGCATTTTATGAATGGCCACAGTAAACATACATCCCTCCTGTCGATTTTGAGGATAGAAACAGAATGGCAAAATGCAAGAGCTATTTTGTAGACGAAGAAACAAAAGGAGCTGCAGATGGCAAGTATAGAATGATTCCAAATTGTTTTTAGAAATACTTGAAAACCAGCAAGTAACAAGCACAGACAAACAGGATAAAATAGAAGAGAACTTCAATTTGCAACTTCATAAGACAAGCTTATGTCTAACTGTACGCAAATGAAATGGTTATTTTCATTTTTCACTTTGTTGTCTTTGTAGACGTTATTCAGTTCAAAACCCAACAAGATTTGGCACCATTAACTGAAGACATCAGGATGGGTTCAACGTTTCAAGACTGGCACTTGTACTTCATTACAAACTCAATCAAAACAAATGGCAGAAATGGTCTTAAAGAAACAAAGAATGAAGCAGAGTATAGCGAACATATCTAGTAGTATAGGTAACATGGTATCACAAGGCTGCAAAATGCCACAAATACAATTCTTAAACCGTACAAGTCCGACCAGTTCCGTATACTTATCCTTTTTCAATGTAAACCACCATAAAATTTTGCAGATAAAAACAGAGAAAAAGTAACAGTAGAAATTTCAAAATTTTACAACAGGTCGGGAGTCAAAATGGCTATCAGAAAGTTTCAAGTTTTATATTCTTCTTTTGACTTCTCTCTTGTCAATAAGTGGAATCATATGTGCATAACCAAAAATAAAAACTAGGAAAATAAAGAATACTTACAGATTTTGACTTCAACGATGAAACATCACCACTGTTGCTAACTTCTCTACCAAATTCCCGATCTCTGGAGAACTCCCTGCAACAGTTTTAGAAATAGTAAGTAAACCATTTAATCATGTGAAATCCCTGTCGGTAAATAATAAGAAGAAACATATTATTTTAAACCTATTCAGGGATCTCAGAACTTAACTGCACTATGACCCAGGAAATAGCCAAATATCTAGGGGCGTCATTCCCAGGTCAATGGAAGTAGTCCAATTGAGCCTACTATGCTTAGATTAAGAATGTTCAATACCTTTCACCACGTCTCTCATTTTCACGCTTCCTCCTCAAATCAGCTTGCCGAGCCTCAAATTCCTCTCTGCTCATGATAGGTGGGGCAACATTCATACCCATTCCAAATTCAGCAAGATCTCTACAAAGAAAATTGAAGCAAGTTAGACCTTAGATGTCCAAATAACAACAAGTTGCATATGAAGTCATAAGGTCATTGATATTGAACCCAATAATACTTTCAAAACAGAGAAAAAAGCCATGCATGCACTCAAGCAACAGAAATGCAACTGGTATAAAAATAGCATAGGCTATGTAACAAATGTTACACATACCTCTGAGGTGGGATAGGAGGAAACATGTAAGCTTGAGCACCAAAAGGATCTGGAGGCATGACACCTCCAAATGGCATGTCCAATGGACCTAGTCCATAACCCCCCATATAGGGCATGGCACCAGCATAAGGACCCATAAACCCATCCATCCCAGGCTGCATACCAGTCCAGTAAGGATTATAGGCTGAGGGACCCATAGACATCATATAGTTCTCAGCTGCAAGATCCTGAGGGGTTTTCCACTGCAAGTCTAGAGGGCAAAAAGAATAAGATTCAAGTTAAACATTCCTAATGATTTTATGAAACTCACATGTAGTTTGCATCATCACCAAATAGAAAAAAGGGGCTGGAGACCTACCATTTGCTGGCAAACGAACCTTCTTCTTTTTCTTTTTCTTTCCTGGCGAAGAAAAGCATCAAAATTAAACCTTCAATCCATTTATTTTCCTGATTGCCACTAATTAAAGACTACTACTTACTCTCTCTATAATACACACAAATCATCCATCCAACTCCTAGTGCAAGACAACATACAAATTTATTGCCTGAAGAAAATAGGTTCTTAATAGACACACCAGAATATTACTTTCAAAATGGACACAAGAAATATATCCCAGCCACAATCTTTCAAGAATAGGAAGGGTACTAAGGCTGACATGGAATGGGATAGCCCCACTCCAAGCATTTTCCACTCAGGTTTAAACCTTAAATCCCACCACTTCCTTGAAGAGATCAGCACCAATATCTTAAATGTTGTCTTTAAATCTTACCAAACCAACATAACCAATAAACTAAGAAACAAATAATATTATTACCTGCCTCTCCAGAAGCCACCTTCTGTTGCACTTCTTCCTCTGCAAGTGGGGCACTCCCTTGTGATGCAGGTTCCTTCACACTCATTGACTCCAGTGTAGCCTCAGATGCATCAGCAGGTTTAGCAATCTTAACTTTCTCCAAGACCTGTCTTGGGGGAATAGCTACCTTCACCTCATTAGCTTTATCCTTCACATCAGGACTTTCTTCCTTAGCAGATACTAGCTTCAGCTCTCCCTTTGATGCAGCCGATGTAGTAGGAGATGGAACTTTTGGCTGTGGACACCGAGCGGATTCCATATCTAAATTTGAAAGACAGGATAAATCAATAATGATTCTTAAATCATAGAACTCCTTGCAAAATTCATTTCATTATGTCAATAGATGATGTACCTTGAACTTGAAAAGTGCTTCCAGCATTGTCAGCGCTACTGTTACCAGACTCCAGTATACGATTAATTGTATCTCTTAGGGTCTTATTTGGCAGAAGATCATCGGCAAGTATGTTGGTCGCCCCACATACGCACATTGACTTTGAGATAATGTGGTCCCTTATGCCTGAGTTACATTTTGTTAAAGTGAGCTTCAACATGCATAAACAAGCCATCAGCAGGGTAAAGGAACCAGATGATGCATGGAATAAGTAGCAATAAAACTTACATTTATCGCAAAAACTCTTAAAACAACATTTGCTAGTTAGAACTGCATCTTTCATAACTTCCTTGCACAACGGGCAGTGGAGTTCAGGTGGAAGGTCACCAACAGAACGAGTGGAAGGTAAGCCCTCAATTTCTTTCTCAAAAGCAGCCCTGTTGGAAACAAAAAATTAATTCTCAAGTATAAAAACAAGAATTCCCTATAAGCATACACAAAACCACACTAATAGGATTAAACAGTTACTCATTGGGCTTCAAAACTGCAACTGCTCCACTTGGCAATGCATAAGAGCCATCTGGAGTTGCCATTAGCATCGATTTTGGAATGCCAGTTGGAGGCTTCACCCTTTTGATATCATAGTTTGGATCACCATTTGTGGGGCAGTGCTGAATAAAATGCCCTGCATGACAAATTCCATAATAAGTACAAGTTTACTAAAATGTATAATCTCTAGGAAAAGAAGAGTGTATTATCAACATACCAGGCACCTTACAGCGGTGACAAACATAACCCTGAGGAGGTGTTTTGCGCTCCAACCCTAATCGACCTCAATGAAAAAAAAAAAAACATAAACTTCAGCTACATATACACTTTCAGAAGTACAATTACATGAATGAAATGTCCCACAAAATTTCAAACCCCACTGATCTAAAATGAGAATAAATGGCCATCAATCTTTCAAGCACACAAGTTTACACAAAAATCATTAAATGTTAAACCAGCAAAAAAGCGACAGTTCAAACTTCAATAAATTTACAAGAGCATAGACCACTGACAAGCTTGCACTTAATGCAACTAAGGACAAGGACAGCACACTCAAACGCACACATATATAGACACAAACTAACAAAGATTTTACACAACTAACATCACATGCAAAAGGACAGAGGCACATTTATACCACAATACTAAGCAGCAGAAAAAGATCAAACTCCAATGGTCTAGAGATTCAACATAAAAAGAACATCATACAGACAAACACACCCACCCACCATGTTAAATGATGCAATAAAAACAAAAAGGCCATAAGAGAATCACCAAAACCACGCCCACCCATCCTTCCACCCATACCCCTTCCAAAGCCTCTACCAGGTCCAAAACCATCCGTAGCTTGGCTGTGAATCCAAAATAATTAAAGCCATTATGAATGAAAATTGCATCAATACAATAAGCAAAAAAATAAAAGAAAAGAAAATAGCAATCATCTCACCGCTGCCAGTCCAAGGCAGGAGTATCAATTAAAGCCTTAATCTTGCTGTCCTCATCAGCTTTATTAGTAGGGGGGGCATCAGGAAGTGGATTGTTTGATTGCACAGGCAGCGTTTCAGGGATTGAATATAAATCATTCCCAAATTCATCCCATTCGGAATCATCAGCCTACAAGTAAAAAATCAAGCTTAACATTATGTTTCTATTGTTTTCTCTTTGCTGATAAAACAACATTTCTCAAATGCACAACAGCTGACACTAGTAGCATGAAGACAAACAAATTTTCATCAAGGAAAATATGTTGGGAACAAAGCTTACATATTTCGGGACAGATGAATCACCATCCAGGAAGTTACTCTTTTCTGGTTGAGCATTTTCTATCTGACTTTCCACCTTAGGCCTGTAAAGTATAACAAATACCAAACTTAAACCTATAACCAAATTTCGTTTCACAATATTAAGCAGTATAAGCCAGAACTGATCTAAGCACACAACTGATCAAGTTCATGCAGTTAAAAAACCCTTCATACATGCTTTTTTGACAAGTTCATTAAAATTAAAATGTGTGAGTGGTTAGCTATCTAAAGGATTGAGATAATACTCTTGAGCAGCAACAATGGGCATGCGAGGCCTTCCAGGAACCCGGCGAATTAATACAGAAGTATTTTTTGGGATTAACATTGCTTCATCAAGATATTCTGAAATTGAAAAGAGAGAACAAGTGCATAAAACACTGCAAAAAGACTAATCCATGATCGACAAACAATTACTAAAATACGATCTTTACATCCAGTCAAGAAACAAAGTGAGCCAATCTAGAGCCCAACGAAAATTCCAACAGAATGGTAGATTTGGGCTTACTCCTACTGATATTATTATGCTAGATTTAATTAGAAAAACATAATTCCCTCCCTGAAACAAACAATTATTTCTGTCAACTCTGTCAGTATCTAAGTATCCAAGTAACCAGTTAGCTACCCGACTTTTTAAACGTAGAACCCACCTCTACACACTCAAAGTACAGGGAGCTAGTCAAGTTTAGAACCACCTATATAAGAGAAGCCATATCCATGATAAGACTCTATTTGAAATTGAGGGATCAATTGTCTCAAAAACCCAGTGGAAGGATATACAACAACCAAATTAGAAAGCTTAAACTTCAAAGGAAAACCCATGAATATTGAGTAGTTAAAAACATTACTAAATAAATTATCTGCTCCCAAAAAGATTAGTAAAGCCCATTAACATTTAATTAAACGTATCTACCAAAAAGCAAAGACCAACCTTCGTTAGTTTGGGCATTAGTGACAACGAGGTCGAAGTCGGTACCCCTGCCCAAGTGCTTTGATTCAAATATTTTTTCTTTCAAGGTACCAACACTTATAAAAGGACCATCCATGGAAATTGAATCAAAATCTCGTGCGCTCTTAAACTTATAATAAACAGCCATTTTTTTCCTTTCTTAATAACAATGAAACACACAAAAAAATTTTTGTAATGAACTTATTTATTGGCCTTCAAGAAAAAATAGGCCTGATATTCACTCATAAAAAAAAACAAAAACCAAATATAAACAGTACAAAATTTCTTTTTTTTTCCTTATTCTAAGAGAAACCAAACCAAACTCGTGATTCTTCTCAGAGGGAATATCCGAAGCTCTCTCTTCAAGAAATCAATTCCGAGAATTTCTCCATGATTTTATCGAAAAAGCCCCCAATTTTTTCGAATTTGTACGCGAAACCATAAGTTTCGAAAAATATTAGGGCAAATCACACGGAATTATGAAAAAGCCCCTTGGTCATAGATCTTCACCAAATTCACACGAACTCTTCGATTGTTTTATTAGAAAAATCGCTCCGAATTAATCGATTCTCCGCCGATCCAGATCTTCTGAAACTCGAACCAAAAATAAATCTTCGAAAAACAATCCCACCACCGATCGATCAAAGAAAGAGTCGGCAACTTCGATGCTTGAGATTCCGACACGTCGCAATCAAAAAGAGAAAATTAAAAGATTGGAGAACCTTGATCAAAGATTGGAGAGACTGAAAGGATTAGCGATCATCGTGAATCTCTAGAATTAGGGTTTGGGTGAGGGTTTCAGAAAGAGAGAGCAATGGGAATTTGCAAAGAGGCTATCATAAACCAGGCTAGTAAGAATCTGGACCTTCTAAACGTTCTGTCTATCTAAAAATAAACGCAGCTGAATGGACCGCCATTGGACCGCACGTGCGGTCCGGGTGCCGGTCTAAAATAAAATACCACGTAAAGGCTGCCTTTTTTTTTTTTTTTTTCTAGGCACGAGTTTTCTTATAAAAAATAAAGTAACATAAATAATAAAAATCTTTTATCAATATCAATCTATGAATTAATCAGGGGAATGAGTTAGATAAAAAATTGTATTAGACTTTCAATAACCATTAAAATTCAATAATTCGTATGATTTTTGTTAATATTATAAGAAATTAACGTGAAATTTTGTTTTATTATTATTCGTTATTAAATTTTATCATTATATTTTAATTTTATTTGAATTTTACAACTGTATTTTCACGAAATATCTTGTTTATAAAACAATAAAATGACAATTGAAATTTCAAACAAAAATAACGAAATTGAAATAATTTTCCAAAATATATGGTAATAAAATGAAAAATTATAATTAATTTTATATTTTATATTTAAAATCAATAAAATTAAAAATTCAGTCATAGTGAAATACAATGAAATTCAAAATGAATTCATAGTACACTAAAAACTTGACCTTAATCACTATATTATTTATAAATAACTTCAGTAACGAAAAAAAATTTGAGATAAAATTTTACATAAAATATCAATTTGAAAAATTAAATGGTTTTAAATTTTCATTTTAATGTAAGGTTTGAGACATCCAAAACTCACAGCCTCGAGCATTCCCACTCAAAACAGAAAGAGTTACATTTCTTTTCTTTGAATAACTTGCTGTGAAGTTTTCGACAAAACAATAGTATGCAAACACTTTTGATCTACTTGATAAAAGAAAACAACAAAAAAAAAAAAAAAAGAAAATGAAAAGAATCATACATTGGTAAATAAAAATTAAAGACGGAAAGACATATTCAGACATCGGTCAATATTAATGAAGATACAATCACCACATATGCTAGAAAAAAGAAAATGGCTATCTGAATGAAAAACTTTGGATTTTCCCTCATGTTTGGAGATGTAACCGCCCTGCAGACCAGAATCCATTCATTTTGTTAAAACCTTGTGCTCGAGGACATGGATGATAGAAGATGGTGGAAACTGAAATATGATTCAGCAAGTTCTTTTGTGGAATTTATGCTACACTACCTTGCAATTCGCTGTGAAAATCGATGAAATGGCAAACTCTGGATGAACACAATACCGGGTCCTGTTAGAACAGCTGTCACCAAATTGTCACCCTGCAATTTTACGGCCAAAGAACGTAGAATATTAAAATGCCATATATAAGTGATATGCAGTAATGGACATCAAGTTTAAGCAGCTGCGTTAACTGATACGGTAGAACTAGGATAATCAACCAAGTGCTGTTCCATGTGCTAATAATAGAGTTTCACATGAGACGTTTTAAACAAGCCTTCAATTTTAATCTTACCACACCACTCTCACTTAACCACCAGTCCACCATCATATCAAGAGAGTACAAAAATACTAACTGAAAGCAACTTACCCCAAAGACTGCTCTTCTCATTGGACCATTATATTTGATTTGGACATCAATAGAAGCAGTAAGGGCCACAATGCACGATACATCAACAGCCAATACCTCACCCACCTCAAGATTTTTCTGCACAACTAGCAAAAGAAAGAAACCCACGGAATCCCAATGATCAGTTTACATAGGGAAATCAATCAACTTCAACATTTTACTGTAACTAGCAAACAGATATACTATCAATGATTGGTTAAGCAATAAGAAAATAGTTTTTTTTTTTCTAACTTTCATGGGGGAAAGGGAAGCAACAAAGAGATCATAAAACATGCTCTTATATGAACTCTAAAACATGCATCTGAATTTACATAGAATAAGTATAGCACGGTACTGAGCCTGAGACAAACCAAAAGACAAGAAAAAAGTTAAAGGAAAAAAAGAAGGAAATTGTGGTATCTCTCGAACTCAAGTAACTCTAACAAAAGATTAAAGGATGTATAAGAGAAAAGATACCAGATCCACCAGCAATGATAAATGCAAGCCCCTGGCCAGATAACTTCTGCCTCAGAAATCCCTGTTATGCCATAACATGTCCATCAAATACGCAGATATAAATAGCTTAAAGAACTTTGAGAAATAAACCAAAGAAACAGAAATACAAATCAGAAAAAGATCTTTGAATGCAGCTTGAATATGTATCTAAGAGAATGGGGGAAATGCAAAAAATTAAGCTATCGTTATGGCACCTCTACACCAGTTACAACATTCCGCGCCCGCTGATCAACTGTATTATTGACCTTCACATCATTGATGGAGCAAAGAAATGCATCTGGCTACAAAACAAGTTTACAAGATGACATAAAGATTCCAGCTAATATAATGAAAAGTAATCTAATTCTGCAGCAAAAATGGACTTCCATGCAGTTATTGGAATTCTCAACTTTAAATGAGCAGTAATGGTTAGGGGAAAGAAAAGGAGAATGACTAATGAACAAGTCAGCTACCTGACATAAAAGCTCTCCACCAAACATTGCTAAATCAATCTGTTAAAATAAACATGAATCAGGAACATGATAAAACTCACAGTTAGCCATAACACAATGACAATTCCGGGATCATGAAGATTCTGGGATCATGAAGTGCTCAGACTTGAAATATGCAATAAATAAATTGTTGACATTTGGTAAGTTTGAAACACAAACCGGAAGAATCCTTGCAAGAGAAGGTGCAGCAATTCCAACAAATCCATCAGTTGGACCAGGATTGCCAAGTGCAATACTAGTTATACTCTTACCGAAAAGCCACTGCCACATGCCTACCTCATTTTCAGGGACATAAGTGTTTTCCATTTCAATGGACCCAGACATGAAGCACATGGAGCCTACATTTTGTTACATTCAATATCAATTTTGAGTGAATTAAAGTCTGCATGTTAACAAACAATAACTACAAATGCAGCAAGCCAATCATCTTATTGATTAAGCAGTCCTCCTCACTGTTCTTCAGCAGAGGATCTAAGTCATAGAAGTTTGATGATTGTAACTATAAGCAACAACAATAGAATCAGGATAGATGGTTTAAATTGATAGTAAAGTGGCTTCTCCATTTACTTAACTTTTGGTAGTAAAGTAGTTTCTCCATTTTATTAACTTTTGACACTTCTAGCCACTATTTATACTACAATATATTCTTGGCAACAGAATACTGTAGCATTTCAAATTGTAGAATACGGGGCTGGGCTCCTAGAAACCAACAATATACTTATCATAGTATCTAGAAACCCTCCCCATTTACCATGGGACATACCTGTATAATCACCAAAATACTAACTATAATGAAGACCCACATCATGGTAGCATCAAGACCCTAATTCCTATATTAAAACATAAAACTATAAACAACCTACCAGGTTTTGCAATAACCTTTTCTTGCGGCTTCAACATTATCTGGCAAACAAAAGAACCAATAACAAGATATCTCAAAAAAAAAAAAAAAAAGAACCAAAAAGGTTTCACAATCATAGGCACCGGATCATAGGCGCAAATTTCAAGAAAAAATCTTGATAAAAACTTTGAAGTACCTGCACTATTTGAGCCTCACCACCCAATATTTGAAATGGGATCACAGCATCTTGTGGATTCTACATGATTTTAAATCAATAAGAGATTATTATTTAGACTAAATAAGATTAATATTCTAATTTCCACTAATTTCCTTTGAAAAGGCTGGAAAAAATATTTGCCGTTTCCAGATTCAGCATTTTCACTAGCTGCCCTTACAGTTTGATCACTGCAGTCTCAAGACCATACAAAGCTACGTACAAACTGATTATAAACCTATCAATTTCAAGAAAACTAGAGTCCAAGTCAACACTATTTAAGGAACCCCCAATCACAATTCGTCAACAATGCGAGTAAATCATATAAAAGATCAAATGCCAAAGTAAAGCCTAAATTCCATAAAAATTTCACGCCAGTCGCCAAGAGACAAGGTTCAATTTCCTTCTAATTTTATCTACATTTTCCCATGAAACAAACAGAAAATCAGTGAAAGAGTGAACAGAGTTTTAAAAAATGTTACCTGATAAACGTAGGGTTGAAAAGGAGTAGAAAAAAAAGGGGCGGCCATGGAGAGATATCGAATTTGAAATTAAATCCTTCGATTTCGATACTTTAATTGAGTTCTACACTTTAATCACTATCCATAAAGGGAAAAAAAATAGATTCGTCGAAAATTGTTTGCTCCGCTTTCGTTTTTTATCGAAGTCGGCCATCTGAGATTGAGTAGGTCGGAATTTAAGTTACGGAATTAGCCTTGATAATTTTTTATTTTGTTAGGTTATTTGCTGGATTGGGCATGTTACTCTGTGGCTTTTTAGTCATTTTATGTTCTTGAACCGGTCGACATTAGAGCCTGTGACGACATGGCGTTATGTTATTGGTTGAAGTTGCAAGGCTCAACGTGTTTGAGAATGTCGGTCAATTTTATTAGTGGAGCACAGCAAGTGAAGCTTTTTACAGCGACGTCGTTTCTTATTTCCGAATAAGAAATTAAATAAAGATTATGGATTTATTTTTTTAAGGGAAAATAAAAGAAAATCTATTTTATAAAATTTCATTTTTACCATAAAAAACACTGACAGTTTTTCTGAATTTATTTAAAGTTTCTTGTAAGATTAATTATGTTCCATTTTCCACACAGTGGAAATTTAGAACCATTAAACATGGATCGAGAAACAAAGAAACAAAGAATCAAAAGAATTATTATCATTTTGAGAATTAATTAAAAACCTTAGATTTTAAATATCTAAAAAAAATAGTACTGATAATGTAATTTTATAAAAATTAGTATAAAAAAAGTAGGTTATTGCTCTTCGTATGCCTTTCATTTTCTTATACTAAGTATAAAAAAAAAAACATATTATTAAATTCGATATAAATAAAGACAGATTAATAATTACTACTAAAGATGATTTTTGCATACATTTATTAATTAAACAATTTTTTAAAATTCCTAAATATATTTCATTTTCTCGACGATGAACCATTAACACAATAACAATTCGTGTTCTTAATAATTGCATAGATATATTTCGATTATAAAGATTTTTAATTACATAGATAATTTATATATTTATTAATAAATTTAATAATTTAAAACATGATTTAATAAAATACATGAATATAATATTAATTATATTTTTATAATAATATAAATTATGATATATAATTTTTATATAAAATATTATATAAATATATTAATTTTAATATTTTTTGTCTGACCCTAAAATGAATTTTCCAAAGTATATTATATTTGCATTGCTTGTTAAACACGTCTTTGTTGATTAGCATAAAAATTTTTTACTTGAAAAAAAGGTAATATTATTGGGAGCATTAATAAATCGGGAAGCTGACAGACAGACAGTTAAGAAAAGTCAGACTTGGATGCAATACCATATTTATCAACTACCAAAGACCGTTACCGTCTCCCTCGCTGTTTCCCTCCATGCAAACCTTTCCTCTCCCTTTCTCTTTCTCTCATTTCTTTCTCTTACACATCTCTTTGCCCTGAATCTTTGTTTCTCTCTTCATTCAGGTAATTATCTCAATCTCTCCTTGTTCTTTTCTTTTGTCTTCTAGCTATCTTCTATGTATTTTCCCTGCCAGTTTAAGATTTCATCTCGCCTTGGTCAACACACGAATTTGTCGTTTGTGAACTTGATGGAGTTGCTTTGCTGTTGGGAATTGATGGTTTTCCTTAAATTTTGGTCGTCGACATTTGCCTACTGCTTTGATCTATTACTTTTTTGGGATTGTGTTAACCAAATTCCTTTACTCTGTGGGTGTTGTTCTAGAAATCTTGGATCAATAACTTCATTATGGTTGTCTTATCTAATTCATAAAGCTTTTCTTAAAAGATTGTTAAAACTATGGAATCTATGAATTTGAAGCAGTGTAGATTCAATGGATTTCTTGAATTTGAGTTGAGATCATAACAACCATTAATTTTTCCATGGAATTGAAACCATTTTTGAAATCCCATAAACCCAGCATTCAAATTCAAGAATTTTAAACAATGATGCAAGCACAACATCTTCAATTACCTACTTCTGTTGTTTTCCTGAGATTTTATCTTAAGTGGGCCTTAAGTTCAATGATGGAATAGACACCTATTTTTCACCTGTTATTGTAGAAGAATAGCTGAAGATAATTTGATTGATGCTTTGAATTTTCTTTTTGTTGCCTAATGTTATTGCATGTCTCTTTAATAGGATGGCGTAGGGGGATCCAAGGCATCTGATGAGACAGGAACCAAGGCCAGCCTTGTCAAGCACTTAGGAATGCTTCAGATGGCTGAAATCACAAAATTTGAAGCCCTATTATGTTAAGGCAAAGACCAGATTCCATGCACTTTTTTTTCCCCTTCTGATCATTGAGGAAGTTTGAAATCTGAGTACAACGAGATGAGGAAACTGTTGGAACATGTTGCTGTAGCCCTCATTAGGGAACTAATCCAACATTGCAAATGGGGCAAAATTGACTGGAGAAAGTTGCTTTTTGCTGGAGCAGTTATGTCAATAGCTGGGATAGTACTTCCAACCTTTTTACTTGCTTGTCAATGGAACATCCGGTTCGTCCCTTCTCTTATTAATGATTCATCACACCAATCTTTGAATGGTTCCATGCATTTGAGCAAGAACTTGACGGGGGCAGGGTTGGAACAATTTCAACTTGTTCCAGCTGCTCCCTTTGGTTTCACTGAATTCATCTATTGAAGCAAAAGAAAGGCCTAGAGTTGCTCATAGGAGGAGAAAGAGAAGGAAGAAGAGTAAAATAGATAATGCACTGAAGATTGTACTTCCTCCTCCTCGTATAATGGTATCCCCTCGCTTACAGGTAGAGATATTACTAGTCATTTTCCTTTTATATGTGAAAATTTGATAAGTAACTGATATGGATAATCTAACTACTGTCAGTTCTGATTCAGAGATACCTTCAGTCCCTGTCACCAGACGAGGCTCTTCTTTACGCTAAAAAGGAAATTAAGCATGCAACATTAGTTGATAATGATGATGATGATGATTCTTATCTGTACGCTCCAGTATTTAAAAATGTTTCTATTTCCCAAAGGTATGTTCACTTCGTTATTGCATACTGAGTTCTTCTGGTGGTTTCTGCTATGTCAGTGGTAATTAAATATATTGAAAATTATAAGTTCTTGCCTGAAACTTTAGGAGCTACGAGTTGATGGAAATGATACTTAAAGTCTACATTTACCCTGATGGAGAGAGACCAATTTTTCATGAACCTTATCTAAATGGTATTTATGCTTCTGAAGGGTGGTTTATGAAGTTATTGGAGGCAAACAGGGAGTTTGTTACACAAGACCCGGAAAAGGCTCATTTGTTTTATCTGCCATATAGTTCACGCCAGCTAGAGTTGGCGCTTTATGTGCCAAACTCACATAATTTGAGACCCCTTTCAATCTTCCTGAGGGATTATGTGAACATGATTGCCTCAAAGTATCCCTTTGGGAATCGCACCCATGGATCAGATCATTTTCTTGTTGCATGCCATGATTGGGTATGGTTTTCTATTTTCTTCTTCAATCAAAGAAAAAATAAGTGTCATTTTTATTAGACTTTAACCTCACACGTATCTATGCATGTGGAGTCATTTTCCTGGTTTCTGATGTCATATTCTATCACCCAAGTTTCCTCTAATCTACATTTTAACCATTTGCAGGGTCCTTATATAACCACTGCTCACAAGGAACTAAGAAATAACAGCATAAAAGCTGTATGCAATGCTGACCTGTCTGAGAATTTCATTGCTGGAAATGATGTTTCTTTACCAGAAACAGCCATAAGAAATCCAGGTAGACCTCTTAGAAATATTGGTGGTGGGATCTGGGTTTCACAACGCCCGATCCTTGCTTTCTTTGCCGGAAACATGCATGGCAGGGTCCGTCCCAAACTTCTCAAGTATTGGCACAACAAAGATGAAGACCTGAAAATCTATGGTCCTTTACCAATTCGAGTTTCTAGAAATATGACTTACATTCAACATATGAAATCAAGTAAATATTGTATATGCCCTATGGGGTATGAAGTGAACAGCCCTAGGATTGTTGAGGCTATATATTATGAGTGTGTGCCGGTGATTATTGCAGATAACTTTGTCCTACCATTTAGTGAAGTCCTAGATTGGAATGTGTTTTCTGTGACTGTGGCTGAAAAGGATATTCCAAAACTGAAGGAGATTCTCTTGGCTATTCCATTGAGAAGGTACCTTAAAATGCTAATGAATGTGAAGATGGTGCAGAAGCATTTTCTTTGGAATCCAAGACCAATGAGATATGATCTATTCCATATGATACTACATTCCATATGGTATAGCAGGCTCAACCAGATTCAAATTTCCTAGACTTAGTGTCACGGACTATGCTTTCTCTCAACAAGCAATAGACCGTGCGGCACTTGAATGGACGCTCCCACCCAAGTCAACCTTCAATAGTTCGATATCTGAACAAATAACCATGAGCCACAGTTAGTCCCAAGCGTACGCAATAAGACACATTCATATCGAGATCAATCTCAAGCACACACAAGAAGACACATTCACATCGACAAAAAAAAAAAAACACATCAAGGCAACATTCGGGATATTCGAATCAGAGGTAAATTTTATTATAATCGAGGATAGTACATCGGGACTTCCCACCATCGCTAGGGCCAGGGGGGCAACCCTTGACAGATGGCTTAATCTCGTATCGCGACCGGTGAGACAGCTCAACAGTACGTCGCCCGCTCACCCCATAAAGAGCCTTAGAGATTTTAGAGCTATGCTACCACTAACTATTAAATGTTTGAAATGGGGACACTTTTTTTAGCACAAGAGATCTACCCGATCATGGCCCTATACATGGGTGGCTCATGACAACCTAAGCCCCAGTCATGGCCCTATACAAGGTTGGCTCATGACATCCTCCCCCACCTATTCTATCGACATCTTCGTCGACTTGCTGGCTTAAAATTCTTCAATCTTTCTCTTAAATCTTCGGAGGTTGTGTTCCTTTTCCTAGCTGGTTTCTTCTAGTCCTAATCCTTCCCACTTTACTAAGTATTCACGAACTAGTCTTCAAAATACCTTGGTTTCCCTATCTGCTAAGATCTCTTTGACTCGACACTCTTAGGATGGTTTCATGGTGATGGCGGCTCTAATTGGCTCTTTTCGGCTAGCATTTGTAGGATCTGTATGAAAAGGTTTTAGGTTGCTCACATAAAATACCGGGTGCACTTTCATCCACTTTGGTGGGTCAATTTTGTAAGAAGCATTCTCCACCTTGGAAAGGATCTTCACTAGACCTTCATATTTACGCACTAATCTACGATCTCTCTTTCTCCAGAACCTGATTTGTTCAGGGACTAGTCAAATAAGAACCAAATCACCAACTTAAAATTGTTGTGCCCTACGACCTTTGTTCGCTTATTTCTTCATTCGCTTCGATGCTTTCTCCAAGTAGGCTTGTGCAATCTCAGTATTTTATTTTCACTCCTTGTCAAGGTTGAAGGCTCTCGAATTTCTCCCTCCATATTGCTCCAAAAAAGTATAGGGTAGCCTTGGTAATCGTCCGATGACCACTTTAAACGGGCTCTTGTTAATGAAAGAGCTTTTGTTGAAATTAAAGCAAAGCTGAGCAACGTCCAATAACGAAGGCCAGTTCTTCTGATTGACTTGAACAAAGTGCCTTAAGTATTCCTCTAGTAATCCATTGAACCGTTCCATTTGACTATCTGTTTGAGAGTGGTAGCTTGAAGAGATATTAAGTTGGGATCCCAGTATCTTGAAAAGTTCTCTCTAGAATCTCGGATCTATATTGCTTACAATGTTTTGAGGGAGGCCCCAGTATTTGACCACATATTTAAACAGTAGTCAAGCTGTGTCTTTCACAGTATAATACTTGTGAGTGGGAATGAATGTGACGTACTTAGAGAAATGATCAATCACCACCAAAATAACTCTAAGATCACCAACCTTGGGAAAGCCCGAAATGAAATTGAGAGAGATACTTTCCCACGGTCTAGCAAGCACCGATAGTGGTTCAAGCATGCCTATAAATTTTTTTTTTAACTTTATCTTGTTGGCAAATAAGGCAAGTCTTTGTATAGTCCATCACGTCTTATCGCATGTGAGGCCAATATTATCCATGTTTCAATAAAGTCAAAGTACGTTGTCAACCTAGATGTCCGACCCATGGTGTGTCATGACATTCTTTCATCAGCATTTATCTCAGACCTCCTGCTCTTGGCACAAACAATAGGGGCCCCTTGGTCCATAAGACCCTATTTTTTTGCCAGAAGTACTTGGACTTCCCTTCTTCAACTAGCTTTAGAATGGCACTGGCCTGCAGGTCATTCCCTAAATGATCTTCAATTAACTTGCGAATGTCTATCGTGACTCTGCTAGCCGTCATTAGGGCAATTCTTCTAAGGGCTACCAACTATGTTTGTCTGCTCAATGCATCGGCCACTTGATTGGTCTTTCCAGCGGTGTGCTCAAAACAAAAGTTGAACTCCGTTAAAAATTCTTGCCATCTAGCTTGTTTCGCTATAAGCCTTGGTTGGGTGAGAAAATGGCTAACGACCACATTGTCTGTCTTCACGATAAAGTGTGAACCCAATAAATAATGTCGCCAAGCCCGCAGACAGTGAACTACCGCCAAGAGCTCTTTTTCTTAGGTCATATATTTCTTCTCAGCTTCGCTTAGCTTTCTACTTTTAAATGCTATTGGGTGACGTTGTAAAAGTACTCCCCTAATAACGAAATCAGATGCATCCGTCTAAACTTTGAAAGGTTTTTTAATATCAGAGAGAGTTAAGATAGATCCTTCATAATAGCATCCTTCAATCCCTTAAAGGCCTCTTAGCATTCACTTGTCCAACATCATTTATGCTTTTTTTTAATAACTCCGTGAAGACCGTGGTCTTGCGAGAGTAACCTTCTACAAACCTTCTATAATAGTTGGTTAGTCTCAAAAATGAGCGAAGTTCACTAACATTCTTCGATATTATCTACTCTTTGATGGCCCTAACCTTTTCTTATGTCCATTCGAATGTGGCCACGTTCGATAATGTGACTGAAAAAGTAGATTTAGATATGAGCAAATACACATTTCTTCCTTTTCACATACAATTGGTGGTCTTGTAATCTTCGAAGCACCTGACGTAAGTGTTCTTGATGTTCTTCTAGAGTAGAACTATATACCACTATATCATGTAAATAGATAACTATAAATTTGTCTTGATAGTCATGGAACAACTGATTTATCAATGTACAAAACGTGGCAGGAGCATTAGTCAGTCTAAAAAGCATAACAAGAAATTTAAATGCGTTATACCGTGTTACACAAGTGGTCTTTAGCTCATCTCTTTCAGCGATTCTGACCTAATGGTAGCCAGATCTCAAGTTTAATTTGAAAAAGTACTTGGTCTGACTTAGTTGATCAAATAAACATGCTATAAGAGGGATGAGATATTTGTTTCTCACGGTGACTTTGTTCAGGGTCCTGTAGTCAACACATAATCGTAAACTTTCATCATGCTTCTTCTGAAATAGCACTGGTGCTCCAAAAGGAGCTTTTGATGGTCTAATGAACCCGACCTGTAAAAGCTCATCTAACCATTTTTTTAGTAAGATCAACTCTGGCGGGACCATGCGGTAAGGGGCTCTAGCAGGGGGTTTAACTCTTGAGAAGAGCTCAATTTCATGGTCCACGACTTTTTGAGGAGGTAAAACCTTAAGCAACATCCCTGGCATCACCTCTTCAAATTTTTTTAACATTTTTTCACGTCATCGTGTATCGGTTCCACTCTCAACCATTCCTTGTAAATCAACATGGCCACAAAAGAGGGTTCTCCTCTTTACCCTTTTTTTAAATTGTAAAGTTGAGATCATTTTCTTCTCATTTTTTGGTAAGATAGTGATCGACACCACACATGGGTGTTCCTCTAAGAATATCAGGTAACTAGTGGTGGAGATAGGGATCACCTAAGCTAACATCATAAAATTCAATCCGAAGACTACATCAAAGTCATCCATGGGAAAAACTGTAAAATCTACCTTCCATTTTCATGGCCTCAATTTGGTAATTACACTCTTGGAGCTTTCACTGATCGTAAAGGCTGACGAATTGACCGTCTTCATTCGTCTACATTCTTTGCTAACCTGGGGATCACACTTTTTTACTTCTTCTGGTGTGATAAAGATATCGATTGTACCGATATCTACTATAGCCCTGGTGGCCTTCTCATTGATTGTTAAGTTCACATACATCAGGCATTTACCCTACTCTTTCTTTATTGTGTTCAGTTGAGTGTGAAGGGCATTGAGGAACCTTATTGAACCTATCCTGGCTGGCTCCTCTTCAACTTCTTCAACGATCTCTAGTGCTTTTACAGATTCTTGAGACGAGGCTTTTAAGGCATTAAGGGCTCCTCTGTGTGGGCACTCAGCCACCCGATGCGATCCCCTGTATAAAAGACAAGCTAGTGGTTGCCTAGACTTGAAAATCACTGCATTGTTTATCTTGGATTGGGTGTTATCTCGACTAAAAGACCTCCTATCTGATCTCTCACTAAAGGGTCGGTCCAATCTAGTTATCTTTCTTTCACTTCCAAAGTTGAAGTTACTGCCAACTGATGAAAAGATTTTTTCATTTTGAAGAGCCATCATTATAATCATGGAGACGTTCAGTTGCAGCTATGGCCATTGCCACATCTTGCACTTTTTATTTTTATAGTTTTGTCCTGGCCTAAGGCTTGAGCCCTCAAGAAAATAAAACATCTTATCATTTTCGGACACGTCTCGAATATCCAACATCAGGGTAGAAAAACTCCTCATAAACTCTTGCACTATTCCTGTTTGCACCAATTCTCGAAGTTTCTTTTGGGCCATATACTTCACATTTTCAGGGAAGAACTAGTTTTTCAGTTCTTGTTTCAGGTTTGTCCAAGTTTTAATCGAACATTCATCATTGACAAACTTGGAGCCCCACTATAGCTTGGCATCCCCTGTGAGGTACATCGACGCCATTGCTACCTTGTCTTTCTCTGAATCCGTGTATACAGCTTAAAAGTACTGCTCCATGTCAAACAAAAAATTTTCAAGCTCCTTGGCATCTTTTGCCCCCTCATAGCATCGAAGCTCCGGCACCTTGGCCCTTTTTTTCTTTTACGTCGAGCTCAAACTCGATCTGGCCATAGCCATTTGTATAATGTTCACTTGTGCTCTGAACTCCTCGAACTCTTTTTGGAGAACATTTAAGGCATCTCTAGCCTCCTCGCTCACGTTGTGAAGAGTATCGAACAACTCCTTCTGGGTTGTCTCGATATCCCTCAATCGATCTTTAGTCAACATGTAAGTTTTCACTGCGGTCACGGTGACCTTAAGTTCCTCAAGTCTCTGTTAATAATTGGGTCCACCACTTGTGGCCATCTCATCCATTTTTTAGCACTTCTCAACCGTGCTTCGATACCACGTGTCACGGACTACGCTTTCTCTCAACAAGCAATAGACCGTGCGACATTTAAATGGACGCTCCCACCGAAGTCAGCCCTCAATAGTTCGATATCTGAACAAATAACCATAAGCCACAGTTAGTCCCAAGTGTACGCAATAAGATACATTCATATCGAGATCAATCTCAAGCACACACAAGAAAGCACATTCATATCGATAAAAAGAAAAACACATCAAGGCAACATTCAAAACATTCGAATCGGAAGTGAATTTTATTATAATCGAAAATAGTACATCGGGACTTCCCACCATCGCCAGGGCCAAGGGGCAGCTCTTGCCAGATGGCCTAGGCCCGTATCGCGACCGATGAGACAACCCAACAGTATGTTGCCCATTCACTCCCTAAAAAGCCTTAAAAATTTTAAAGCTATGCTACCACTAACTATTACAATGTTTGAAATGAATATACTTTTTCTAGCATAAGAGATCTATTCGATCATAATCTTATATACGAGTGACTCATGATAATTTAAGTCTCAATCATAATCCTATACAAAATTGGATCATAACCCTATACAAAATTAGCTCATGACACCTAACTTGTTTTTCTACGAGGGAACATTTGCCACGAAGATGGACAGCTAAAAGGGCCAAAACTCCTGATTAGGCAAGAATCAGTTGACAGAATTGGAAGGCTTAGCTGTCAATCAGATAAAGATTGCAACGTAATTTTTACTGCCTTGTGAGCTGGTCCCATGTTCAGAAATCAGTGTTTGTAGCTAGAAACAGGAATGAAAATGCCGATGCCAGAATAAAAATTGTTGATAGAGGTATAGCTTAATTATTTATTTGAATTTTTTGTTACATAAATTTTCTCGCTCATGGATTATGACCTTAACTTTCAATGATAAGACCATGGATGATAGATCTTTTCTTTTTCCCGCTGCAGGGAAAACCAAAGGCAACATTTGTAATCATTCGGAATAAGTTATAGGGAGACTATGAGGTTATACCGCACAAGTTCAACATGTGCATTGTCTTAGGACTTTGCTGTTCTCGAATCATACTTTAGGATTCAGTAGAGAGGTTTAAACAGTGAGCAACTTCTGTTTTTCACTTTATGTTTCAGTTTCACCGTGATCTAGCTTCATTAATGCCTATCAATTCCAAGTCTTTTCTTAATGCTAATCAACTTGTCGTCATACTCTTACAAATTCAAGCTGGTTAACCGTACAAACCCAAAATTATCATGCATCTTTATCATTCTTTTTATTACTGTAAGAGATTTGGTGTTCAGCACGTTACACGTTTTTATAGTTTTGGCTTTCCAATAGGATAGGATTCAACTGGACTGACAAAAATCGAATCTAAAGTGTCTAAATCTCACGGCTGACCTTGACCCTTGTTTTTTTTTATGATTAGTTTTGACATTGACCCACTGAAATCTTGGCCTCAATTTTCTGCGGGGAAATCAACTGAAAATTGATGTAAGAAATTTCAGCACATCAACAATATTTACTTTTTCGTTTTTATTCACTTTAAAATAATGATTCCAAGACAAATTTTAAGCTTTAAAATTAACTAATTCACATTCTTACACAAGTGGTTGGCTGAAAGCCACCAGGCCTAATACCAGAGAGCCAACTGGATCTCTGGCAGGCTGTGACATGAATTTTAGCAAGCAACCCATCGGTGTTCAACAAACATTTGGCTACAGCCTAGACTAATGCAGCAAAAGAGTACTTTTGATTCAAACATCTTTTTATTTATGAACTTATTTATTTCAGAGGAAACACGTTTATTACAAACTTATACAGTTGCTATCGATCTTCATAATTATCAAGTTCAAGAAACTTGTTCACCCATTCCAAACCAAAGCAACCTTGACTTGAGAAGTCAAAGAAGTCGTTTACATCAAAGCTAAGTTCAAAGTTGTCATCACTTCCTTTTGCTACCTCTTCTTCCATCCGGACTGTTTCCCAAGTCTTCTGGGGCACAGTTTGTTCTGAGGTTGAAGTTTGTTTGGTTTTCTCCTTCTGGTTTATTTTCTTGATCAAATGTGAATTCCAGTAGTTCTTAATCTCATTGTCTGTTCGCCCTGGAAGCCTCCCAGCAATCAAAGACCACCTGTACCAAGTACCCCATTGGCCCATTTAAATGAATTGAATCAATGCTTACTTTCTTTTCAAAAGAATATTTTAATATATGACATTTACCTGTTCCCTAGCAGTTTGTGAAGCCTAAGAATTAAGTCCTCTTCTTCATCAGTTATGTTGCCTCTCTTGATGTTAGGTCTCAAGTAGTTCAACCATCTCAATCTGCAACTCTTGCCGCATCGATTCAAACCTATACATGGAAACATTTCAGCTGTCAATTCCAATGCCAATGCTCCAAAAATGGAAGAAAAAAAATGTAGTTTGTCCTTGCGTTAAAGAAACTAAAAACAGCAGAGCAGATCAGCTCTCATAAGAGCTAGCTATAGAGAACACAATTAACCTGCTTTAATTGCGATTGTTTTCCATCTCTTTGCACCATGAATCCCAATATATTCAGCCAGTTTTCTATCTTCCTCAGCTGTCCATGATCCTTTGTTCATAACCCTTTTACTCACTCCATCCTTCTTAGGAGCCATTACCACAGCAAGAAAAGACAGACAGAAACAAAGCCAGGGAGAGATGCTTTTAGCCGGTAGTGGTAGATTAGTGAGAGAAATTTCGATTTCTCAAACAAGGAGGGAAGACAAGAGTATAAAACATGGAGAGTTTGGCGTTAGTGAAATAGAGGATTGAATGGTCAGTGAGTCCATTATCCATCTACCCTTCCTGGGAAGCCAAAGACAATAAGCCCTCAACTACCAGTTCTATCTATCTAGACTTCATGTTACCCTGGGAAGTGCCAACCCTCTCTACTTTGCTATTTTTGCTGCATCCTGCCCTGGAATGAGATGAAAAAAAATTAAAATAAGTTAGATTTTATTATTCAATTAATACAGCTTCACATTCCCTTGGTAAAAGTTGATCATGGGTTCAGATTCCATGCTTACCAATGAAACATTAACTGTGATAAATTAATGTACTGACTGATAAGTGAAAATGACAAACACATCTCCATCATTTTCATTCTTTACATACACAGAGACACAAGTAGGATGTTTATTAACTGAATTAATCCATTTTTCCCTGGTTTCTTTGTTTAAGTTGTATTATGGAACGTAACCAATTTCCATCTTCAAAACTCGAGGATTAGAATATAACTGAAACCTCTTGATGATGAAGAGGTCAACAAAAAGGTACAAAGTGGTAATTGAAACATTAATTTTGTACAATGCTGGTATATTACACTATTCTAAGAAAGATTTATATTTGATTCATTATTAATATATAAATTTACATATTGTTTGGATGGTATCATCTTACTAATGAATTGAATCAAATGATGAAACTTCGTTAATAATTTTTTAAAAAAAATTAAATTTTTTATATATTTATTTTAAAATTTAATATTTATTTATTAATAAAATGATATCACCTTATTTATTAATAATATATAAAATTTATATATTAATAATATATTAAATATAAATTTTTTAAAAAATATACGTGTGATTCAATGCTAGAGCTCTCGTCACTTTTTAATTTTCTAAAAAAAAAAAAAAAAGGTGGTTGGGAACTTGGGACTAGTGTTTCCTTATAAAATGGAGATACACAGTTATATGTCAGCCAGAAGTGGACCACCAGCAAGATTTTGACATATCAATATCCTAGCAGCAGCCGCCCGATTCATTAGAAACTCAATACTAGAGATGTTCATTGTTAAGCCAAGTCAAACAGGTTGATTTTTAAAATTTTTTGTTTAAAATTTGGTCTGATTAATTTGATCCAAAATTTTTATTATTAATTAATAATATTTTAAATCGAATCAAATTTAAATTTCAAAATTCATATCCAAAATTCAACTTAAGTCAAATTAAACTCTCTGTGAATAGTTTAATAAGGGGGCAAATCTATTCTAAACTGAGGTTCATTTTTTTTTCTTCTTTGTGGCTGTCAGCTCCAACATTTAAGAATGTTATATATGGAAGAAAGTAATGCTATTTATTAAAACCGGTTAATTGATATTGTAAAAAAAAATTAATGTATTATTTTTTAAAATTTAATGAAAATAATGACTTAAAAATAATATTTTAGTTATATTTAGTTGGTGTTTTATAAACCTTCTTTAATTGAAACTACAAGTTCTGGAAAAAAAAAAATCCGACAAAAAAAAAACCCGTGACTCCCGTGTTGGACTTTTTTTCTTAAATTTTATTATCCTTGAATTGCCAGTAAAAAGGGCAAAATAAGATAAAAAAGAAAGGGCACATGGCCTTTTAAACTGCAATTACTATGTTTTACCCGTTTTTGTGAATCAAAAGGGTAGAGCAATTGTCTCATCCAATTAAAGTTTTGCCAGTCGTTCATGTTGGTGCTTGTCCTTTTAATCTGTTTCGCTTGTTTTAATTTCCTATCCATGTAAAAAAAAAAAATACTTTTTTGTGTCTTAAATTTCACTATTATTTCACACATTTGACCCTTTTTTGAAGTTGGAGTCTTTAAAAAACCATGGACAAGAATTGTTTGCTTTATCAAATTCAATGAATTTTGAATATAAAACTTCCCTAATGATAAACCTCCATGTAACGATGAAATGCCTATTTGCTATTGGCTACCGCGAGAGCATTGCAGCTGCTTTATGTCATGTATTTGTTTTTTTTTTTTTAAAGAAAACTTTGGAATGGTGGCCAATTATAATCAGAAATGGTGATATATGGACCACAATCCATGGAATTTTTTTTTTTACATTTTGAATAAGAGAATATTCACAATTTTTTTTTTGTATTATTGAGCCAAATGCTTATCATAAGACAACATGATTTCAATAATAAGTTGTAAAAATTTTGGCAGATTTGGTTTTTACTTTATCTGTACATGGCAGACCTTGACTTTTAACCGGAATTGGTATTAGTAAAAAAAAGAAAAAAAAAGTTTAGTGGGGTAAAGTGGTAAAAAGGCAAAACATATTCCTATATACTAGTAGTAGTAATAATTGTTTTGTACTTTCCAGTGGTAAAAAGGCAAAACATATTAACTTCAAATTGTTTGTCAGACTGATTTAGAATCAATAGTGACAATAAATACATTTTTCTAATAAATGTATATATATATATATATTTAAAAAAAAAAGTTATCCTTTTTGGGCAATATTCTAAATATAATATATATATTTAATTTTTCATCGTTCTCTAATTTATTTTTATCTTGTTGAAATCTGCAAATTATTATACCATAAAAGATTCTAATAGATCATGATCTTGTATAGAAACCCATATGGAAAAGGAAAATGCAGAGTTTTGAATTCAAAGTTCTAGTAACACACCAACAAAAAGAATTGAACCTATCTACTGAAAAGATTTTGACTCTTGACCCCATCATGAAAGACCATTGAGCCAATGTTTAGTTTCCTTATAGTTTAAGGCAATGTAGAGTCTACTTTTAGCAAGAAGTTGGGGTCAACACCATGCAATCAAATTGTGTGGTATTATCAAGAATAAACTTAAATACCAAAAAAAATTATTCAGGAAAGAGTGTGCTATGATTCATAAACAATTAAACATGGAGTTCTTAACACTCTTTGAAGTCTTGACTCTTTATTTGAATAGTGCATTCAAACATAAAGCCTCACACACAAAAACAAGCGTTGCTATCAGTTCATCAACAGCCCAGTAAAACATTTTCAGATTCTAATCCAACGTCAAATAGATCTTGACCTACTATCACACGAGGAAAAACACAAGAAGCAATTACCGAAATCGAGGTTTCTTCTCCAACTTGGCCAGCTTCTGCTTGGCTTCTTTTGCCATATCTTTGTAGCTATTGCTCTTTTCTTCGTAGCTATTGATCTCTTCTAATAACCTCTTCCTCTCTGTCTTATCCTCCAAACTTTCTGAGACACCTGCCAACATCTCCTTTAGCCATGAAAGCTGCAAACCAACGCGCTCCATGTCTTTAACCTTTAGCTCCATACTTTTGATGCCCTCCAGCTCGAGCATCTCAGGCTCGCTTTTTATCTTTCGGTAGACTTCAGCTAGTGAATTAATAAAGAAGCTCTGCGAATCAGGGTGGTCAACTAGAAAGTTTTCAGCAACATAAGGATGTTCTTGAAATATCTCAGCGACCACACTGGCATTGCAGTTTAAAACTATGTTGTTTTCCATAAAACAGGTCTTATCACGTGACAGCATCACATTGGTTTTATTTGCTGCAGCATTACTGGTGCCTTCATCCCAATTAGTAGCAGATTCATAATTGTCAGAAGACAAAGTCAGTAAAGTAGGAGACATACAGGTTAAATATGTATACAATTGAAAAGTAAAATAACTCAAGTACGTTTCAAGACAATTAAATTTGTTATGCGATAGTTTAGGAATCTCTCAGATAGGCAATCAATTGCTACTCTATAAGTTGGATGATGCCTTAGACATTATTAAAAGATAATTGAGAATACTATCCCTGTATATAATATAATTAACAAGAAATGAAATAGAAATATCAAAAACCATCTTTAATACATCTCGAAGAAAAAAAAAACTTTTATTTATCATTGCACAATGGGCATTGGAATATTAGATTGAAGCCATTTACCTGTCACATCCATAAGACTTTTCTCAAAGTTGTCCAAATCGAAAAAACCACTGTCATGTTTTAGAAGATCATCCTGTGTCACAAGAAACTATAAGAACAGAATCAGATAATGATCCAAAATTAAGCAGATTATAATTAAACTTACCAGATCATCAAAAAACCCTTCATTAGTAGAGTCTACCTCAAGATCCTGTAAATAAAGGAGAAAGGTCAATAGCAATACACATGGAAATTGACAGACTTCCCACTCAGATTTCTTATAGTGTCTGCCTCATATTTCTTGTTTTTGTTTTTATTATACAACAAAATATAATAGAAAGGTGGAATCAATGGAAAAAGTTGAAACAGCAATATGAAGTTAAAATGTTCTTATAATCTAGTAGTATCTCTCCTGTAGTACTATCTTGTTTTTGAATTTCAAAATAAGAATGGATGGTAAAAAGATGGACTATAGGGTTAGCATATCCCAGTATAAGCACTGTTTTTGGTTTGCAAAAGATATTAGATTATATATGCATCAAAGAGTATTAACATAAAGGAATGACTAGTTTGTTATATCTTCATCTCCCTATTAAAAAAATAAGATTACTTTTTTTAACAAAAGGTGAAATAAAAATTTTGAATTAATTATCACCTAAAATGATAGAATTAAATTTGAGTTTGACTTCTTCTACGGGTCATATTCGATACATTTTTCGTCCATGTATAAATTTTATATGCAGTCAGTTGAGTCACATGCTGCCACTTTTGTTCTGAGTTAAACTAAGAAGCTTATGAGTCTTCAAAAATTATTTCTCTCTTTGTATAAGAAAAACTGAGTTTTCAGCCTTAAGTTTCAATAGAAATGAGGTACATAAAATTTGAAAGCACCGAAGCAGGATGGTATGATCTTGACATGTAAAATACACAATGAATGAAAGAAAATTCCAGAAAAGAAAGATATGAATCTTGAAGAATACTGCATGGTTTGTGAGTTTTCAAAAATTATTTCTCTCTTTTTATAAGAAAAACAGAGATTTCAGCCTTAAGTTTCAATAGAAATGAGGTACATGAAATTTGAAAGCACCGAAGCAGGATAGTATGATCTTAACATGTAATACACAATGAATTAAAGAAAATTCCATATCAGAAAGATATGAATCTTGAAGAATACTGTATAGTTTGTGAAAGATATAATAGATTACCCAACAAATAAATTAAAGGAATGACAAGTTCTATAAATATGCTAGTATGAATAAGTGAGAGGTGTTAAGGTTTAATTGGTTGAATAACTGAAGATTAAACTTAATTGATAGAATTGAAAATGGTCCACAACATTCCATATTCAGGTCATAAAAAGGTCATCACGTGCTTAAGAAAACTCAAAATTCAGTTCTTACCATCTCTTGGCTGGTTTTTTTCATTGCCAGTTTTAATTCTGCTAGTCTCCCTGCCACCAGTCCTATCGTTAAAATCAATTCCTTTACTTGTTTCTCTTGATCAATCATCTACATTCCAAACATACAGAGTAAAGATCAAAAACAGTAACAGAGTGAAAAAGAGGCCAGGAAAGAGACAAAATTACTATATGTTGACCTCTTGAAGAATGTTTCTCAATAAACTTACTGCATTGACACTGTAAACTCAATAAACCAAAGATAAAGACAAATCACTAAAAAAGGTTATGCCAGTTAACACTGTAAACTCAATAAACTAAAGATAAAGACAAATCACTAAAAAAGGTTATGCCAACATTAATGGGTCTATACTTCTTATTTAACCTAATGATATAGCTATTATACTAAGTTACAAACTTATGTTTGCTGCAATAACATTTTTTCTATAAATAATTTCATGACAGAAGTACAATCTCATATTTATTAAATTTGGGATATCTTGAAAACCTAAATATGACAAAAGTCTCTCCAATGTCCACTTATTATCCAATTAGTTTTCAATTGAATGTTTTTCTAAATTTAACATGGTATCACAGTAAGGTCTATCCTTCATTTTGCTATACATAATCCCTACATGTAAATTTCATATCACATATAGCCTCATAATCCCTACATGTAAAGTTCATTATGCATGCTAGATACATTATACAACAAATTTAATATCAATGTTGGATTTTTTTATGACCACTTTAACGAATTTTAGCTGCATCCTGCATGCAGTTAATGCTATGATCAGTTTGTCACTCAATAAAGAAAGTATAAGTTAAACGAGAAAAAACTACTTGTTGTTCGAAGATATCGTCTTAGTGAGTTTCAAAAATATCTATATGCACCATGAATGAAAAGTTCAATCAATTTTTATATTATTCTCGAAAACAACAGATTAATTAACATGAGTATACAGAGTTTTCTACATTCATCACATTCTTCAGTCCAAAATTCTTACCTCTTGGTTGTGAACCTCAGCATTTTTTCCTTTTTGGTTAATTTGGAAAAAATCAGTGGTTGGAGGAAAGTTGAGTCTTAACTGTCCCCCCTTTATTTCAAAGGTATCCGAGCCAACACCATTATGTCCTTGAACCTGATTAGGGCCCTCTTGGATTAAAATGTCATTTGCTGCTATACTTAAGCAAGAATTCACCACTTTCTGCAGCATATTTGCAACAACAGTATAAACCTTTGCTTCCCTCATTGATTGGTGCTTTTGATCCAGAATGGCCATCATCTGGAATTGCACAACAGAAAGTCAATGCTAATTATCGGGAAAAAGAGAGTAAAGAGTAAGAAACAGAGAGAGGAGCTAAAAAGACTAGGTAATTGGTATTGCCTGCTTAAGCTCCGCCCCAATGCCTTGTGACTCCACCTTTGCCTCTTGCATCGCTTCAGCAAAATATATAAAGAAAGCAAACAACAAATGGGAATAATTAGTTTAAATGGTTAAAAATAAAAAGTATCAACATCACAATTTGAATATTTAGAGTTAATTCTAGCATTATTTCCTAAAATGATAAAAGGAATATATGTATATATGAGGTGTTAAAGGTTTACCTATGATTATTGTGTCATAATAAAAATTAATAAAGAAATATTGAAGGATTACTGTTTGATGCACCATAAGTATATAATGTTATAAATAATAAATGAAGCACAATTTAACATCCAATAATTATTTATTCCTCAGGACTAATTGAAGCATGACTGAATTAGGACTTATGCGAAAAGATTTGAACATTCATCCTACTATTCATAGGATTAAATAAGCTGTCACAGAATTTTTAAGAGTGTAGGGGAAGAAAGCATCTACAAAGCAAAAAAGAATGATGGAGGGACCCACACAGCTGAAAAAATGGTATTTTCCTGAAAAGGACTGGACCATAGTCAACTATGATGGTTTATTTGACAGTAGCTCTTATAAGGCTCCGATTCAAATCATTGCTATTTGCTAGGGATCATAAAGGAAAGGTGGTCGTTGGTATAGGCAAGCTAGAGAATGCTGATGATGTCTTAGTTGCAGAAGCTCCAGCATTGAAAGAGGGGACTTTACAAGCTGCTACGGAGAAGTATTCAAGTATTCAAGAGTTGTCTTTGAAGCTGATGCTAAAGCTGTGGTTGCTGATAATACCAAGAAGGAAAGGGCAGCGTAGCATTAGAAGATTGTGTCCATACTTGGAGATTTCAAGGCCTTGAAAAGATATTTTGTGGATAGTAAGGTTTCTTTGGTAAAGCGTTATGCAAATTTGGTGGCAGATTTGGGTCACAAAGCAGTCAAAGTTGGGGATGTGGTTTAATGGGTGGGTTCCTTGGTTTTCATTTTTAAATAAGGACGGTCTCCCTGCACCTCATTGATTTGTTCTTCTTGTTGCCGTTGCCATAACGGGCTTCTGCTCTTTCAAGATGACTTCAGTATTTTGATGTAATTAGATTGTATTGACTATTAGTATTAATAAAATTCTGTCTTTGGCAAAAAAAATATAATTTTTGCCTACATCTTGCATGGGCACAATCTTGACTTTTACCCAGTCACTCATGCTTCAAAGTATCAAAAATAACTAGTCATGCTTCATAGTTAATTCTTTTGATCTAAATCCAAGATTCACTACTGTCCTAAAAATCCTTTCTGATGAAAATGCTATAACAAATCAACACTCAATACCTCCTTCCCAAAACTCGTACCTTCTATCGGTCGCAACCACTGTAAGACCTTCTCTTTCGCTTGTTTTACTAATTCCATCTTTTTTTCCCAGCTCCTCTGCACAATAAATATAAAAATTAAGTAAGCAAACTCACTAAAAAATTATAAAGGACAAAGAGAAGGAGTATGAGGGGAAAGCATTACATTTTGCTTATAACCGCAATCACCTATTATAGTACATATCAAATTTTCGACTTCCTGATGGCATTTCTACATATGGAGAGCAATGGAGAATTAAATAGTTGAACATGTGGGGAAAAGGAAACTTGAAGGAAAACAAAAGAAGAGGAGAAATAGAGCACGTACTTTCACTTTTTCATGATGACGTTTATCTTTATTCCCTCCAGTAGAATCTCCCATGTTAAAAGACCGCACACTCTGAGAATCTGAAGAAAAAGGATCATAAGACATAGAAATCTGAAGATGCAAACTATACATAGCAATTTCCAAAAAACAAGTTAGAGTCAACAAAGTCAGACAAGCCATCCCTAATACATATAGCAGAAAAAAGAAAGATATTCCATTGAATCAGAGAAAATTACTGCTACGGCTAGCTATTATGTAAATAAGGGTTTCTTATTCTTATGCAAATGATGGGTGAACAGAAAATTCGAAAAAAAAAAAAAAGACAAGATTCGATTCCATCAAAGCCAAAGAGATGAGTAATGGAAATTATTGCTTACCAGTTAATCGAAAACTCCTTTATCTTTTTTTTTTTAGCAGCATTTCATATCTCCTACTTATAGTAGCTGAGAATCAAGCTTCGAACTCTGTTCGCGCGATAATTATTGAGAATCAAGCAGCGAAGTCTGTTCGCGCGATAATTATTGCTTGAAAGAGACAAAGAAGCAAAAAATAAATTTGAATTTACAGCCCTTTGATAAAAGAAGGTTAAAGTAACGTTGACTTGAGTTTCGTTTGGCATTACCCGTTACCCTCCCTAGAAAATTAACAAACTGTGCAGTGCTCAAATTCATACGTACAAATCCTCCTTTTAGTGCTAACATTTTTCATCTTTTACGTAGGCATGTTCATTTCATCCGATTATTCAATATTAATCCAATTATATTATTTTATTTTTAATAATCATATCAAATTTTTTAAATTTCAAAAATTAATCAATCAAAATTAATTTTATTAATTTTTTTATTAATGGAATAATAAAATATATTAAATTAATTATATATTAAATTTTTATTTTTTATATGAAATAAATTAAATAAAATCATTTAATAAAAATATTCAAATATCAAAATATTAAATTAAAATTTTTTATAATTTAAAATATAATTAATAATTTTATATATAAATTTTATAATATTTTCATTAAAATTCGATTAATTTGATTTTTAAAATGAATTGATCTAAAACTAAAATTTTTTAAAATTATTTTTATTAATTAATTAAAATTAATTTAATAATTAATTAATTCAATTGATTTAATTTAATTAAAATCGAATTATAAAACCCCTTCTTCTACGTATAATAACTGAGAATTAAGTTACCAACTCTATTCACGTGATAATTATCAGGAAAAAAAAATTTTAAATTAAATTTACAACCCTAACTCTTTGTGTTGATTTTTTTTTTTAATTTTTTACGTCCTCTTCTCGCGTTGAAAAACAACATTAAATGGTACCTCCTTGCAAAATTAATAAACTGTGCAGTGCTCAATTGGATGGAGCTATTATGACATTAGCTATATCCTTAGATTACATTTAAAATAATAATAATAAAAAAAAGGGATTTTTAAAGAAATAATGTTTTTTTATAGTTAAAAGTAGGTAAAAAAAAAAGAAAAAGGAATAATTATTAACATTTTTATTTGGTTCAAGTATGAAAAAGAAATTGAATGGTTCATTATAATAAATTTTTATATGTGATATTTGAAAGTTGAAAAATATAATAGGGGTACAATAATTTTTTAATTGATAAAAAAAGATAATGCTATGAATGATTTTTAAATTAAAATATTTAATATGATATTTAAGTTTTTAAAATTTTTAATAAGATAATTGATTTATAAATTTATTAACTACTAAAACACTTAAAATATTTTTTTATTTATCATATCTCATCATTTAAAATTAATCACATTAAGAATTATGAATTAATTTATTCATAATTTATGTATCACATTAAAAAATTTTTAAATTTATGTATTATATTAAATAATTTACTATAATTCATGAGTTATTTATAACGTTAATTCTTTTAAAAATTTAATCTTTTACTTTTTTTAATTCAAAAAAATAAAAAAAATTTAAAAAAAAAAACAAGAGGTATTGTCCTCCCTTTTTTTATATTCTTTTAATTAAATTACAATTGAAAAAATATTTGTTTTTTCATTTTCCTTTTCTTTCCCTTCTAAACACAATGCAAGTTTTATAAATTCAGCACGATCCTATTTTAAATCGTCTTATATAAATATGGCAATAATTTCATTTTTATGATTAAAAATTTCAAATTTAATTTTGATTAATTCAAATATTTGATTAAATTAAAATTTAACAAACATATCTTTTAAATTTTGATTATTTGATATTTTAAATAATAATATTTTATATGTAAGACGTTATTTAAAAAAATGATTTTTTCACTTAAAAAATAAAATTGAAACTTTAATTATGTTTTAGAAGAAATAAATCTTTATTTGAAGTCCCATTTTTTTTTTTTCATAATTGCAGATGCCAAAACTATCGTTTACAGAACCATATGTTAAAACTTCGGTGCATTATATAAACAGCAAGAGCATTACTAATCAAACTAATAATTTTAAACAACTTATGTGACACAATACAAAAATAACACAAAAAATAAGATAATCACAATTTAAAATTTTAATAAAAATTTTATGAAAAAAATAAATAAAATATATTTTATATTTAAAATATCAAATTATAATATAATAATTTTTGTACTTTATACATATTAAATACGAAATAAATATATATATACAAATTATTAAATCTAATTAATAAATCCCGAGATATAAGAATTATTAAATTTAATAACTAAATCGAGAGATAGCTTTGGAAGGAAAAAGAAAAAAAAAGCATCTGCAAAATTTCTTTCTTGCTGCATGCATCATCTTGAAACAAAGAGAAATCCAACTAAACCATTCTAGCGAATTAAAAAGACAAGGAAGGATATAAGCTTCTTTTCTTTTCTTTTCTTTTTTTTCACGTTTTATGTACCATTTTCTCCCTACTTTTCTTGTTTCATGTACTCTAGCAACGAAACAATCCAAAAGCTTTCTTTAGTATATTAAACACAACAAATAAGAGCATCACCATCACCACCTTCTTGGAAGCCAACACCCTAAGATTTATCTTTAAACCATGTTTTCTCATTAATCTCACCGTCGTTGTACCCAGCATAAGAAGCCAAGAACCAATTAAGCAAACCAGAGTTTTCACTGCCTCGCCTGGTCCACACACGTTTGCTGTATTACCTGGGACATCTACATAGGACCACTTGGAACCCACATCGCTATTTTCTGGGCAGTTTAGCCCAAGGCTTTCGTTCAACCAACTGGATAACCAGATAAGCAGCTTCGCAAGCCATGCAACCTCGTCATCAGAGATTGGTCGCTTCATCCAGTCACCCTTGTACGTGATACTAGCCAATGGTTGGTTGCCAACTCTTCTGGGCTTGAAGATTTCATCACGGAAGTGCTGAGGCTGTCTCAATTCAGGTGAAATAGGAATTGGCTTAACCGTAGAGCCACCAAACAAGCAGCCCACTTTTGCTTTCAATGAATCTATCAACTGAAGGCCATGCGCAAAATTATCACCAGAAATTGCTTGCAACTCAGCTTCTGCACGCAATATAAACAGCTGCAAGAACAAAATGATTGTCAATGGATGAGAAAAGGTATTATGATAGACCACAGAAAGCACAAAAACTGCATTTCAATGACAAATATAAAACTATAAAAACCTGAAGTAGTTGGTGTCCGCAATCTTCCCCATCACTGAAGAGTTTCAGATCTTTGTTCCAGTTCTCATGCAAGAAAGATCCATCAGCATCACTTTCAGATAACCCATCCTCCCAGTCCTGACATAACCAGCAAAAGAAATCAGAGAAATGAAATGTGATAATGAGAAAGTTGAAATGTGATAATGAGAAAGTTGGACAATTGTGCATACATGCTTAGTCTCAACAAATTTAGGAGTGGTCAAAGAACCACATTGGAAACTATTGAGAAACAGCAAGTGAAATTAAAAAGGAATTACGAAAAAATAGAATTTCTACCTAATGTCAGGTTCAAAATGCTGAGCAGCTGTTCCAATTTTTATCAACTTCAACATTTGAACCCTTACTTGCTTACAATGATAAGCAAAAGCACTAAAGTATAAAGATTCAGTCAGTAATTTACCTTCAGTTGTTCACGAATTGAAGGAACAAATCTATACAAGCTATTGAGTGTTGATTTGCTTGATACAGATTGCTTAGAATGAAAAACAGTATCTACATTCTTTATAAGATCAACCAGCTCTTTAGAGGATGTCAACAAGTTTATAACCTATGAAACAAAATATAAAATGAACAGAATATTAGAAGAAAAATAGATAATAAGTACAGAAAATAGAAGACAATATTCTACCTTAAAATCTAAGAAAACCCAGGTACAGGTACCAAATGCACCATGACTACTAAATATTCCTTATTTCAGCCCAATACTTCTTCATTATCTACACCTTAAGACACAGTTTTGAAAGCCTATAAAAGAATACTTGACCAAGATTGGAAATGACAGTAAATGTAAATCTATGCAATCACGATAAGCCAACTGGATATCCTAAAGCCCACATGAAATTACCAGATTCCCTTCTCTAGCAGATTAAACTTAAATAGATGGTAAATGTCCTCTAAACATGACAAGATCATCACAAGAAAAACCTTCCTACGGAGGTCACATGCATATCCCTCTTCAAACACTCATACAATTTCCTGCTTAGCTTATGATAATCCAAAATCTAGGCTTAATCTCCCAGTTCTGGAACAATTGAAAGACCATACCAAGTCACCATTCCACATTCATTTGGCTCTAGAGAGCCCCAATACACCTGCATTCCCCCATAAGGGAAGGGAATAATGTTCCTTTTCAGAAACCCAAACTTTTAAATAACCTCAAATCCATCCTAATCATGGGATGGACTCGTTAGGATAATCAGATCACAGCCAGATCTTTTGGCTGTTAAGGAAATTCCATCAATCTTAGATTTTTTTTTTTTTTTCATTAGATCATGTATTAGATTAAATCAAGTGCAAATTAGATCATGTATTAGATTAAATCAAGCACGAATACACACAGAAAATTCACTTTTTCTAAGTGAAAATAGCAACAGTTAAGAAACAAACCTTCAATACCATCTGGACTATTACTTCTGGATCTGTATGAAGGAACTTGTGTGCGAACCCAATAAAATGCATAACCAGTGAACTGTAGTATAGATAATTAGACAACACATAGCCCTGCCATAATGGCGAATATTCAGAAGCTTGAGACTGTGGTTCCTGCTTCCTCACATCTTTACTTGATCCATTCACAATTGCATCAAGCTCTGCAAAATCATCCAAGCTGATTGTCCAAGGCTCCATATAACTAACCCATACAGAGAATACCTGGGATGCATTCTTGATTGAACTTCCAACAGGACAAAACAAGAATGTTCTCAGTATAAACCTATACAACGGCCTTTGTATCCACGGGTTCCAAGAACCGAGAGAACATGCACCAGGCGACAGAGAAACAACATCCCTCGACTTCCCACCATCAAAACCACCAGAAATCCTCCTGCTTGGGCTTTCACTATACTTAATACTGTCAAACCCATCCGTGCTTACCACTGAGCTCAAATTCAAGTACTTCACAAACAACTTCACCACCTCACCCAGCCCACTTGTTGGTAGGGTCTCCCCCAACACTGACCTAAACGGAAACGACACACCAAATGATTTGCATACATTAACAGGCAATGGCGAAAAATCATTATCAACCAACCAATAGTGCTCGAAAACGTTGACCAAAAACTCAGCACGAAATATAACTGAACCGTCACACTTCAAAGAGTAATTCAAAATTGAACTACGATAAGGTTGGTGAGCACCCAAATCAAATATAGGCACAAATGCACGAAGATACGCATATAAAAGCTGTATATAAAGATTAGGCTCAAATTTTTGTTCCATTTCACGTTTATTTGACCCTGAAAACCCCCGAATTGAGTATGTCCAATTCTCTAACCTAAATTTCTTGCTTCTTTTTACTGAATTCGAGTCCAATTTCTCGCTGTTTCCTTTACAAACTGGATAATAAGCGAACCAAAACATATAATATTCGAAAACATCCAATTGAATTTGGCATAAAGAGCCCTTAATTGAATCTTCTTTGACTTTACCTTTAAACAAAGGGCACAAATCGGATAAAACCCGGCAATCTTTTTCATTGGATAGCATGAACCGGACCCACTCCGGGAGCCGTTCAACTGGGAACACGTATTTGACAAGGGAATGTCGATCAACCGCTGAAATTGAGTTCATCAAGGTTCCGTTTGGGGAAAGGAGGGAGAAGAGTTTGGAGGATAAATCTGGGTGGTTCGATTGGGTCGCAAGTTCGATCCAGCCGTTGGACTGAGATCGCTGGGGTTTTTGGTGCGGTGGAGGTGGGGCCAGTGACGTAGCATCATCGAAGCCGAAGAGTTTGCAGATTAGGGTTGGGAAGGTGATGGAGAAGAAATGGCGGGACTGATCGGGTGTGTGCGTGCGTAGGAAGGTGTCGGTGGAAGCACAAGTGGCGGAGATTTGGGCGGGAGTAGTGGAGGCGAGGATTGCCGAGGCGAGGTCTTGGGATTGGGAAAGGGAATCGACGGTGTACGAGTGAGGAAGCATTGAAAATTTTCACGGATGCGATTGCAGAAAAAAAAAGGAAGAGAAAGAGATTAGGGCTTTGGCTTGGAAGGAAACAAAGAGAGAAAGAAAGAGACAGAGGATGCGTTTCGGTCCCCGGAGAGCGTTTTAAATGAAAACGGTAGCAAATGTGGCGCCCTTTTAACGGGGAGAGGAGGGTTACGTGGCAACCACAAGGGTCTTGATCATGGAGATTGTGGGGCCTATTTTCAAATATACTGTCTAGGTGTCTCCAGTTCCTTCATGGATAAGGCTTTTTTTTTTGTCCATTTTATGATTTTGATCAGAACGGGCGGGAATTATCAATCCTGCCACGTCGATAATAAAATTTCCATGTAAATTAATTCAAAATCTCATGCTTTTTTTTATCAAATATTTTAATATGAAACTGGTTTTAAACAAGGACTTAGACATTTGATTATATAAAAATTAAAAGAACTCAAAACCAAAACTTTTGAATATACATATCATTATTGATAAACGGTAAGTACAAATAATAATTATATGTATTAATATTGCCCAACGCTTTTATCATTTGAGAATTAACGTTCATAACTCTAATTTAATAATGCTTGAAATGTCTGGGTCTTGACTTATATTTAAATTTTATTAATATTGCTTTAAAAAATTATTTTCATTCAGTTAGATTTTTATCCTTTCGTTCAAAGACGTCTTGCTTCCCACTCCACTCTAATTGAATTGGGTTAAATTTGGTTTCTGCGAAATACTTAATTAATGGGTAAAATTAAGTAATTCAATCATTTCTTTATTTAAAAACCCCAGCAAAAATAAGATAAAATATTATATGTATTGTAATTTGAATTTTAAAATATCATATGAATTAATTTTATCAATCTCTGTTGATTAATTGTAAATTGTGTTAAAATGCTTTTTGCGACAAAAAAAACTTAATTAATTAGTAAAATTAGGTAATTCAATCATTTTTGTATAAAAATAATAATAATTTAAAAATTTTAAAAGAAACTATGAGAGTTATAATTTAAATTTTAAATTTATAAGATATATTTAAAATATTAGAAAAAAAAATATTAGATATAGATTAATTTTGTCAGTCTCTGTAAAATCCAATATATTGGTCTTACTTTAGGCATATGGTAGGATGAGAAAAGGGTCAAAACAAATTTAATTTATATGTAGAAAATTAAATTGTTTCGGCCCACTCATTAAGGCAACTAACTAAATTAAATTCCAGGCTTCCACCAATATTTATTTTTTTGGGCCCAGAATTCAAGATTCTAAATAATAGTCATTTCATGGCGTATTCATCAGTGTTATTGGGCCAGCAAACAATATTACAACCATGTCCAAATCAGTTTACTAGTTGCAGCCCGTTTGTTCAAATTCTAAAGAGTAAAATTTTTTCAATATATTTTTTTAAAAGATATCAAGAATTAACTTAAGTAATCACTTTTGTTTATGGAAATTTGTTTGTTCCTGAAAGTGGTTGGGAAATAGTTTTCGTGCTTTTCTCAACAAATGAAAGCAAAAAGAGACTTGTGCAGTTCATATGAAAAGGTTAGAAAATGATGAGGAGGTGGGCTACTTTTAGATAGTGATGAGCATAGAACACAGAAATAAACAAAAAATAATAATAAAAAAATTTGTTTCTTATCCACAATGGAAATTGACTAATGGGGAAACAAGAACAAGTCATAAGTCAATTTACACTAATTAAAAATTTCTTTGGATCCCCTTTTTTTTTAAATATTATTCAATTTATCACCTAAATACTCTTTGTTTTGAAGTAAAATAACCAACATAACAATTTCTTTTACAAACAAATTAGTCTAAAAATAAAAAAATAAATTACACGTATGAAAATTTTAATATTAGATCTATTAAATATTGACTGCATGTATAAAATTTTCACTTAAAAATTTTCCGACCCGAAGAGGAAATTATTAATCAATTAATGATATTTGGTCGGGGCATGTTCTTTCTTCAGTATTTTGTAAAGCCCTGTCCTAATGAGACCACAACATCTGCGACCAAGTTATAAAAGTGAAACAACCTGGCAAAATTCTTCTTCAATCAGCAGAATTATTACAAACAAGTGTCGTGGTTCGTGCAGTGTTGTGATAGGACTAGAAGTCTAAAACAGTTTTTGATTGGACTAAAAAGGTTGCTTATGATTTGATGAGAAAAATAAAATGGTTCCTTTCTTTCGGATCTTAGGATGCTTTCCTAGTCAAATTAGTTGGTGAGGTGAAGTTATTATGCTTCAAACTAGAAAATGATCGCATTAGCAATGCGTCAAGGCCTACGTTGATTGATTCATTTTTTGTTATCAAAGCTTGATTATATATCCAAAGCTAAGAATATTACTGAAAATATGATAAATGATGAACATAAAATAATAAGTTAAAGTTTAAATTCATACAACGAATATTAAAAAATGACATTCAATAAATTTATGATTTAAATTTTAATACATGTAACTTAATATTTTTTAATTTTTATGTTACAATTTTCTTTGTAAAAAAAACCAACATAAAACATTTGTGAAAAGTTGTAAATACAATTAAATATTATTCATTTTGATCCAAATTATAAGATCTCTTATTGATTTTTATGAAGTTTGAGAAAATTTTAGTTATTTAATGTTAAAATTAAATTTTTATAAAAATTGAAGTTTTATAATTTTTAATGTTAAAATAACAAAAATTATTAAAAATAATGTCAAAATATACAAAAATAAAAAACAAGTTTTGGAACATAAAAAAATACTAAAAAAGCTATTGAACTTTATTATTTTATTTAAATAAATTTTTATACTTTTATTGTAGTCAATTATTCTTTTATTTGTATTCAAATATGTCATTAAATAAAAAATTAATTTATGTTATGGCCGTATTTAAATGTAAATTAAAAGATATTAATTTACATTTATATATAAATTAAAATTTAAGAGTTTATTTAAGTGTAAAATAAAAAATAAAAAATTATTTAAATATAATAAAAATATATAAACTTATTTAGATAAAGTAATAAAATTTAATGATTTTTTTATTATTTTAACTAAACATATAACTATATCTCTTTTTCAAAATAAAAAAGATTATAAATTTTAAAAAATATTTTTCTAAATTAAATTATCAAAAATAAATAAATACAATTGTCAATCAAATTTAAATATAGTGATAAATTTAGTATCATCTTTGTCCTTTATCTAATGGTTTTGGAGTAACTAATAGGTTGATTTCACTCCTATCTAGGCCCTAAACAGCTTACGGATCCCAATATTGCAGAGAATATTCAATGCCCTACCATTTTCCTTTCTTGGACAAATATACAAATTGTAAAAATATAAAATTTTTTGTATCAAACGTTTGTTGATTGGAATAGTTAAAGAATTTAATTTTTTTTTAATTTTATAAATAAAAAAGATAAACGTTGAAAAATTTTATCTTTTATGAGGTTCGACCATAGTTGAAGGGTTCCAAACCAAAAAATAAAAATCTCTACTACCAATATTTAGCATAATAATTTTTGTTAAAAAAATGTAATTTTATCATAGAAAATGAAAAAAAAAAAAAAAAACACAATCTTTGAAGAGCGTGCGATTGAATTTAATCATCTCATCCATGTAGAAAGTGGTCCAAAAATAAATATTAATTGATGATAGAGAATAAATAAATAAATTAATAAGGAAAGAGGAGTGATGGTCCTTTTCTTCCATTGTCGCAATGTTAAATAGGCTGAGCAGTGAAATATGCAAAGCTGATGTGAAATATGCTAACTTCTAAGGCTTAGACAGAGATGTAGCAACTACACTCTTCCATTATGAAGGGTAATCCAGGCCCAGGGGGATCAGCTAGTTCTAGGGCAGCTGACTCATTGCATCAAAGGGAGAGAAATTTTTGTCTCTGGGTTTGACAGAAAAGAACAGGGCTAAACTTTTGTTCTTATGGATTTATACAATGGAATGTTGGAAGGGGATTTTCCTTCAATAATTTTTTTTAATAGGATTATTAGCTATATGCTTAAGACTAGCTAATCAACACCTAACAATATTAGCAATGAAACAGAATATGTGATGATCAGAGCAGTTCTCCCTCATGCAATCTGCAGTTGCTTTCCTTCCATATACAGATAGAAAAAACAAGCATTCCCAGCCAGAGGCAAAAAGACCTGTCCGGGGGCTAATAGTGATTGCTTATGACTGATTTTGTTCCAGACAGAGACTGCTTTGTAATGGACTCCAGGAGTTTTCCAAATCACTCTCCATGCAGAAGATTAAGGGCATAATGTAATAAAAAGAAAAATTAAATCTTCATGCAGAAGACAATGTTGCTTTTTATTCTTCCGGGCATATGATTTTATTGTAATTAAGCATTATAATCGACACTCATTAAACATCTAATTTAAAATTAATTGATAATAAGTAGAATAATTTAATTTGAGTATAAAATTATAAAATATCAAATATTTATTAAATGTAAAATCTCATCATGTATAAAGGAAAATAAAAAAAAAATTTATGTGACAAATTAAAAACAAAAACAATAGAAAAAAATTTTGATTCTAATATAATGTTAAGCATTCAGTTTAAAATTAAGTAACAATAAATAAAATGATCTAACATGAATATAAAATTATAAAAAATTAAATATTTATTAGATGTGAATCAACACTACTTTAACACACACAAACGTATATTATAATCTTTGATTCCAAAATTATACCTAATTAATCGTCATATTTACAAAAGCGTGATGTAAAATGCACTCTTCTTTTTTTTTCTTACGATTTTAACGTTACATCGACTTAAGATTTGGATAGTTTTCCCATTGATTTCCTTTCCAAATATAAACCAAAAGGTAAAGCAGGGATATTGGCCCCTTTGTAACGGGCATATGTGAAAAAGTTGACTATCTCTCGCCCATCTTTTAGCCTTAAAACCTTCCCCTGTAATCCCAAGTTACAATGATACCATATTCTGGCTTGTCTTCCAAGTTTAAGTTCGTGGGAAAGACAGCATCATCATCATCACCTATCCCTCCTTTTGCCATTTTTTTTTTCACTTCTATATATAAATATTTTCTTTTTTTTTTTTTCATTTTTCCTTGCTTTAATTACTCCTTTTTATCCGATGGGAATATCTTGAATTTTGAAATTATTCTAAAAGTAAAATATACCCTTTTTTTTTATTAGCCCAAACGACTGATTTAAATCTTCAAAAAAAAAAAAAGGACATGCATGTTTGGATTCCTAAAGTTAATCGTATTATTATATGTTGCATACTTAGCCTTGTTTGATTTTATTGGCTAATCATTCATTTTCATATAATTATAATCTAAGATGCTTCATTTTTCTCTCACTGTTTGCCAACTCGACCACATGAAATAAAATAAAAGTAACTATATATACTCTCTTTCTTTATCTCAAGTTGCAAGACCATGAAAATTAAAATATATAGCTTTACATATACAGTCCTCACGTGTGTTGATAAGTGGTAAGTAATATTTTACGTTTGATTGTAAGGAAATATTTGTTTATTAAATTGCAATTGGTGCACGCTTTTATGATTAATTATTTCTGGAATTAACTATGAAAACATTCACAATTTTGTTCTTGGATCATATAGGATTTTTCATCCAAAATTTTTTTTTTTCATAAAAGCATTAGGATATGTTTCTTGTGCTGAAAAGTCAAAAGGGGTAAGATGAGTTATAATTAGATATATTTTATGTAACGTGAAAAGGGCCGCCATGGGTAATCATAATTATGGTAAATTTTACCATTAATCACTAAATTTTGACAAATTTTGTTTAGGTCACTAATTTTTGTTTTATTTCAATAAAGTCACTAAACTTTGTATTTATACCAAATCTAATCACCTTAACTAATTGCCTAATTTCATCTAAAAAATTAAAACGATATGGTTGCTAGATAATTAAGTGGTTTTGATAGGTGTGTTATTTAATAGGTTTAGAACAAGGTAGAGATTTTTTTTTTTTTGGATATGTTTTACCTTTAATTTTGCTGGAATTGTAGTTGTGGTGGGTATGATTGCTTTGAAGTAATGGAGTAACAAGAATTCAAGTTTGAGCTTGGCAAAAAGCATTTTTATGATTTTTTAAAATTTTTTGTGTCTAATACATGTTGCTGCGGTATACATAAAAAATGCGAATATGATAGTTTACAGGACGACTATGTTATTTTTTTATTAATTTTTTGGATAAAATCTATTAAGATGATTAGATTTTATAAAATTTATAACATTCAGTGATTTAATTAAGATAAATTAATGTTTAATTATCTAAATGAGATTTTGATCAAAAGTTAACGATCAAAGATGAAATTTACTCAATGAACTAACTAAAAAGTAAAATTTATTCTCATATGCCCTAATTGCATTACACTTTTCTTTCTTTCTTTATGCTTTTTTTTTTAAAGAGAAAAATGAATATGCCTTATGCCATTCAAGTATAATGCCTTACAATCACAAGCTTTCAAATATAAGACAACCCAATTTTATTCAATCATAGTTGTAGTTGACAAACAAACAAAGATCAATGATGAATGTTGAATGATGAAATGCATGTGGCTTTCATTTGTGACCAGGGACTGGGGTTTCAGTCCATGCCAATTAACATTATTTTCTACTAAATGGCCCCTTTGAGATTGTCCTCTTTTGGCATACAATGAAAATAGTAAATGAATTTGCAATCAAACCATGACATTTGACACATAAACAAGCAATAATTTGACTTTTATCCTTTATCACTTAACTAGTTTAGGATAAACAAATCCATACCCACATTTTTTTTTATAAATCTTTTTCAAAAAGAATCTATACCTTTTCTCTTTGAGAAGAAACTGGAATGTTAAAAAGAGAAGAAAACTATGTGCATCAAAAGCATACAAGTATCCTAATCATTTGAGTGACTAGCATTTCCAAAATCCATAATAAAGACAAAAACATGGGTTTTCAATTGCCAACTCGCCCACTCTTTTTTCTCCTTTATGGAGCCAGTCAGTCTCGCTTATACCAACACCCAAAATTCTTTTCTTTTACGAAAGAAATTATACTATATTAAATATTAAGATTTAAATGTTAAATTTATGAAATATTATTTTTTTAAAATGATTATATAAAATTAAAAAATTCATTAATTAAGTCCTTATTTATGTTATTTAATGTTTCAAAATTTTCAGCATGCTATACTTTGGTTTTTTTTAATCCAATAATTAGTGTAATTTAGACAATTTGTATGTTATGTAATCTGGAAAAATTTTCTTGCAATGCCCCAAGCCAAGACAAGAATTCATTGAACTGTTCCATTAATTAGAAGTTGGAGGCATGAATACATTTATAAAAATTTAAATAAAATAATGGGAGTTGTTAAAAGTTAGTTGCATATTGCTTTTATGTCTAATTTACTCATAATAAATTCATGTATTAAAAAAAATGTATTTTATGTTCAATTGCAAATTTAGTTATGATTATGTATATTTGAAGCTTCCTATAATGTAATACTATGATTTTGTTGTTATTTCTCTTGTATCTTTATATATGTAACCTAACTCTTTCTTGGTTGTTACCAATAGTCTCCAAGAAAATGAAGTGTCCATGGTCCATGAATTATGATATTTTAAATGAAGCCATGAAAAAATATATGTGGACTAATTTTATTGTTAAGATCATTATAAAGCAAATAATTTTTCAATTTTATTAAAAATCAATGTTGATCATATCATTCTTTAATCGAGAAGGAACCTTTAAAAAATTAAAAATAAAATAAATTATAATTATAATTAAATATTATGATAATTGAATTATCAAATTAATAAAATTAGTCAATAAATTAAAATTTAATTAAATAAATTTAATATAAATATAAATTAAATTCATACAATGAAACTTAAATCTAAAATTTAAAAATTAAAAAAATTTATCATTAAATCAAAACCTAATTGATGGAAAATTTTCATTAAATTTATTATATATATATTATTTATTCTCCTAATTTCAAAGATTAAAATATTTTAAAATTGAATTCAATTTGATGGTTTTGATAAGGTACAATAAAGAGAAGATGGTTTTTCTTGACCTTTCTTGTAGACAAGAGGGGCAGATCTTGATGGAGAAGTGACGGATGAGTTATGAAAAAGATAGTGAAGATAAGGCCAAGTGTCACTTAACCTTTGGTGGTACAGCACTACAGCTAATCTAATTAATGGCTCATTGTTATTTATGTCTACCAATCGAAGAAATGAAAAAAAATATAATTAAGAATAATATTTCTTAGCTCTAATATTAAAATGGTGGGGGGCTGGAGGCTAAAGCTGAAGTTAGAGCTGACTAAAGGCTTATGGTGGGCAAGCAGAATTATCAAAACGCAGGCACTTAGTGTTTGAATTTTATTCTGTAATAACAACTTTTTCTTTCTTATAAAAGTTTAATTAATTTAGCATTTAAGATGAAACAATCAATTTTTATATTTTTAAAACCAGAATTTATGTTTGTGTTCATGGAATCATGGGTAAATGTGATCAAATTGGAGCTTTTTCCCCCTCTTTTCAGAGCTTTAAATCCAAAAATAGATGTTCCAAATCTTTTTCCTTTGATTTCTTTAATCAGGTGAAGATTAATGTTCCTTCCAGAAGCTTTTTTTGAGCATCAGCTTTAAATTATTTAATATTTTTTAGAACAAATTAATAAGATAGTAGATTTAAGAAACAAACAAAAGAATTCATCAGCACATGATGGAATTCTTTGATGCTGCTGTGTCATACTTGGTACTAAATTCAGCAAGGCCGGTGAAATTCTGACTCAAATATGTCTCATATGCATCAAAATTCAGGGGAATTCTCCTCTGAAAACTATGGTGCTTGAAAAATGAAAAAATTAAAGTACAATACTGTGTAATTTACCTTGTTTCTAGCAATTAATGTATACTGTTGCTAAGAACATCATCTGAAAGTTAGGTGAAAAAAGTCTATATTTCAATAATAATAAAAGAAAGACGGGTCGGTGATGGGAATAGAGAATCTTAGGCCATCTAATGTGCACAGAACTTTGTCATTTGATCATATCTACAATGTTCATTTGACATGAAATCAGGGAGCTGAAGCTCCCATGTTTTCTTGAACAGGGTGATTTTGGTATGGATGAACACTGAGCTCTCGGTTTATCAATAGAATTCCAGGTTGGGAATTTTGGGTTGCAAGATTTTTAAGTCAAACCTGTAAATTCCATCTTGTCTTGCACCAGATTGATATGGGGTTCCAATTTTGAAGAAAATTGAACTTCATAGTGACTAATGTACATAGCCTGGGAAGCTTGGAATATTACAGCAGGCAAAGGAGTTGCTTACTCTTCTTTAATTGTCTCTAGCAGTATTCCCAAAGACGAGGCTCCTCATACCCAAACCCATTTTCAACAGGATCATCAGTTGCAGTCAGCTGCCATGACAATGAGCCCCAGAACTCATCAATCTGATGATTCATGTCCAGGAAGAGATCTGGAAGGCCAATGAATGCATCATCATTATTGATTACAAGTGAGCTTGATGACTCTTGAGTGTCTGTCAATGTGCTTGCTGGAGACCGAGGAACCATTTGATCAGCCTGGCTCAGCTCTGCTTCAACTTCAAGGCTTTTCGTGTAGCTTAAGGCAGCTGCTTTAGCAGCAGCAGCTTGGATATCCTTGGCTGATGCACTAACTGGACGGGGAAGCTTATGAGCTATCTCTGGGAAATTGAGATAAGCTGACTTGCCTTTAATCGTAAGAGCTGCTACATCATGTGCTCGAGCTGCCATTTCAGCTGTAGGAAATGTGCCTAGCCAAATTCTAGACTTCTTCCTCGGTTCCCGGATTTCAGATACCCATTTGCCCCATTGACGCATTCTTACACCCCTATACGTGGGATGTTTCCCCTCAACTTCACCAATTTTAAACTTTCTCTTGCTTTCATTTGCAATTTTCACTTTCTGAATTTTCTTGGACTTAAATCCTGTCGACTCGTTTTCCGGAGGGGATGATGAAGAGGAAGAGGAAGAGGAAGAGGAAGAGGATTGAGTCTCAAACTCAGCATCCATTGGCATTTCTATGGTGGATATGCTTTTGGAGTAGTAGGAGAAAATGTTAGGGGCATTGCTTGGAGGGGAAGAAGCTGAGCTAGCTAGCTTCTTATAATTCCTTGACACAAAGAAAAAGTGTATTCAAGGCAATGGGGCCTAAGGCAAAAAAGATGTACAATTTGGTTATTTTGTTACCCCAAGTTGATTTTGAATAATGCACCATTTGGCTTTATATAGCCCTGTTCCATTTTCTTGGCTGTCCCTCATGTCTCATTAATGAGTTTTTCTTGAAAGATTAAAGCATTTTCAATTTCCATTTGCTCATTTTAGTCTCAAGTTGGCATTTTAGCAGTTTCGTTAACCTATTACTTTTGGGCCAAAAATATATTTTTTTAGGCAAACCTTTTGGGCATTGTTGAACCCTATCCAGCTGCTCGTTTCATTCTTGGACTTTATCACTTGCGGATTACATAGTAATTTTCTCTTAATTATCCTTATCTCTTTATTCACTTCACACTTTTAACTTTTGACCTTGATTAATAATTTATTTGAGAGGGATCCAGTGAAAAAATGCACAATGCCATGGACGCCTTCTTATCCAAACGAACTTTAAGTAGATTTAATAATTTAAAATATTATATATAAAAATAATATTATTTAAAATTTCAAAAAAATTATTAATAAATTTAATCAAATAAAAAAATTATATTTTATATTTTTATGTCCATATAATTTATAATATGTAATTTTTATATAAAATATTATATTTATATTATATAATAATACGAATTATTAATTCTGTAAATATTCTAACTTTTGTTTTCAATTTTACTTGTTATGCGGATCTCAAGCAAATCAAACATCTAGAAGAGATATAAATCTTTTTAGTATACAAGTTTGATTTTGATGGGACTTACTCTATAATTTTTCCACAAGCTCATAATTTCATGGGATGTATAAAGCTCAAAAAAGGGGTACGACCAATTTACGGATGGATTCTGGGTTCACATATTTTTTTTGAACTTGTACATATTGCTTGTACATTTTAGTCCAGTTCATCAAACTAGATGTGCAGGGACTCAAATCAAGCCAATAAAACCAAACTAACTTATCAAAAGTCCAATCAATAGTAATAGGGCCAATTTGGATGGATGCACCGTGGGAGAGAATTTTACCGCGTTGTGAGTATCGAAATGGATAATAACTTTAACACTAAAAATCTTTTTCTGATTTTTTTTTTAAAGAATATTTTGTTTATATTTTTAATAATTATATCAATGTTAAAAAGTATACTTCAAGGGGTAATTAAAGATGGATTAAGACAAATCAAATCCATAATTAGATTATAAAATTGTAATGCCCCTAATTTTAAAAGAATATATGAATATGATATAATATATATATTTAAATTTTAATTTATAAAATATTTTTTATGAAATAAAATTATAAAATTTTTAAATTAAAACGAATAATACCTCACAATTTAAATATGAGTCTTCACAAAAACAAAGCATATTAGCATTAGTATATTATATTTGTAGGACAAGATGCATTTAGGTTTATATTCCCTAATGAGACAATTAGCTAATCTCTGCATGATTTAATTGGAGATCAACAACATTTTTTTTTACAAAAGTTTACGACATCGTTTTAGTTGGTGCAGATCATCAAAGGGGCATTAACAATGCAGTACCAACCCAATCCTCTGCCTTAAAGTTTCTTTAGTGCAGTCACAAAACGATATCACGATATATTAAAAAAAATTTTGTTACATTATCAAATGAATTTTTAAACAATATATATAGTTAGAAAATGTGAATTGGAAATTAAAAATTTTAAAAGATACTATATTATTATAGTAATTAAAATTAAGGGATTCAAGCTAGCTCCATCAAAATCCTTAAATTATACTTTTTGGTAAAAAAAAAAAAAACAAAAATATGTAGGAAAAAAACTTTTCATAAGACTTCTTCACATTGTTTCGTTTCTATTTATATTTTTCGTTTTCCAATTTAATTGGAACAATTTAAAACAAATAAAAAGTAAATAAATAAAAAATATATATGACCAGAATAATTATTTAAACAGCTGTCATTATGTATTCAACAAGACGATTTTATACTTAGAAATCTGTTAATAAGTGTTTTGGTCATATCTTGCAGTCTTAAATATTCACATATTCATGTTTGGGTAAATGTAGAAACAAGGCAATAGATGATAAATTAGGTTTTTTTTTATTTTTTATTTGAGTATGACAGATATTTAATTATGATAATAAAATCAAATTTTTAATATTTTATCAACCAATGAATCATAACTGTTGGCAATGATTAATTAGGTTAATATATATTTATATTTATCTTGAATGATGCAAGAAATGCTAACATCAACCTACCCCTTCATAATTTAGTTGGTGCCCCATACACCACAAAATAAAAGAATTTTGTGATTCCCTCATGCATTCTAAACCTAACTTCACAATTATAGATTTCTTTTTTTTTTTTTGTTAAACGAATAAAAAATACGATTTTGATTAAGTAGATTGATACGCATATCTATTATTAAGTTAAATAATTGTGTTTCTTTTAAATTATAAATTTCCATTATCATTTTATAAAACATATTCAAAAAATTTAAAAGCTAAATTATGGATAGACTTAATAATGGATCAGATTATTCGTCTAAATCTAAAAATTTATCCGAAATTTTAAAGAATCTAGACATGAATATTAAATCCTGTTAAAAGAATTTGGATAAATAAATAAGACCTGATAAAAAAATATGATTTGGGTTTCATCATTTAATATTCAAACTCGATCTAGCTTAATCCAAAGATTAAAAAAATATTTTTATTATAATGAGATAAGGCTTATTTACTTTATTTTTTATAATAGATAAGGTACATTTACTTTATTTCTTATAATAAGATAAAACTCAAAATTTTTTATGTAAAATATTAAAATAATAATTTAATTTTAAATTACATTTAATAAAATTAAATTAGATCCAAACCACCAATAAATTTAATTAAAATTAATTAAATTGATTAAATTAATAATTTACAAAAAAAATAAAAAATATTTTTTTGATTTTAAATATTAGTATATTGGATGAATTTAAATTTTATTATTACATATAAAAATAAACTTTGACAAAAAAAATCGGATCTAAACTTACTTAAAATGTTGTAATATTATGTAAGTCCGATCGAAACCAAACCTGACTCATCCCTACGGGCAGTTCTAATGATGGATAAGCTGTGACAAAAGCCAAATTATGATCTATAGCAAAAAAATTTAAAACATAAAATTGTATATGATTTTGTTTTACTACATTTAAAATCAAAATAGAATCTAAAAAGGTAAATTCTAACTAATTAATTAAATAATAAATAATAAATTTAAAATAAGAATTAAAAATTTATAAACGTTATAAATAATAATTTCATCATTTGCAATTCATTTTTTAGCTACAAAATTTTTTATAAAAAAAAAAAACCCATTAATACTAAATCCTTATAAGGTACAATCAAAGCCACGTGATCTAATTTTATGTTCTTCATTGGCAGGTTCGATAATTGTTTTTGAAATGGTAAGAACAAGCTGACGCTGATTTCACTGGAATTTTATAAGATTTTTCTTTGATTATAGGTACAGCTGCCACATATTGTGAACGAATTTAAAGAGTGTTTTGAATAATTTGATATATAATTATAAAATTATTTTTTGTTATTATTATTTATTTACTCATTGCGATACATTGTACACTACTTGTTGGTCAATTCATATTGAGATTTGAGAGTTAAATTTTTATTTTAAAATTTAAGTTACAAAATGCCATTGATTCCATAAAACTTTTTCTAACGTTCATTCATTGATCTTTTCTCCTCCAATTTGGCACGCATGTTCAATGCCTTGTTCTCTAATTGTCAACATCATGAAAATGGCATGCAAATATGCAATTTCAATCTCTGAGCCATTACAAACTACAAGAACGTGCTTAATTATAAGTAATTTTAACAGCAGGTATTCCGGGGTACACCAAAAATTTGCAACTTGATCGACCGTGGTCCCTTTGCATCAGGGCTAACCTCAGACATCAACTTAATCGTATAGGGAAGCAGTTTCAGACATGCAAATCCTACCAGAAATATATATGCTGTTTGTCTATATGATATAACCGACTTTAAGAGCAACAGTACCTATCAGCAGGACAAGTGCACCGATGTCTGCAGAATGGTTTTCTCATATCTGGTCGAATTTGGAACAGTAATAAGATAATGACAGAGACAGTTGTGAATCTCCCTTCCTCCAAAATTTCCCCCTTTTTTAGAAAAAAAAAGAAGAAAAAGATTGAATGGTTTGTATTAATAGATAGACATGGTTGAAGAATGTGATTGTGACCCACAAGTATTTTATCATTCCACAAGAGAGATCTGTAAGTGCTATAGATCTTTAAAGTTTAATCCAAACAGTAGTTTGTTTACTTTTTATTGTGATGACAGAAAATTGAAAGATGGTATTATTAAAATAGATCCAAACAGTACTTTTTTCTTACCCCCAATAACCTCTATGCCCCGAGTAACCTTTAAGCGATTCCGGGATATATATGATCACAAGTTAGAGCATAAGATCTTGTTCTATTAGCAACATTTGTATCTACTCAGGATTTTTGGTATAAATTTGTGATTGATGGATGGTTTTAGAAGTTCCATGCATGCATGCAGCAGCACAAGCTTTTAGCCATGATTTTTCCACTTTTGTTCTGTTGACGAAGGTGGAGTTCTTCCAAATTTAATTTGACTACCTTTTTTTTTGGTGAAAAGTAAGTTAAATTTGACTACAAATTAAAATGAGTAGTTTAAAATTTGTGTTTATTTCGTGGTATAAGGAAAAATCGAACTTGCATTGTCGGCTGGTTTTTTCACTTTAGAGGTTTTAGCTCTCAGCTCTGTTGCTAATGGGAATGTCATGTGACCTTGTTTGAATGGAAATTCGACATTCCCTCAATAGATACGAACGTTGTTTAGATGAAATCTGAACATTCTTTGAACTATGATCGATGTTCGCTGTGATGCACAGCAAGCTAGTTTGTACAGATCCATGGTAAGTATGACATTAATTCTTACATTAAAAAATGAAAAAACCTTTGACTTTAATTAGATCTAATGTATACAGTGCCCCTATTCCTTCAGTAGGCAGATAAACGATGATGCAAATGTCGACCTGGTATTTGGCTCTGTGATTCGTCCATTCAAAAACAGGTTGAACCCTGAAAAATAACAATGAACTCGGAAATTGGGAGGAGGATGTTGCGTTGCGAAGTTGATTTTTGTTTTTCCCATAGCAGTCAAACAAACAAATATTTGAAGAAAAAGATTGGGTGTTTAACATTCTAGGCCTGGAGCACCAGGGACGGGCACCTTGCTTGCTTGTTCTTTCCCCAACGCCTGGGATTGCCTCGTGTCTTTTCCAAAAGACCTAGTCAAGCAAGGGCACATCTCTTTTGCTCGCTCCTCCTTTGAGAGGCCTAGAAAAAGAAGGGCTGCCCTTGTGCTCATCACCTGATTCACAGGGTTCCTGCTAACTGCAATGATCACACAGTAAACAAGACATGGGGCAAAAAAGCAGCTAGGTTTCCTCCTTACGATCAAAATGGTGATGAACATGGTCTGCAGATTATCTGGTAAATCACTGATGTGATTAAACATTATCGCTATTTTTTGGTTAATGAAATAGCGAAGCTTGGCCTATGGGCGGCCACAGGAAACAAAACATGATGAACATTACTGAAAATATATGAAAAGTTGATGAATTTCAGGGACATCTATACCCTAAGGCTTTGCAGAAATTGAATGAATAATTGGCAAGCATATGGATGATCTGTAATCCTTATCTGGGAACATTAATGTTGATCAGCATCTTTCAAAAACGCAAATGACAGGTTTGATATCTTAAAGATAAAACAACAAAAACAGTACACATTTTCAAAATATATTTTACCAAAAACAAAAGGAAATTCTTTCCATTTTATCCTATGACAGTTCGTATTGTATGAAGAACAGCTATTAGCAGAAAATCAAGTTTGTAAAGACAAACGAAGTAAATTATTCTGGTAGTTGGTAGCCATAGAAAAGTTACAGTAATTGTAAGTTAATCGATTGCCAAAGGAGGATGGAGCACAACTTTGTCACAAAATCAGTTCGTGCCTCAAGGAAGGCTCATGCATAAAAGACATTCAAACTCAAATTTGGACAAATGGAAAACATATATATATATATATATAGCTATAGATTCTCGAATTGTTTCTTTTTTTTTTTTTCTGTTTTTATAATTTTAAGAACGTATCAGAGTCGTTAATGAAAGCTGTATTATGATCAAAAGATACTCAATTTTATATAGGAAACTATTGATGTTATATCCATTTTAAAAGACAAACAAACTCAAAAGAGAAAGCGTCAGATTCAAATCTCCATTCAGGGACTCAAAAAAAGTACTACTTTCTTTGATTCTTGTATTAGTTGATGATTAACTTCTCCTTCCTCTATAGCGAGGCACGTAAATACGAGCCCACAAATGCTTTCGGTTGACCAAGAATTTTGCTTTTGCTTGCCCATTCAAAACCCTTGGTATCACCAATGAAGTAGTGAAAACAATACGTCCGAACTGAGGTTCTTGCCCTGCATGAGAGTGTTCAATGACAACATCTTGCACCACTTCTCCCCAGTTCCTGCAAAGGCAAATAATAACACTACATATAAAACTAGTTGACATAGAAGAAAAAGGAGGGGTCAGTTTAACTGCATACGAGGTGAAGAAGTGAACAATTTCTTCCCGGCTTAAAGGGTGACCTTTGGAGAATGTTAGAAACATTGTTCTTGTATCTTCAGGTGTTTGTCCTGGACGAAATTCATCAGCACCAGGATTCAAATTTGACAGCTTTGGTGCCTCACTACCTTGATTAATCTGTACCAGGTAGTTAGATTCACTGGAAGCCTGTGAAGTAGATCCCTCTCCAAGAGGTCTAGCCAGTGGCTTCATACCAGACTCATCAACTTCAATAGCAGCATTCTCACCAAATATTTTGTCGCAAACAGTCTCCATAATGTGCAAGTAACGCTTGTACATAAACTCACGATTATAGTAGAAGAATCTGAAATTCATAGGCTCATCAAGAAGACCTAGAAAAACAGGAGTATCATCTGGTTCAGTTGGCGATGCAGCATTAGGTTGTATGAACTCTAAGCATTGCAATGCCTCGTTAAAAAGAGCTTCGATGGTATTATCATCGTAGGAATGGATCATCCGAATCAAGTCATGGTAACCTATTTCTTCTAGCATGAGCCACAGAGCCATTGCTGTCTTAACCTGTTGGGAGTTTTTGCCCATTGAGCCCACCATTCTATTGAACAGGATTCTTTCCAGAGTGTAGAAAAGCAACAGATCTACAAGTGTACCTATTCCAGGCATGTTCCTACCATGAAAGTTGAAAGAAGTGACTACAAAAGTTAAACAGGAAAATTAAAACCTGTTGCTGTAGAATATTATAGAGTATTTTTGGGAGTAAATAGGAGATGAAGGGGCTTGTAGAAGTAATTCTGACGCTTAGGGACTGGAGAAAATGTGACTCCTTGGGAAAGAAAATGCATTCAGATAATTACTGCTGAAATGAAAATCTAGGTGTTCATAAAGCATATAGTTGATTCTCAACCGGCATTTGTCATTCAATTTCAATATCGTTACTGCCGAAACTGTTTATGAATAATGCCCTCATACGTAAAAAATGATAATGTTTAGATTTTATCATTTTTTCCATTGAAAAGAAAAGGAAAAATTATTTGAATCCAACTCTTTATTTTTCGTTTTGTAAGATCAAAAGGTAGATTATGAAACTTATTTGAGTACTTGGAAGTTGCTTTAGTATACATGCAGCACACGTAAATGAATAATGATCGACTAGGGTAACCACTCATATGAGTAAAAACATATCCTTCATTGTATCACACTACATTATATTTAAAGATCTCCTGCCACACTTGATAAATAACTAATCAGCCGTAAATAGCTGCCTAGAGAAGTGAACCTGACCTTCTTCTTTCGGGCGGTCAATATAACGGCACTTCATTCATTCATAACCTATTATACAGTTCAAATGTTGAACCAACGGCATGGTACATGATTGGTTTTTATTTTAGAGTCTTGCAGTGAGAATGTGTTGCTTCAATATTGGCCGAATGTACTCATGATAACCATCTGGCACATCGGTGTCATTCAAAGGATCCTTCCATGCTTCGTCATAGAGTTTTTGATACACATTTCCATCATAGCGACCGAGAATCGAGCTAAGATAGTGGTCAGTGTAATTGAATGCATCAACAAGAGCAATAGCATTTGGGCGGACCTATGATTAAATGAGATCAGAACTAGTAGATAACAACAGTCTTTCAAGCTGCGCACCATATTAACTAAATTGAATTACTGTAACAAACCTGAGAATACAATAATCTGAGCTGTTCATTTGCTTGTGCACCTTGCTTGGGGGTAATGCAGCCGGTGGAGATGAAATCACCAAGATGTTTGTGTACAAGATACAAAGCATATACATTACAGAGGATCTCCAACTGTCTTTTCACTCCCTTTCCTGGTATGTCTTGTTGCAGTTTCTCAATGAACCTGAAAAAGAGGTTCCTTAGAAATTTACCTTTCCAGAAAACAACAGAAGCAGCCAAGAATTAATGGATCCCATGAATTGATGTTCAAATTCCAATTCCTTAAAATTGCCATGAAATTTAAAATTTTATGAGGGATTAGAGTTTGGCCCCTTCAATCCAGAAAACCAATCATTTCATATGACTTTAAGTAAATCATCGCAATATGAAACCTCATTAATTATTAAACTTGTGCCCCAACATTTTGAGTGGATAAGACTGGAGAAGCTTACTTGGAAACAACAATTAACTGACAATGAGCAACTGCAGCCTCAACCAAATCAGCTGAGAGTTCAGCAAAACCTGAAGACAAACATAGAGAATGTGGAAACACATCAAAATAATGGACATCAACAAATTCAACAAAGAGGCTACCTCACAACCATTACCTTACAAATTGAACCTATTTGTTTACTATCATAACAAAATGATGTTCATTGAAAAGTCATCCTAAGTTTTAAATATAAGACTCAAGAGTACACCAAATTTTATGGTAAGAGCATGACCCACTATTAGTGGACCATGCAAGAGTTAACTCAGTTGACTAACATGTCAAGCAAAAATAACTTACAAAAGAGAATGCTTATGAATTGAGGTAGAGAGAACATACCCTCTTCTGGATTTGAAAATTTGCTAAGGTTTTTCGCACAGGTAACAGACATCCCAGCAGCCCTTGCTTCAAATGCCTCCAATATTACACTGGGCTTTAGCCAATCCTCAGCTGCAAGCCAAAACAAGGAATGGAATTATTATGTTGTGATTTACCAAACTAATAACAGTTTTTCAATGAGTGTGAACTGATGTAAGAATAGCACCATGTACACCAGTCCATAAGTTGGCAATAGTTTGTAGATAGAAGTGAAATAAGCTCACAATTGTTTAGAAATCAATAACGACTGGCCAAACTACTCATAGACATTGGGAATATCCTAATTAATGTTTGTAAAAATGACAATTTTTTATCTTCCAAGACAAAAATTTGAAAAGCAAATATAAGTAGTAAACAAGCTCAAGAAAGAAAAATGTATAACAGATACCGCTTTCAACTTCACAACAGCATTGCATGAGGTGTTCTGCTCGTCCCATGTAAGCTGTTGTCCCAACAGGCTTCTTTCCGGACCCCAGCTGTGAAACCGTCTTCATTAGAAACCTTGCAACCTACAGAATTGTTTCCATTTACATTGTCAATAGATGGCACCCCAGCATCATTATCAACAGAACATCTAAGGATTTTAGATTCATTCCCTATTTTCAATTGTGATATCCCTTTCATGTTTTTTAATATAGATTCATCCAATCTTCATAAGATACCAACAAACAGCAGAAGTACTAGCTAATACAATATTGAAGTCAAAGATTCTCAAAACAGATAGAAAGAGATACTACTCTATACTCAGATTGAGTCTCCATTAGAACACTGGAATTCATCGCCTACCATCTAAAGAACAAAATGAAGATGATGAAAGGGGTTGAAAATAAAAGTTGTAACATACCTGTAAAAGCATTACAAAATTGTCTCCTTCATAAGTACATGCAGGGACATAAACTGCAAATAACTCAGGAAGCCCACTGCTAGAAAGATAACCATGACCACCACATAATTTTCGGCATTCTTCGATCGCATCCTGCAACCATATTTATTCTATTCAAGCTAAAAGCATCCAAAAAGAAAAAGAAAAAGAAAAAACTAAGGTGTTATTAACTGTTATTTTGTAATGGATGCTAAAATTTTTAAAAGAGACAATTTATGCCATCAAAATGGTGATACAAGCAATATTATACAAAATAACTGGCCAACCAAAATATATTTAGCTACAGCAAAATAATCAATATATTTACGAGAAGGAAGAGTAGTGAAGGTTAGTGACATACTGCAGTTGCAGAAGAGGTAATGGATTTTAACCCTGCAGTACATGCATGAACCTCAGGTAATGTGGAGAAATCATTGGCTTGCAGTCTTTGGGTCACATCAGTGTATAGCCATTTCAGCCACTCACCAACAAATCTGAAAGCATAGGCAGAAGCAAGCAAAGGAAAGAGTCTACTTTGCTGAGTTTTATAGTTAATCACCTGAAATAAAACATATAAATGTAAAAGCATTAGATGCATCAGCCTTCAGTACATGTAAAATTAACTCTGAAAATCAGCTGCAGCAAATTGCAGAATCTTCAACACAATTATTTGAAAGTTTCTGTGGGAAAGAAAAAGCCATTACAAGTGATCACAAAAGGTAGTGGTATACAGCAATCCATACTGGAAACAACATGTATATATCTATCAGATCCAAAAGATGATATACCTGGGTCTCTGGACCACTATTCTGTGAACCAAATTGTCTACGAACAGCACTATACCTTGTGGCAATACAAACTGCCCTTGATAAAGCACAAGAAGCATCGGATACAATTTTTTGTCGGATAAAGACCATAGTACCATAAACCAGCTGGCGAGGAACATCAGATTGTATATATTTCCCTTCTCTTGTAACCTGTGCAACACTGAGACATTTGGAGAGGAAAAAGAAAGCAAACTTCAGAACAGTCAACCTGTTTATCCACGAAAATCACACTATAGGAGTGAGATTATAACTTTTTGGCTTCTTTTTGGGTCATTTTCTTCTATTGAGGAAAGAAATTTTACAAATTTTAGATTTCTGAGCAGTCTAAAACTTCTCTAGGGTTATGTGAAGTAGCAGAAACTTTTGCATCTTTCTAACTTCACTCGAGGCAAATGCAAATTACAGGAATCATCCAAGAAAGATTTATTCAGAAGATTCTTCCCACCATGCAATTCTAAACTTATTGGTTAACTTAAATTCCCTCCACAAGATGGGCACCAGAGAAACATCAAATGACAGATGAAATATTATCCTTCAAAAAAGTAGCAGTCAAAAGAGATAACAAGGTAGAGAGGCATGGTTAGAGAACAAACCTCATTAGCATTTGGTTCCTTGGAATGCGCACATGATCAAATCTCAGAACACCATTGTCCATGCTGTTATATGCCCCACTTCCAAATTTCATTCCAATATCACCAACTGTTATGCCTGGAAGAGGTGAGTGATCATCCAAACTACGCAGCTGGACAATAAAACCTGAAAAAAGGATTTCTGAATTAACATCTTAAATACCAGCTAAGTAAATAAGTTTATTCATTTGGCATTTACCATGCACTCCAAGGTCTTGACCATCTGTTATAAGACGAGCATAAACCACAGCATGTGTGGATGCTTTACCCAATCCACCAGGCCACCACTATTAATGAAAAACCCCATTAAATAATGTTAAGTCAAGAAAATACATGAAGATTGATATAAGATTAAAACCTTTCACAAAGGATATAAAGAACCTATAAGAAAACTACACATTGCACACAAGAAAAAGAGGAGAGAGGACTTGAGGGTGTCTGAGTCAAAAAGCATTGAGAATGAAAATTGAAGCACGTCTCATGACACATTGCTTAGAATGATGTAATTAATCAATGTCAAAGAAATAATTATTTTAAAGGTTGTTAACCATTTTACTCACTTTGCTTGAAGTCAGTGTGGGACTATGAATGACAAATTCATCAGTTTGAGGATCAAATGTTGCAGTAGTCTCAAGCCCTTGGACATTGGAGCCATGACCAAGTTCAGTTTGTGCATAGCATCCAATTATTTGCATCTTATACGCCATTGGCAGCCACTTCTCTTGCTGCTCATCAGTTCCTTGTCCTTTAATAGCAGGTATAAACATTCCCTATCAAGAAAAAACACATTAGGAGGTTTAAAAAAACACTTCAAAGCCCTTTTTATAAGTATTTCAAACCCAGAAATGAGCACAAAAGAGACCATCATTTTATATTAAATTTGAAAAACTAATGAAGTTAACCAACTTATGTTGCATTTTCCAAACATTTCTATATTGCTTAGCGTAGAAGTGGCACATACAGAACTTGTGAAGCTTAGAAACAGGAAAAGAAAAACACAACTTACAAAGTGAAGATCTGCATAAGCAGGCTGATCCACATAAAACCATAATTTATTGACCTCTTCTTCTGTTATAAGAAGATTTGATATTAGTCAGATATCTAGGGGAAAACCCAATTTAGAAGAAGAAAAGAAACCGAGTGGAAAACAAACCAGAGAGATGAAGCTCAATTATCCGCTTCCATGCATGAGCAACTTTTCTCAAAGTATCTTTAAACAAGTCCTTCCTACTTAACATAGTTCTGTTATCCTTTCGAAAGACCTAGACAAAATAGCAACAAGGTTACTTAATTATTAAAGAAAGACCAGTAAAATGCCAAAATGAAAAGTAACTGTACTCCTTTAAGTCACTGAAGGAGGGAAAAATAAGAAATCTTGAATATGAGGACAGAAACTAAAAGAGGAAATAACTACAACGTCACTGGCACAGGCAGAAATATGATAGCCAGTCCACAAGGTGAAAAGAACTCTGTAAATCATATCTTTCCTTCATTTCACTTTTCCAATTATGCCAATTACTTTGGAACTACCAATCAACAGAACTCAGTAATCAAAAATTTTAACCACAGCTTAAGGTAAATTACGGAATTTCCTCAATCTTTCTTTTCCCTATAGTTAAAACTTAAAAAGCCTTAACTCTTCTATTCTTCAACACAACTCAAGAATTAATAAGACTCAAATGGAGAGCAAAAACAAATGAACTAGAAATTATGATACAAATAAAAGTTATTCCAAGTCTAAGAAGCATGACAAGAAATCATAGTTTTTTCTCTGGTAGCTGAAAAGCTTTAAGAACATCATGTTTAAAGATACTTCAACGTCCCAAATGCTGATGCACATCTAACAGACCTAATAGAATACCGAATTTAAGGCAGCAAGCATAAATTGGATTTCTTCCTACATTTTCGTGAGCAACAAACAGTAAAACACATGTTGTCAACAATATCTTGTCAAACCAGTTAACACTAAGACACCAAAGTCCAAACTTTAGCTTCACTCTTTTCCCACGTGTTCTCGGAACTAAACAGACAGAAAATTAACTCAGAAATTAAGCCATCACTGGCAATGAACAGTGAAACGATAATAATTAGAATTTCAGTTCCTATTCATAATTTCCTCGAAACCAAACAAGGAGGAAATCAAAAGATAATAATCTAAAGAAAAGAAAAGAAAAATAAATGGCTCGTGCAACAATAAAAATGAAAAACTAAATAAAATCCGTACAGGGTTTAAGATACATAATAATATGCTTAATCTCAAGTTATAATAACCAAAACTCTCAAGATTCTTAAAACATATAAACTTTGCTGTAATATACTTTTCTCCGCGATATTTTTGAAAACAAGAAATAAAAAAGACATAAATTTAATTTAAAAAAAAAAAAAAAAACTAAATCACCGGATCGCTAGCAACGACACGAGCAACTCGATCGGACATTTCATACTCGTGAGGAGAACCAGCCCAAACGACCTTCATCTCTTCCACATCGAACTCCGCCTTTCTCCTCTCTTCCGCATGGTAATCCAGTGCCTCCATTTTTTTTTTCTCGATTCAAATCGAAATTTCAAAAAGAAAAACAGAGAATTTGTACTTGGTTTTAGTTTTATCCAAAATAAAAATAATTGATAGAAACTAACCACAAAAGAGCAAGGAAGCCTGCGAATCTAAATGTGAAATATCCTTTTTTGCATCATTATCCTTTTCGAATCTTTTTTTTTTTTGACGAATTTTTAAAAAATAAAACTGTTTAAAGCACGTGAAAATCTGTTTTATATTTGAAAATGCATGTTCCGTACAACCGACACTAATTGCTTAGATTTTTTCTTTACGTATAGTTTTATTTAATATTTTCAATGTAAATTTTATTATTGTCTCTTAAATCTAAACAAAAATTGTTTCGGTTAAATTTTCAATTTTTATTTTTAATACAATATAAACCCCGGAAACTTTTTATATAGTAAAATTTATTTATTGAATTGAAATTGAAACTTTTAACATATGGTAGTAGTAATTTATTTTAAAATTATTTTGGATCGAAAATTCATTATTTATAATTTTTTCTTATTAACTCCAAACTTTGTTTCTATAAATTTGAAAAAAAAAAAATCCTTACCTTGTAGTTATCGCCTTGATGACATCTTCTATGACACTGTGTGGCTTTTGTTTTCTTGCCTTAAACAATAAACATGTTTCTTGGTGATTGCAGGAGCATACTAATAATAATATTGTAATAGCTAAAATAATATAAATGTCACTTTCATGTCATGTTTGAAAGTGGCAGAATGAGAAAAAAAAAATCGTAGGTGATGAAATACTATTAATACTAATGCAAAATAGACTTGTGACAAAGCATTAATAAAATAAACGATAAATGCTCAAGATATGAAAGTCCTACCGTTTAATTGATAGCAGTAGGCAAAATCCTAATAGTTAATTGATTGTGGTTTAGGATTTAGGTTTATCTTGAACCCGATTTATCCAAAGAATAAGAAGCAAGCATGGGCAGAATCACAGGTGGCCAGGAGCACAGTCCCTTAGGTATGACAATAAACAAACTAGCTGATGTGGAAGTTAGGGACTTCAACATACATAACAACCAGTTATATTCCATCAAGTGAGCTATAAACGAATATATGTCACATTGCTGTCTGAGTTGGAGTTGTAACATGTGCCAAATTTTCTCATAGCCTCAATACTCTCTTCTATTGTTGACCCAGCAGTCCCAACAAAACCAAGTGATGCACAACTGCAAACTGTTTCCTCTATGTATAGGAGTACATCGGGGAATATATCAGGAGAGCAATGTTTCTCCAACTTAGCCACTGCAACCATACTGCCAGGAACAGATTCAAACCTCAGGCCATGTCCTGCAAGTGCCAGTTTCTTCTCCGTTTTCGTCACCAACAAATCTCCTTCTCTCAGGAAATACAGCCTAAAATTAGCTGAATCCCTAGCCAAAGCACCCAAGTAAGTTCCAGTCCAATTGCCTTGAGGGAGATCAGTCATCACAAAGATATGGATTGGTCGAGAACCTGTCTGCCTTAATGAATCTAATTTTTGTTTTAAACCCAAAAAAGTAGCTTTCCAGTGGTTCTTGAACTGCCCATCTAGCAGCCTAAGCTGTGCACATAAAAAAGGAGCCTTTATTGTCTGAACAGCAAGCTCCTTTCCCGAGTTTATAATTTCGGGGACAAATGAAAGGAACTCGATCTTTTTAATTAAAGATTTTATCCTCGGATCTCCTGGTGCTTTTTGGATATCAATATAGAGCTCTGAACCTTTATATGGGGCTGTAAAAAGGCTTCCAAATGCCAGAACAGTGACTGATTCTGCTTCGCTACCAGGTCCAAGAGTCTTATATACATCTCTACGTCTCCTAACATATGAAATTTTCCTCTTTTTCTTGAGTTGTTCGTCAGGTTGGAATGAATCTAACGCCCCATTCACTTCATTTTGGTACATCCAAACTGTTGTTCTACAATCTTCATCTACAGCAAATAAACACTGATCTATATTACCATCATTCCCAGAGAGAAGAGAGCCACATTGCTTTAGGCTATCAACCATAGACAGACGTGCATTCAATTCATAGGAGCAAGCCAAATCCATGTTCAAACCACACCACAAGGACATAAAAACCCTGAAATCTATGGCTCGAACAAGTGAAGATGAAAGTAATGCGGAAATATCGATGATATCAGCCATGGAGACATACCTGCAACAACAGATAGAAGTGTAACTGAAACATAAACTAGAAACAAAAACATGGAGTTGGGCAATACTGAATTTGTTTAGTAATCGAACCTTCCTGCATTCAAAGTCCGCAGCAGCATTGCCAAAAAAAAAAAAAAAAATCTAAAATTTGTTTTCAAGAAATAAGCTGGAATAATTTAAATGTTCATAATTCATAGAAAACAAGAGGAAAATCAAAGCGCCAAGTTACAAATCTTACGTTTACTATGAGCTTTAGGCTGAGAAAACAATTTATTTCTGCTAAAAGTGACACACACACACACACACACATATATATATATATATATATATATGTATGTATGTATATAGCTGAAGAACAAAAACAGAATAGAAACAAGATTGGAACACCCCTGATTTTCTCTTGTGGTATTTTTTTTTTTATCACCAATTAAGTATAACCACATTTTGCCACAACAAAGTAGAAGAGAATCAATAAAAGAAAATTAGTCTAAAAGGTAAAAATACTAAAGCCCAGAATTCAAACATACAAATGTTCAACAATTTACCAGAGAAATTAATTGAAACTGATATATATAAACAAAGAAAGTGGGCAATACCCAGTTACCTCCCACTTCTAAGGAGTTCAATGACATTATCCCAAACGGAAAGCCGGATCTCTTTAGGACTTTGAACCCTAAACTTAGGGCAGCTACCAAGAGCTACGGCATGGTGATCAAGAATAGGAGGGACAATTAAGGTACGGTTCAAAATACCCGCCATTAGAATTGCATTTTTGAACTCAGAAAGCTGATTACTAAACCCGCTATGAGGAGCATACCACAAGAATTTCTCCCCTGGAATCTGGGTTTTGCAATGTGTGTACTGGGGGTATAGGGCTTCGTTTATCGTTTTGGAAGAGTTTGAGAAGAGGGATTTGGGGATGAAAGTGTAAGTAAGGAAGAAGAAAAAGAGGATAGAAAGGAGAAAGAGTGAGAGGAAAAAGAATGGAGATCTGCGTGGTTGTTGTTGTTGTTGCTGTTGGGATTTCCTTTTGTTCCATAGCTTGGGAGTGGCAATGGTTCTGTTGAGCCTGAACATGTTTTTTTCGGTCTTGTTGGTCGTGTTTGATGGGTCTTTTTTGGGGCGTTTGATGATATTTTCTGCCTGGGTTAGGAAAATGCTTGGTTTTTTGTCTCTAGGGGTTGGGCTTTAATGGGGCATCAAGACTCCTTAATTGGGTATGCTACGGGCCCTTCGTGCTATCCATTTTCATGGATGGGCTACCATATAAGTAAAACCACAGGTCTACAACAAACTGGACCCTGTTACAAGAAGAAGCCCGATAAGACCGGGTTCCAGGGCAACTACATGTGGGCTGGCCTAGAGCTTGAACCCCCGTTGGCCCTGCCATCATCACCGAGCACCTCCGACTACTTTTTCAAGAAGACTTTGAGGCCTCTTCTGGGTAACACCAGCAGAATTAATATCCGCATCCATACCCATGCATATGGTTTCTTTCAATGTGTTGCATATCAATGGAAGGCAATTGCTGTTTCAGATGTGCTTCGTGAATTGCTGGAGAGAGAGCATGGGAAAAGTAGATTTGGAAACACACAGGGATTGTAGGGAGGCGTGAAGCCCATCATGAGGAACACACCGTTAGAAGATTCAAATAATTTCTAAAGATGCTACAGCCTAAAGCTAAGCATTGAATTAAATTACTAAAAACAGAAACAAACTTATTGGGTTGATCCCACAAAAGTAATATATAACTAAACCCAAACCAGACTGCACATTATTAGTCTTCTATTGACAATAACCTGTACTGCTCACAGTCCCTGAGCCAACACAAGACAATAATTCAGATAAAGTCGGTCTTAAACCGCATGAATTGGGCTCCCACTTGAATTCATGCTTGAAGTACCAGGAGAAGGATTGGCATGGAAAGCAGACAGTCTAGACGAACCATCAAGTTTTAATGAAAGAGAGGATGGGCCACTATCACCAATAGATTCTCCCAAACTCAATTTTGACATGCCCACCAGCTCATCAACATTGATCGGGCAATTTGAATGTACTGCTGTTGGCTTGACCACTTCATGTGACTCCTTCTTGGTTGGTTCTGTGTTATAACCCATCCAATATGGAAATGACAATGGAAAGAATGGTGAGAAGTAAGCAGGATATACGACTGGGTAACAAGGTTGTGAGCTCTCCAAATGTGGAAGAACAGTTTCCCCATCATTCGAGTTGTTGGAATCCATTGATTCATCTTCTTCATCCAATGGGGGAGGAATAGGCAACTGGTCATTGCTCGGTGCTTCAGCCTGTGGATGATTTGCAGAGAACAAATCCTGAGATACCATTGGAGTGTCGCCCAACTGCAAGAATGTGAAGAAAAAATCTCTTAGACAAAGAGAAAATAAACAATGTTTACCAGCATTGGATGCAATTGCAATGCATCCATAAAAACAAATTCACCGAAGAATGTTCATATGGACATTGTATGTAAATTGGATAAACCAATTATCTCTAAAAGCAATAAGATAGAATAACTACACACCAAAAAACTGTAATAAAATAGGAAAAACTACGGCTTCCCATTTTAATTCGGTATAAAACAAAGCATATCTTCTGGAATTAATATTATTTAGACAAAGTAAGTGAGCTAATGATAAATTCCAACAATAAAGAAGTAAAATATGCACAGGCAAAGAACAGAAATCTCAAGGGTATGTTCATCCTAGTCATATCTACACTATTAATTTCTTAATGGATAAAAGTAGTTAAAGGTTCAAAAATAGTCAATCAAAAACTACTGAGTCAAATTTGTTATTCATACAAGGAAGATATGACAATTGAGGTATCATCATAGAGGGAACGGCACTAACTTCATCTGCTACAATATCAAAGAGGCTGGAACGTCTTTTTCTCCTAGAGACATTGGACTGCCTGATGAAATGTTTCTGGGCATGGCTAGCTACTTGAGTAGGAGTCCTTGATATAACATAATTGCGTGAGATTCCACGCCAATCACCTTTCCCAAGCTTCTGCAGTCCAAGTAGAAACATCCTATGCTCCTCTTCCGTCCAAGGAACGCCTGCAAAACAAATCATATAACTAAATTCAATAATAGCAGAAACTATACCCTTGCTTACTATACTTTTTCCTACACTAAACATTGACGTGAAAGTAGCAACCTAGTCATTACTATACCATTTAAATTCTACCATTGTCAGTGGCTGCTAGACTTCTCATGACCAGTGTCTATGATCAATATTTTAGAGGATTATCCAAAACAAGAACCGTGTAGACAATCACAGGCACCCAAAAAAAAAAAAACACAATTATATTACCTCCAAAATTCAGTGAGAACACACCTGATAATCTCATTTTTTAGAACATAATTTAAACCAATAAATTTCACATCATAGTCATCAAAATTTTTTGGGATTAAAATCCTTAACATCTCTGATCATAAACCTCCCCCCCGTGCTTCTCATATTTCTTTATCCACCATTTTCACATATCTTTAGATACTCTACATCATTATTAAAGACATTAAGTTATATGATCCATTTCTTAATTCAACAACAACCCACCTTATTTCAACCAAAAGAAAAATAATTCTAAATTAAAATTCCAAATTTACCTTGAAACAATACAACTTTACTCTAAATCCATAAACTATCATACTATCTTTAAGCCCAAGCAAATACTTAAGTATTTGGAATTTTTTTTTATACAAGTTAAAGAGTCTTTACTCTAATTAACCCCCAAATAAAAACCCAAAGCAATAAAGCAAATAAAATTAAGCAAAATAAGAAAAATCAAATTAATCCTTGAAAAAAGTGATACTTTTTTTCCTTTCGCGACTCGAAGACGACCCGGGGACAAAATCCTCAGAAGCATAGCCGTCGGCGTGTTCCGGACCCTCACCGGGTGAACCCGACCCGTTTCCGTTATGCGCGCCCGAATTCGACCCCGAGTATTGGCTTAAATTGCCCATACTGGCGCTCTTCCGAATCGACCCGTCAGTCAACCGGACTCCGAAAAGTTTGAACCCTCGGTTCGGGCAGGTCCGAGAATTGTGCCCGTTGTGGCTGCAATGCGAGCACCGACGCGTCATTTTTCCCGCCCTGGTAGGTTCGTTTTGGATAAGATCAGACGGGAAAGTAAAGAGATAATTGCGAATCGGATCTTTGAAGGTCCGAAACCAAATCGCATGTGGATTAGGCCTTTACCTTTGGCCCCAAAAAAAAAAAAGTTTTTCCTTATTTGGCTCCTCCCTCCGTCTGTATTAGCAGATGGGAGAGAGAAAGAGGTACAGACGGTTTCCATATATCATGTTTTTATTACAGAGAAAATGAAATGATCCGGTGCTTCGCGGAGTTTTCTCGGAGAGATGAACAATTTGGATTTCTATCCGTTGATTTGGTCAAAATTGGTTGACTTATCGTGCGCTTTGGTGTGGGGCAGTTGACTTCAACATGAGTCCATTTAACAACAATTTTTTACTCCAACGTTGTCTCTCCATTTTTTTTTAAATAAAAAAATTAAACAAGTATTATCCAAAAGGAGTAAGATCTAAGGTTGTCTTATTAAAAGTAAAATTTTAATATTTTGGCCTATAATATTAAAAAGAAAAAAGAAAAAATATGTTTACTTCTTTACCAAGGTAGGATAAAGTACCTTTAGTGTACATGTGGATAAGCATTTATTTTTTGTTAACAAAAGGATAACAAAGAATATTTTATTAGTATGATACAAGTCTAAATTTGTAAGATTGTGATATGAATATATATATATATATATTTCAAAGTATGATTTGATGTTTGATGCACCAAATATTGTTTGATGCAAATTTAAGGTATAATGCAAGATGTGCACTTGATTTAATAGTTATGTGATGCTTCTTTATTTAGGAAAGATTCAAGATCTTGCATTCAAGTTTAATTTAAGTGGAAATTTATCTTATCATAAAAAATGAAAAACAAAATGTATGGTATGATTGAATTTATTGTATTTTTAGTTGCTTTGTTTATTTTTTAAAAAATACAAAATATAAGAATACTTATATAAAGATCTATCAATTAATAAGAAAATCAATTTATTTACGAATGAGACATTATAGTCAAACCAACAAATTATCACCAAGTAAAAAAAAAAAAACAAAATAAAATATTGAAACAAATGCGAGGAAACAAATAGTATTTTTTTCAAAAATCTTTTACATGTCTTTATATTTTGCATTTTATATTTTTTTACATAAAAAGTTAGTATTGTTTTTATATAATAAATTTGATAATTTATGTTTTCATATTATGTAAAATATTATATTCATATCATATTTTATATGAAAATTATATATTATAATTTGTATAAATATAAAAACATAAAATATAAATTTTAAATTTATTAAATTTATTTATAATATTTTTAAAATTTTAAACTATAATATTTTTATATCTTTTATTTTTATTATTTTCATATCATATTGTATCATATTTTAAATTAATAGATATAATTTTTAATTGTTGTTCTTTAATAACGTAACAAAGAAAAATGGTAAAACTTTGCATTACCAAATCCCCTTTCCTCTTCCCCCTTTGTTTTATAGAGCGGAAAAAAAAAGGAAAATCCATTTATCAAAGGTCCATCTCAAGAACAATGTCAAAAAGGTAAAACAAAATAAAATATTACTACTAACTTTGTAAATACTATTAACAAAATATTGTACAAATTTTAAAACATTATTTTTAATGAGTGGGAGAGAGAAATCATATTGAAGGAATGATTTAATATGACACGTGTAGGGTGAGGACGTTGTTGGGAACGAACATAATCTTTAATTGGACCGTACACGTAGAATCATTTAAATGCGACGTATGACTGTTTTTTAGGTTAAATTTTGTATTTTTTGAGAAAAAATTTTCTTAATTTTTGTAAAACTTAAACTAAACTGTTTTAAATACCAAGTCTACACAATCTGAAGAAGCAAGAGAGAACAGAAATGTTAAAAACTACGGAGATTTCTAGGATGAAAGAACCCGTCAAATTGCTCACGAAATCTAAAAGTTAGGTTTAAAAGAAAAAATTTAGGGTATATCGTTATAAAATTAAAGGAAAGAGAAAATGAAGAGAATAAAAAGTTTTAAAATTAGAATGTGCGGTTTAAGGTTGATTATTGTAAAAGATGAAGCAAAGACAGTAGAAAAAGGCAAGGAAATAGAATCAACAAGGAAAAAAAAAATGAAAGAAGAATACCGTTGAGATTTGGTGGGAATTTTTTTTTCGATGTTTTTGGAAGGGAGCGGGTTAGGTCACCCGTTATTTATACCACATTCTGTAACCGATTTAGTCAATTGGGCCAAAAGCCCATAACTTAAAGAAACCTAAGGTTCAAACTGAAGTTGAGTAGTAAATTGGGCCAAAAACCAATAACATAGGCCCAAAACAAATCCTTTTAAATTGGCCCACAAAAAAATAAATCGATAAATTTGAACTTTATTAAAAAAATCTCTTTATTTCAACCATATGAACATGAAATGTACAAATAAAAGATACTTCTATGCACCAAAAAAATATATAGAAGATAATGTTTATATTTGACCGATTAGCTAGCAGCACTTTGATATGAATTATTAAATCACAGAATATTACCTTTCGATTGGGTTTGTCGCACTTCTACCTTCGCTACTTTACCTATTTTCCCTCAACATGGCAGACGATGCCTGCTGAGGTTTTGCTCAAATGGTCTCTGTCAAGTCCTTTAAATGGTGTCCGTTTGATTGGGTTATTGTTCAGAGCTTTTTTTTTTTTTTTTCCTTTTAGTGGGATTCTTAATTGAATGAGATAGTTTTTTCACATAGATATAAGCTCATCCTCGATCAATTTTAATTTCTTTCTCTACTTCAGCATGCAAATAAAAATGTTTTTACTAAGATCAACAAACTAGGAAGTATCAAAATGGTGCCTTAAGCACTTGGAGCTCACTTAAAAAAACAAAATACAAAAATTATGAGTGATCCTTGATGAATTGATCACTTTAATTATCAAAAATCTTAGTTTCATCAACTTGATATCAAGAAGACAACCATGGTCCAATAACCAGCTCCTCTCAATCTGAGATACACGCAAATTCTAGACCAGTATAAGACAGTTGTACCTTTTTCCCCGAATGAAAACTGTGCAACATGAGCAATGCTACTCTCACCCCTAATTTACAGGGTTGGGTCGCTTCAGGCTCATTCTTGCCGAGTCGTTATGGGAAGGATAAGAATATATTCAGGTGACAGAATGGTGAAATACATCGGCATCCAGAACATTCATCTTCTGGCAAATGTCCTTCTTCTATGTCCCCTCATGGGGGTTGCACCAACTTCTATGGTTCTGCTTGGACTCTGCTCTTCCTCATCACTAGTTTCATCAGATCTCCATCTCAGCACCCCATTTGCATTTCTATCCTCAAAAGAACTCTCTCCACGGCTGCAGATATGCAAAAACAAGAAACAAGATGAAAAGATGATATAGCAAAATTTTCCCCCCCATGTGATTATCGCGATGTCTAGAACCATACATAAGAGAGTGCAAAGGAAAAGAGAGAATAAGAGAAGAAATCAAAAGCTTTACCTCCAAGAGACATCCATTAAATCTTCTGTAGGAGGCACATTCCCATGTCTGTCATCTCCGTATGATTGGCCCCTCTTACCAGAAATATTAGAGCACAAGTTATTTGCAGAACCTTTAAACAAACCATAGTTGCTGCTAGCTGTGGATGTGGGATTAGCTTTCACCCTTCGGGAATATGGAGGACTTGTATTGCGGACTTGGTTAACAAACCCATTTTGCTCAGCCTCTGAAATGATTTTATCAGATTGTCTTTCTTGTAGGTGTCTGTTTGGAAGCTCTCTTGATGAACTCCAACTGATTCCTTTCAATGGTGTAGCATAAGCGGGACTTATAAGATGAATTCCAGGACTTGAGATGTCCTCAAATTTGAAGTTTTTGCCAACTTCAACACTTGATACTCGTTCTGCATCTCCAAATAACCTTCCCTGGAGAATTGATGCAGATCCGTGGTTACCAGGTTCAACATGAGAAATGTGGACGTTACCACCCAATATTTTAGGAATTTCAAAAACTGGTGGTCTCAAAGGAGTAGCCGCATGGTCTGGATGTAGAACAATAGAATCAGAAGTGGAGGGAACCAAGAAACCAGCTAATTTTGGTTCTTGCAACTCAGGAAGACAAGATCTTGCTGGCATTTCATCCTCTTGACCAGAAGCAACATCAGGCAATGTTCCAGTCTTCACTTGTTGCTGCAGGACTTCTGGCAGCAATTCTATACCTTTATCCTATTGAAAAAAGGTAAGCAAGTCAGTAGATTTGCTATAAATGCTACTTGCTACCAGTCACCAAGCATGGAAAACAAATTCATTCTTCAAACAAGACCAACTCCATAACCATAAAGTCCCCCCCCCTCCCCTAAAAAAAAAAGGGTAAAAATGATAGAATTGAATTGCTTTTATAGCAGCAACAAGAATACCCTCAAAGTTTAAACCACTTACAACCAATTCCTTTCTCCTCTGACGACGTGATTCCATTCTGGATAGAATTTCTAGAAATTCTTCTTTGACAGAATGAGTTGAAATGAAGTCTTGCTCCAAGCTCCAAAGTTTATCATTGACTTGACATGCCTCAACATATCGAGAGCGCTGGATTAGTAACAGAAAACTAATACATAAGCTCTGGTAATACACTGATAATACATGGTAATAATCATCTATTTAACCTAGAAAAGCACCCCTAAAAGTGATGTTGGAATCCATTGGATCAGCCAAAAATGAGAATTATAGAGCATCTAACAGTTAAAATGTGAAACACAATAACAATTTAAGACCTAAACATAGGCCAAGTCATGAACAATATACAGCATCCATGAGCCCAAACCTAAATGTTACACCATTCCATGCAGTACATATATGGATATTAAGTTAAAATGACATAAGAGTCAAGATGATATCCCTTTATTGATCTTTCATAGTTCTGCAAGTTACCTGAAGATAAAATACAACAAGGAGACTTCCAATAGCAGTTGAGGGTTCATCAGTTGCACAATCTAACAGGCATTTGTGGATATATTTCTCCTCATCAGCATTCCATGGTAACTCTATTATCCGATCTACCAAATTCCTCCGAATACATAAACAACAAAATTCAGTGACCAATACTTCTATCCAGTCCATCCAGGACCTGAATTGAACTTTCAGATCATCAAATTCATCCCCACTAGCTCTATACTTGAACTTGTTTTCTCGGACTTTGGTACACAGCATTCGCTGATACATAAATGCTTCAGTCAAAAGCCCACACTCCACTTTCACCCGAACAATATTGACAGCCTCACTAAGCAAAACCAACTGTGATCCAGTATCACGACCAGACCAACGTAACACCATTTGAGCTGCATCAGCATCCTGCCTTTCTAACAGAACTCGTGCAATCTTAGGATGAGTTGCTGGACCAGAGATCTCTGGAAGAAGTTGTCGAGATTCCTGAGAAATTTGATTTAGTTAAAAATAATCAGCACATGGAATTATACTAAGAGTGAATGAGCATAGCTCGAAGGACACAAAATAGTTCTCTACTGTCATCCCCAAAATTAAACAAGGACATGGTTCTACACAAGACAATGGTCCACAACAATATGGTCAAATAATTAATTTTGGCTAGAGGAACTATATTAATTCACTAAGATATTAGTCTATTAGAACTCACTATTAGAAAAAGAAACGACCATTTACAGGAGAAAACGGAAGAACCTAATATGGACAGAGTTAGTGGTCAAACATTAAAAATAATACCAATTAATTTGAGCTTAACCAGCAATGGTAAATATGGACAGAATTTGAGGTCAAAATTAAAAATAATACCACTAGTTTGAGCTAACCAGCAAAATTAAAACTCTGTGCATAGTAACAACAATGCTCAACATTCAAGTCTTATCACTAAGGTACAGTTCACATCAAAGCTTAGGCAAGCAAGTTAGAATAGAAATCCATTTAGCAATATACTTCAAAAGTCACTTTAAGCAAGCTGGACACTCATACCAATCTACATATCATAGTATAATTTAATGGCAATAGAAATCATCAGACTAATCCATTTAATTAGGAGGTAGTGAGTAGCAGAGAAGTTAAAGGGGCAATGTCATTCGCAAAGTTCATAGAATTAATCAGAAATCTGCATGGTGCCTTGACAGCAAGCAAAAGTGGGCATTTAGACATAACAAGCTTTTGTAAGAATAGATATGGAAATTACCAGTAAAGCCTCATCTGAGTGATCATCCAGAAGGCAGAAAGTGAATGATTCAAGTAATGAATGCTTGCTTATACCAAAGGAGGCTGCAAAGTCATCCACAATATGTCTCCATTCTTCTTCAGGCCTACTCCAATGCCGATCAAACAGGTAATATACAAACTGCATCTCAGTTAAGAAAATTAAAGGCATTTGCCTAACTGGAAACATGTCCTATCAACAGACAAATCCTAAATGAAAATCATATATAAAAGAGAAGGATACAATTGCTTGCTTTGCAATCACCAAATCAGAACTACCACGTAGAAAGAGGATGTCCACAGCAGCTCGAAGACTTTCAAAAGGATAACATCCTGTCATTCCCTCTATTTTAGACTGTAAAAATGACAAGGCTCCATTCTTCTGCAAAAATGCAAAACCTGACTCTCCTCCTATCTCCTGGTTGTTTGCCTGCTCTATGTCAAGATTTGATAGGGCATCTTCAATGAAAAGAGAACCGCACTGTCCAATGGAGTCAGCTGAGTGATCTGTCGCATCAGGCGGCCATGCACGCTTAATTGCAGCTGATTTCCTTTCACGAACAAGATTACACCAGGATGTGAAATTAGCATGACGAGACTTCACATGTTCCAAGAATTGGTGCCTAATACACCATATTGTGATCTCAAGATGCTGAAAACTTAGAACAAATAGTGTTAGAAAATATTGATTATTGCATGATTGGTAAAGCCTATATCAGCTATAAAGTCTAATGAGACAACCATTCTTCATTTGTCCAGTGAAAGGCTAAAATGAGTATTTTAATGAAACTAATGACACAATTACAGCATTCAAAGACAAAAGGTGCACATAATAACATTGCCACCAGAAGTTCAGATAAGTGCAATGATCAAATGGCAGTGATTAATTTCTCAAAATTCCAAACTCCATCTGCTGTTATTCTATATTTAGTTGGCTCTCAAGATAGTAGGTTCCGAGACTTGGTTACAAACATATTGCTCTTAAAAGATGCTAAAATATGCTAAAACATTCAGCTAACTAAATCGAACCTGCTTTGTCTTCAATATACTCTCTTGAAGATGGTGCAAGTCATGGAGTTGTGCTGAAAAACGACCCTTGAAAGATGACTCCAAAACTTCAAGCACACAGGATAAGCTGGCCAGATGTATTGAAAACTTTAGAAGCAAAGCTAACCTATTTTTCATTTCCTCGACCTCAAGACAATCTGATAAAAACTGTTAGGGAACACCCAACACACATGGTATAGGCAAAATACCAAAATAGCATAGTTCTTAAAGCATTTCACAAAATCTTTAAGGATACATATCCCTTGAAGTTCTGTTGCAATGTTTTTAAACGCCAACTTGACCCAATCCTTGATAACCTTCTCATCCAGCAACAAAGCAGTGACAGCATCACTGGAAACAGCAGTTTCATCCATACATATATCTGTAACGTCTGTTATTTTTCTGTTAAAGGTAACATGAACTTCTGGAAGACAACCACGACAACAGAATTTGGGGCATGTTATAAAAAATAGAAACAAACCAATATGCCCTAAAAGGCTGAACTTGATAAATAGAAAAACAGCAAAAGGATACAATGACAAACCAAAGAAACCAGGTTATTCTTCAAGGCTGCATCAAAAAATGAAAAAAGACGTTGAACATCAGCAGTCAGTTGATTATCTCTATCTTCTTTATCTTGAAACCTCTCGTTGCATCTTCTAGAAATGAGGCCAGCATCTATGCACTCATCATAAAGGCGAAGGCGAAGGCGAAGGCGAAGTCTATTATCAACACTTTTTATTATTGGGGTTCTACAAATTGGACAAAGATCACACCGTTGACTACACTCCGCACATAACGAGGCATGTCCACACGAGTTCAAAGCATGCTGTACATAACGTCCACAGCTTCTTAAATCTCTAGTTGCTCGACAGTACTCAATTTTCGCCTCATTGACTAACTCACTAAGGTCGATCGATGCCAAGTGTTCCAAAGCTTCCTGAAATTTAAAATTAAAACCTAATATAAATATATAATTTCCCATAGTACAATCTCCGAAAAACAGTACACTCAAGCTATATAATAATTCATTCTACCATTACATAATAAGCTATTAATTCACCTCAACTTTTTTTTTTTAAAGATTAATTAATTGAATCTAAAATTCTATCATTTAACTAAAAAAGTTTCTAAGAGAATCAATTCTATGCAAGCAAATATGAACTTAATTCCTTATTACAGTAACATTATAAAGCAGCAAAAAACAATAAAAAAGATTAAAAATCAAAGCAATGTAAAGCGCTAGGGTATTGCAGTTGGCAGTTAGGGAAGGGAACCTGAACGGCTCGGCTACTGAAGTTGGGGTGAAGAGGAGGAAGAGGAGCCGGTGATCTAGCGGAGCGGCCGTTACTTGCCGAGCTTGAAGGGAAAATCGGACCGTTGATTTCGGGTCTCTCCATTTTTGTTAAGGATTTGTTCCGGAAAAAGAAGAGGAAAATTTGAAAAGTGAGTAAAGTTTGAGAGCGTTCTAAGGGTTTAGGGCTAATTGAGCGGAAAATTAATAATAGAAAAAGAAAAAAACAACTTTTTTGATGGACGGATTTTTTTTTTTTTTAATTGGTGATGTACATGGCAATTTGGATTCCCAATCATGGCGGTGGGAGGAGATAATTGGGCTTGGGTCGGATCAAACCGGGTCGATTAGATACCCAAAAAGCAGCCCACATAAATAAATAATTTGGTCTAGTAGTGTATAGTTGTATTACATGTAACCTTATCGTCGGTTTTGAATTTAAACTTTAATCATAATTTAATAAATAAGAAAAAAAATTATATTAAAAATATTTTCTTATATTTTTTATTTTCTTTTGGTTATAAATAAATGGTCAAGAAATTCATAACAAAAAAGCAACTAAAATAACATATTGTAAGCTTAAAACTTCTCCATCCTTGACACCCTAATTTTAATTTTTTTTTTTAAAAAAAATCCCATATCTATATATTACTTCGTACAATCATTTTCATTCCAAAAAACAGGGTACATTTTAAAAAATAATAATAAAATTACTATCAAAGGCAAAGAAGTAAAGACGGCTAATCCTCACCGTTAGTTGACAAAATTTACAAGTCAACGGTTTGGAGCCACCGGAAGGTGCGGTCTTTTATTTTGGTTTATTTTATCATTTGTATTTTTGTTTTAATCCAAAAACACTAATAAAACTAATTATTTATTTTAGTTAAATGAAAATTAAACTTAGTTTGTTGTTGACGAGGAGTTAAATTATTTGTTAAAAATGGAGCTTCTAGAAATGATATGTCAAAAGAATAGAAAAGGAAAATTAAGATGAATCCAGCCTCTAACAAGTAACAACAATTATTTTTATATATGAGAAATTATCAAATATATTAATAATTATTTTTTTATTTCATAAATGAAGTTAAAGGGTGATACATTTTTTTAAAATATTTTTAAAAAATAAAAAATTAATTAAAAATAAAATGAAACATAATATATCAAATATTAATTTTTTATATAAAATAAAGTAAAATTTCATGGATGTTCATTCCTTTTTACATTAGACTCCAAGTTGAGGACCTAAACAACATTGAACTTTTAAAAGGAAATAAATAAAAAAATAAACTCATCCTATTATGAAATTAATCATTGATTTGTCAATGGTCCAAAGGAAGAAAAAAATAAATAAAAATAGGGTCCATAACCATAAGAAGATTTAGACTTTGGAAGTTGTCAATTATAATTAAAAAAATGAAATAGCCATCAATATGGTAGAAGAAATATGAAGTGCTTAGGACCCAAAACGTGAAAATATATATACATATATATATATATATATCATAGAAAGTTTTTCAAAAGTCAAAAGGGAATACTATTTGAATTGGCCAATGTGTAACTATTAGATTTGTTTGTTTCTCGTGAAAATATGATGTGAGAAAAGGTGTAATGTTAAAAAATTTGATGATAACAGAAAGGAAATTTCACGTGAGAAAATGAAGCTTAGATATGTATAACTTCTTTGATGGGTAAAGTTTGGAATCTCCCTAATGCCGTCGTGAAAAAGCCAAAGGCGATAGCAAAGAAAAAAAAAATGTAACTTTTTTCATTGTAATTAAACACAACAATTAAGACCAAACTTGTAAATTTATTTATCTACAACTATTTTCATTTTCATCCCTAAAGTTTTTTCTTAATTACAACTTAATCGTTAATGTGATTGATAATTTCATTACTTTAATTTAATTAATATGAAATATCTAATAATTTGTATATTTATGTTATATTTTTATTTCAAATATATATAAAATGTAAAAATTATTATGTCACAATTAATGTTAACATATCATATACGAAACATATTTTATTATTTTTATCAATTTTATATATAATTTTTATTAAAATTTTAAATCGTATTATTTTTATTTTTTTTATCATCTTCATATATTTTTTTATCGTTTTCATAACATATTATTATATATTGTCTAAAATTATCAAATTTTAATACAAAAGCTCAAATTGGTTATAACTAATAAAATGTTAGGACTTAACAAATTTTTAAAAATAAATTTAAGAAGTGATTGACTTAAATCAAATTAAACATATAAAATTTACATAATTAATATATAATTAAATTAATAACTTATAAAATAAAATTTAAAATAAAATATATAAAAATGACATTGTATCATTTAATTCTTAAGATCTAAAAAAATGTAAATTACTCAAGCCCCACTTGACTTTTTTTGTTTTTTTTTATCTCTTTGTTTTTGCTCGTGTAAGTTGGTGGATTAGGATTGTTTTCAACCTATCTTATTAGTCGAGTTTTTTTTTTTTTTTTAATACTAAAGACCATGTTAGTTGATAAACTCATAATATACAAAATACAAAATTCATGTGAAAAAAAAAAAAAAACCCATTATTGAGAAAATAGCAATATTATATATATATTTATCATATAATAAATAGCAAAGTTTAACAAACATATGGTAGAATGACAAATTAAAAGATGAAATAGAAAATACACATTATAACTTTGGGTTTTTTTTTTTTTGGGGGGGGGGGGGGGTGGGCGGGGGAGGGGAGAAAATTGCACGTTTAGCAATATATATAAAAGATATTTCATGACAAATGCTATAATTTATATATACATATACAAATGATTTGCTAAGGAAAAAAAGTTTGTGATGAAGTAAAAATTTTCCTTTAAATTACTTTAATGACAATTTTTTTTCCTTTCCTAGTTCCTATAGACTTGGAAAACATAGAGTTCATGCATATTGGCCAAATACATAAGACTTGTACTTTTCATAATTATATTAATATTTTTTATTTTAGTAGAGATGAAATTGTATTGGTGTAAAATTAATTAGTTTTACATTATTATAAAATTTTATATATGATTAAATATTTAAATAATTTGACTATTTAGTTTTACATAATTTTAAAACCAAACTGTAGCCTCTCCTATGTCAAGGGACTCTTTTAAAAGACACTAATAATTTATTCTTTTAGTTAAATTTATCTTCCTTCTTCGATATTTTTACTGACTCTCCTCTCTTGTCTTTCTGGAAAAATTTTTTTTTCACTCTTTCTTGTCTTGATTATCCCTTATTTTCTTTCTTTTAAACGATTTATCTTTTTGTTCTTTTTTTTTTCCAGATGGTTCTTCTCACTTTATTTTTTTATTTTTTATTTTAACTCAGGTTTGTAGACTATTATTTTTATTTTTATTTTTAATTTTAATAGCAAATGATGTTTTTGCCCAAATTTTAAATAAAGAAAAAAGGTAACCAATTAACAACTTTTGAATAAAAATAATAAATACTAAAATGAATAAAAATTATTATAAAAGTATTAAAATTAATATATATATATAGTATTGATTATAGTTTTTGTTAATTTTTATACTATATTTTGAATGCTATATTTTTATTAATCTTTTGATCAAGTGCATGATTTTCAATTTATTGTAGTTTATAAACTTATTTATAAAAATATTTAAAAACAAAATAAAAATAATTTAAAATTTTAATTGTCTTTTTATATTTATTTTTACCACATTATTTTTTTAATTTTTATTTTATTATAAGTTTTTAATATGTAGTTAAGTTTTATGTAATTAATTTAATATGTAATTTAATAGGGGTATTATGTAATTTCTATAAAATGCCACATGTCAATTTTTATAAAGCAATTATAAGGGTATTTTAGTAATTTAATATGTAATTAATTTTATATTATATTAAATTTTAATATGTAATTTAATAGAGATATTATAGTAAATTTCAAACAAAATACTATATGTCAAATTTCTATGAAGCAATGGTAAGGGATTCTAATAATTTAATAGCTAATTAATTTTATGTTATTTTAAAATTTAATATGTAATTTAATAGAAGTATTATAATAATTTTTAAATAAAATGTTACATTTTAACTTTTGACGTAACAATCATAATGGTACATTTATAATTATGATATGTGAGGTATTATAGTAATTTTGACTAATTATGATAAGATAAGTATTTTCATAATTTTAATAAAATAAATATTATAATAATTTTGATCAATTATGAAAGAAAACATATTTTAATAATTTTGATCATATGTCAACTCATTATCTAGCAATCAAAAGTAATTATAATAATTTTCTTGGAGATTTATTTTAACATTATGTAAAGATTTTATATATGATTAAATATTTAAACAAATTGACCATTAGATTTAACAATATAATCATACTCTTCATGTACTCAAGTTTCAAACGAATCTTGTATCTTTATCATATCAATTGAAAATATTATCGTTTTTAGTATATATTTAACTGTTAAAAAAAATTAGACATTTTAATTAATTTAAAAAGTGAAGTGCACGATCTAGATTAATAAAACATGAAATACAGCAGTTCAGATTAAACAAATATAAATTATACAAAAAATTATAAAAAATGTAATGTAAGTAAATTTATACTCTTTATATTATAAACAACTTTTTTTTTTTAATTCTCGATCTATCATTTATCTCCTTACCCTATACTTTTTCAAGTGAAAAACATATTACATATATAAATTATTTCGAATTCATAAATTTTTAATGTAAATTTAATGTCATGTCAACTAATCTAAATATTAATTAGCTATAAAAAAAAACTTTACTTTTTAGAATATAAGTGGGTCCAAAGTCCAAACCTAACAACAAGAATAGTTCTTAGTAAATTTAGAAAAATGGTCCATGGCCTATTACTCGTACATTACAGATTAATCGTTGATGTCATTTTCTTATTTACCGAATATGTTACATGTTGATGTTTGAGGACAAAATTTGAGAAAATGACCATTGGTGGTACAAATTTAATTTGTCTATATGAGAAGATATGGTTTACTCATGTGTATTTAACCATTATTCTCAATAGTAATTAATAGCCATTAACCATAATTTAGATTCAATTGAACATAATTATAAATATTTGCATGCAACAATTTTAAAGAATAATTGAATGATTAAGAAGTACTATTTTATATCAATACGATGCATTCAAAATTTATTTTTGAAGTATTTTTTATAAAGATCGAATCCAAATTGACAAAGAAATATAGAAAGAGGTTCCTCTCTTAGCAAGATTAACCCTTTTTTTTATTTAAAAAATTTTGATATTATAAAAAAAATGCTGAAGTTCCCTAAATCAACCGGTCTGATTTCACCGATGACATGGACCCCAATTTAAAGTGCATAAATCAAACGCTTAACGTTAAAAGTACAGCCAAACATGCAAATCTAACGTCAAGAAACCGTCAAACGTACAACACCAACAAGGTATTTCCCTTCCAATACGTAAATGTAAAGGAAAAATCCATCCGCGTCCTTCATGGTTAGTCAAAATTGAAAGCTAAATCCATTAATTTTTATAAATGAATATTCTACCTCTAAATGATTAATACTGTGAACTAAATTTGAACAATTACAAGATTACCTAAATGTAAAGTTAACAAATTTAAAGGAAAAAATGATTAAAAACGATAAAATTTCAAACATAACAAAAAATTTCATCGAAGAAAGAAAATTTTCGAAATTGATTCAGAAAAATTTTTTTCTCAACAAAGGTTTCAAAGAAAAAAAATGATGAGATGATGATGATTTTCTTTAATTTTTTATGTTTCTTTTAAAGAAAAGGAATAGAAAGAAGGAAATTAGCATTTTAAGAAAGAAAAAAATTTTGTTATTTTTATTTTATTTCGACAACACAGTATTATTTAAATTTATTTTGAATTTTCTTTAAAAAAAGAATAAAATTAACAATTTCGTAATTTTTTTAAGTTGTAAAAAACATTAAATTTTTGTAATTAAGCATTTCAAGTTATTTTTTAATTAAAAAATATAATGGTTTCATTAATATCTTATAACAAATTTTTTAACATTTGAGTTAATGGCAGAACCAATGTATACGGTCATATTAATAACTTGAAGTAGGATGTTCATATTTTAAATTAATGGACTTAAATTTAAATTTGGCTAAATTTGAAGGATTTGGATGAAATTAACCTAATATAAATAAAAAAAAAACAGCAAGGCTAAAAACGTCTTAACGGAGAATAAAACCCGGGTGATCCCGCTTTTGTATAAGTGACCTACGCGAAAAATTTTTCTTCAACAAACATATTTGTCACTTGATATTTCTTCCTCTTCGGCTGCTGTTCCTTTGCTCCGCCACTTCCTCCATCGTGCTTTCCTTCCCCAAATTTTTTAGCTTTTACGAAGCGTCGTCGTTTATGTGTAGTTGTTTCTTTTGTTGGTTTTCGTTTTATTGTTTTGATGGCAACTGCACCAGTAAAGTCACAGCCTTTACACAACTTCAACTTTCCGTTTCTGAAATGGGGGACCCACGGAGGAGGTAGTTCTTCAACCGCTACCACCGACCACCGCCGTTCTCCGGAATCCGACTCGGACCACGACCATCTACGCCCGACGCGTGTAGGGTCACGCTCCACCCGCATTCACCGCTTATCCTTCCCTCCCCCACCAAAACCCGTTAAACAAAGTCACCGCGAAGAAGGAGAACAACAACAAGAAGAAGAAAAGTCGTTAAAGCCACTAAAAAATGAAGCTGAAGAAGAAGAGGAGGAGACGGTGCAGAGACCGTGGAATTTGAGGCCGAGGAAGGTAGCGGTGGAGACGTCGGCGGCAGGAGTGACATCCATGATGGAAAAGATGAGTGAAACGGCGGCCCCGAAGTCGATGAGATTAAGGGGTTTGGCTGAAAATGGAGGGGTTACTGAAAAGAAAGAAAAAAAGAAGTTTTGGATAGCTTTATCAAGGGAAGAGATTGAAGAAGACATCTTTGTGATGACAGGATCAAGGCCCGCTAGAAGGCCCAAGAAAAGGCCCAAGAATATTCAGAAACAGCTTGATGTATGAGCAAAATCTTTCTGGGTTTTTGTTTTTGATTTCGTGATAAAAATTTAACCTGTTTCTCTTTTTTTTTTTTTTTTTTTTTTCAGAATGTTTTTCCTGGGTTATGGTTGGTTGGTACAACGGCTGATGATTATCGTGTTGCTGATGCTCTTGTTAAGGTTCTTTTCCTTTATCTAAATTTCTATGTGAAACTTGTTTGTTTTCAGGATTATTGGCTGATAACTGAACATTTTTAACTTGTTTACCTGCAGAAATAGATATGATTTTAGATGCTTAACAGATTACCAGATGCAAAGGTTGCCTCTAAATTTCTTAACTATTGTGTGTTTTAAACTTTTAATGTTGTTTTACTTTTTTTGGGAGTTTTTCAGTTATTTTCTTACGTCTGCAGCTGAAACAGTTTGGTTATAATGTTTGCAGGGGATGGTTATGGTGTTAGTGAATTTGGAAATCTGGGAGCTTTTGTAGGGAATGGCTCATTGAGACCTCAAATTTTTTTGAGGTTTAATGAAAATATGATGCTTGTAAAGAAAATGAAAGAGTATGAGAAAAGATATTTAATTTCTTTTATGTTTTTATTTTGTGTTGCGCAGAGGGTAGAGTAGGGATAGAGTTTTCATGGGTTTATAAATTGATGCTAATCTTTTTAGACATTGGATATAAACAGAATTGTGGATGAAACAGAGAGAATTTCTTTCAAGTCTTTTCATTTCAGTATGCTGAATTGGTATTCCATTTGGGATATTTGGTTTTGTAAATTTTCTAACTCTTTTGATTGCTTATAATGTTTGACAGGCTTCCCTACACCGGTGGGGGGCAGAGTTTCAAGCTGTGTAGTTAATTTGCTATCCATAATCGTATTTGATTTATTATTGAAGGTTCTGCATTCTTCCTTCATCTGGAAGAACTCTTCCTCTAATTCATCTGAGCTTCATCAAGAGGAGCTCCTGATAAGGTTTAAATTTAGTTGATTACTTTAATTGCTGTTTTTCTTCCTGTTTTCATCACCCCATATGATATAATATATTTGTAGCTGTATTCACTAAATTATCTTTTACAAAATTTGAGATCTTAGCATAGGGAATTCTTTTTTGCTTTGTATGCATTTTGATTTTACAAAATTTCATGGCAGTTCACAAGAATAAATTCTCCATCTCACTTAACAATTTGCATGGCCTGAGTTTGAAGACTTTGCCAGCTTGTGCTTCATATGTAGGATCTTTTAGGTGCTTGTTAGAAGAACACGATAATATTCCTGGTAATAATAATGGAGACTTGGGTTTTAGTACCCACAGGAGTTTAAATATCATCTCAATTGTCTGTCTTGAAGGTTAGCGTATGTAGGCTTTCATATTTTTGTGGCAGCTAGTTAGTTTCTCCGGGCACTTGTTTCAAATTAAGAGTGTAGGAAGTTTTTTTTTTTATTCTTGTCCATTTTCTTGAGTACTATATTTTTTTAATTTTGGATTCTAGTTTTATATTATCTTTCTGTTTACTGGTATTGAGCAGGGCCTTCTTTTTACCCTTCTATATATAATCAAATAGGGTAACTTATGTCAACCTCCTTCCTCCCATAAAAGAAAAAAAGAATTTATGCCCTTTTCTCATGAACCACTGTTAAAAATTGCTGGTTTACTTTAAACGGGCATATTTTTCTTGAAAGTGCAGTTTTCGAAACTTTTTGCTGCTTAACTGCTTACTGAAGTATCAATTAGTGAGTGCCAAACATGAGTGGAAATGGGATTTTCCTAATCCATTACTGTTTACCATCTCTTGTAAGATTTTAATACTTTTCCATCTCTTTTTTTTTTAATGATTTGGCTCTGAATTGTTCTGTGAAGCTTTTATGGCCAAAGCACTATCATTTTGTCACATATTTTTGTTCGTTTTCTTTCACTCTTTTTTATTGTGATTTCATTACTAGCAAGAAACCTCTATTTTGCATCATCTAGTTAATAAATTACAAGCATAATCATCACTGATTACCAGAAAAAGTACCTCTTTTTTAAAGTTAGAAGTGGGTTTTAGTCAGGAAGTGTCTAGCCTGATGTTTATCTGATTGATCCAATTTCATTAAACCTAGCATCTTTGCTGTTTTTGCATGAATAATTATAAGCTTATAGTGATACAGCATTCTGTTTAGAAGATTATATCTTACTAGTTTTTTTATCTCCATTTTTTTCCAAGATTGCCTTGTTTCCTATTGTAAGGTAATCTACGTTCACTTCAGATGAAAACTGAAAAAGTTCATAACCAAGTTAGGATCCAGCTATTCTCTGTAATGTTCTTTTTTCCAAGTATAGTCCTCATTGATTCCGAATCTATGCTAATTCAGACATTAGCCATCATCTTATGAAATATAAACATTGTCTTTTTACTTGGAATTATATGTTTAGTTGCCGGTTCTAGGAAAGACAGCAGCAGTCAGGATAGGAAAACCTCATTGGCAGTATTGCATATTTACTTAGATGAATAACATTGTGTGACTTAGAATATGATGATAAACAAAGAAATGACATTCGTTGAGATTTAAATTTCAGATTTGGTAACCAATTCAGTTTAAGTTTCGGTGTCAATTTCTTTCAAATTTAGATCCATGAAGTGCTTAGTTTCATTAGTGCATATTAATATGTTGTTTTTTTTTCCCCAAGCCTTTTTAGCAGCTGATGACTAATATATATTTCATGTTTGTGAAAGTGTTAACTCATCATTGTATGTTAATTTTAACACAAGTGTCAACCTGATGGAAAAGCCAGTGCTGTTTACTCAATTTCCTCCTGAAAACCCTGTTTCTCAAAATTTAGATATTTAGTCCACATATTAGAAAAACACGGTTTTCTTCGTGTCCATACAGAAATTTGATTTCAGTTTTAGCAACTAAACACATTTTTCTCGGCAGTTGCCATCAAAAGAAGTCCTTTTCCAAATACCGCAAACAACAAATGAAAATACAATTTTATCATTTACAAATTTAAAATAAATTGTAAGTGAAGTACTTATTAAACTACTATTTCAACTTTTGTTTTTATCTCCTCAAAAGTTGATAAAAAATTTAGGCCATCAAAGCTAGCGTTGGCCTTTCAAGATGAGACTGATATAACCTTAAAAAAAAAAAATCCTTTGTTTTAAATATTGATTGTTGGCAGAAATTTTAAGTGTTGCTATGATTTCTTTTCAATCTTTTCTTACTTGTTATTCTTGTTTTCCGTGCTGAAGAGGGGCTCCCCATCAACCCCATGTTTGAAACAGCGGTTATTGCTTTTTGTATAGTCAATCGCCTACTCAAAATCTATGGTCTCCCACTCCGTCTATGGGGCAAGCGTGGTTGAATTTGGACCAGGTCGCAACAGACAAAAGCCTGGACCTTTTTGTTTACCTCTTAATCTTAGATTCTAGTGTCTAATCCAAAATTACTGCATATAAAGTTGAAAAATTTTGTTCTGATAGTACATGAAATGATGATTTTATTCTTGAATCTTGAATTTTTTTTCTCCTTTCTAAAACCGAAGGAACCCATGAGAGAGTTTATGATAATTACTTAGCAAAATTCTAGTATATTAGCAACAGTAAGTGCCATTAGCTTATGCCATGATGAGACGAGGTAAAGAGTTTTTCAACGAGTTTCAACTTCCATGAACTAAATATGAAACCTTGGTCAGTTAGTAGGCGTCTAATGCAGGATATCGGAGTCGGAGAAGAGCAAGAGGGAGCTGGAAGCTGCTCCCTCTACGGTGATTCAGGCAGTGTCGCCTCCTCTCCTGGCTAGGCTAAGATGACGGCCCAAAGAGTATGGAGAGATGATTAATATGAGTTTCAAGGTAAAAAAAAAAGTCACTCTCTTGTAAAAGATACTTACCACCGTAAACATAGTATGAAACTCATGCATCGGTGTCCTTATGAAGGCAACGACCTTAAAATTTGAGCTGGCTTCGTTTCAGAGACTCCAAACTTGGGCTCTTCTTTTAAGATGGAGCTCGATCCAAAGCCCAAAGGCTCAGTGTCCTTATTCCCTCCCTATATATGATGCCTACGAGTTGTTGATGATTTATATTTGATGAAATGTTATAATATAAATATTATATATTATCAATCAATTATATAATAATATAAAATAAAAAATTAATTTAAATATATATTTTAAAATTAAGTATATTTATTTTTTAAAATTTTAAAATTAATTTTTTATAAAATATTATTTACTGACAATATATAATATTTATATACTAATAATATATCTTATATAAACTTTTATCATAAAGGCAAAGACGTACGAGTTTGAATGCAGCTTAATTTATTAAATTAAATGACGTCATCCTTAAAACTTTAACTGGACTTTGTTTATTGAATAAAATGAGAGTTCCTTACTTGTGGTACTCTTTTTTGTTATATTATATCCGTCAAAAGCATATGAATTCCTCCTACAATTGTGCTTTTCCCTCTAACATTATCAAAACTAATGCTCACTTACTGTTACAGGTATGAATTATATATTAATATTTGTAAGTTATTTAGGTTCATTTCACATAAAATTTGAATTTGGTTCAATTTTATTGATTCGAGCTTGAGGTCAAATAATTAGACTTATCGATCAAATTGAATTCAAGTATTCATATACTCGAGTCGAATAACTCATGAGCCTAATTAAGTTTTTATTTTTAATATATTTTTATTATTTTAATTAATAAAATATATCGAATTTAAACTCGAGTTTAAGTTTGAGTATAAATAATCGAGTTTTTATTAAATATAATAATTAAATTTATTTTTATATATTAATTGAACTTATTGAACTAATTAAAATAGCTCAATTTTTATCTCTAATTAAATTTGAGCTAAAAAATTTTTGATCGAGTTTGAATTGAACTTAAAATTTTAAATTTTAAATCAAACTAAAATTTAAATTTAATATTATATTAATTTGAATTCAATCGATTTCACCCTACTGAATGTGTATTAGAAAAAAGAGAGTGCTGTATATGGCCCAACAAAGTCGGTAAATTTCACTTTCAGCATTTAATATTTCTTAAATAAACTCTGAATTAAACAACTATAAAACTCAAAAACTGTAATAAGTTCTATGATAGTAATAAGAAGTGGATTAGTCGTTTAAAAGCTTTTTCCAGATTCATATGATATTTAAAAAAAAAAAGATATTTTATAGCTTTAAATTTAAAATTTTAATACTTTTTTTTATTTTTTTAAATTAACAGTTTGGAAATATTAAACTAGAAATAGAACTTGAAACTCGTTAAATTTCTGGATTTATTGTGCTCGTATGAGGTTGGGAAGCGAAGTCAATAGCTAGGCCAAGCTTGGGCCTCATTTGGGCTTAACTTAAAACAGCTTTGATCCATTGTCATATAGGGCAAATCACCTTAGCTTTCTGTTATCACTTACCAGAGAGGAAGAAAATTTACTGAGAAAAGGAAACCTCATTACGAAATACTAATATTTCGTGCAACTGACCAATTAAACATTGTAAATGAAGAGCTAAGCTAGATCAACCTCATTGATTTCTTTAAATATTAAAGCAAAAACAAAGACTAAGCTGAAGTAATGAAAATCCCATATATTCCATAAGAAGTTGATTCATACTGTTGTCAAATGCACGTACTAGATGGAGAAAAGGAAACCCTGAGAAATGCCTAGGAGAATTAAACCTCCAGGATTAATGGTTTTTAAGCCACCAAATCTCAAATAGAGATGGAGCATCCAAGATTGATTTTGGTATTGATTTTAGCACATCTTTGGTCTTCAATTTGCATCGATGTTGGGTAGGCATAGCTAGAAAAAGAAAAAAGAAAAAGCACATATATATATAAGTGACTGCAGCACGTTGATGTGCACTGTTGGCATGGGGTTTGATTTCAAACTATATATATATATGTATGTATATATATATATATCAAGCTCCTTTGTAAGGTTAATGTCTTTCATGCACGTGCATATGTCATTCTGTCTGACCATTTTTCTCCAAATAGAAGGGATTCATTAAAATTTCCTTGTGCGCGAAATGTTTCAGAAGAATTTCAGCTCTTCATATCAACAAAAGGACAGCATTGAAAAGAATATAAAAAAGCTGTCTATGGTTTGTGTTAAAAGTCATTTTGAAGAAGTAATACTTATTTAATTTAATCGATTCAAATAATAATTTTTAATAAGTAATATTTATTAAGTATAAAATTTAAATTTTAATATTTGTAATTTATTTTCTTATCTTAAATTCTTTTAGTACTAACAAAAATGTAATTACGTGCTTAGGTAAAATTAAAGTGTACAAACTCATTTATGCACACCATGTGCTTTCTTTGAAATTGACTTATTTATCAAACTGAAGGGCAATTGATACTGCCGGAGATCCTAAAATGGCTTTCATGGTTCTAGCTGTTTCTCAAATTTGTCTGCACACGATTAACATACTTTTAAAATATTCATCACTAGATAACAAGACATTTCAACTTTCAAAATGTTCATTAACATATTATTGGAGTCTCTTTGAGTTGATGATGATCCAAATTTCATTGCTAAAACCTATTTATCACATAGCTTTAATTAGATTAATAATAACAAATTAGGATTATTATTCAATACTACATCATCCATAATTTTTTTTTTTAATCTTGAATTGGTATAATACCCAAATAAGCCCTCAATTTTTACTCCAAATGCGAACAAGTCCTTAATCTTTTATTGTATGAAATTAATAAACTTTTATTTTATTATAATTAGAATATTGACAATATAAAATATTTAATTTTTTTTTAATTTTTTAATTGAGTGATCTATTTTATAGAAAATACTTATTTAGATTTATTTGGATGAGTTAAATGACAAATATTTAAGGGAATACTATTTTAAAAATTCTATCAATCGGACATTATTCTTCTATTTTTAAGTTTTAATGATTATAATTATAATAAAATAAAATTTTATAGTGTTAATTTCATATAATAAAAAATTTAGTGCTTGTTTGCATTTTAAAGCAAAATTTGAAGGTTTATTTAGTTATTAAGTCTTTAGAGTTTAAAAAGTTAATATAGAGGTGATAAATAAAAAAATTTTAAGTGTTAGAGATTTAAATTTCAAATTTAGTTGGTGATATTTTTTAAAATAATTATACGAAATAATTAAACTAAAATTTAAATTCTAATACATACTTATTTGATTAATTAATTGTTGAAAAGGTGATGGAGCTGGTATTACAATGAAGCCTAGTACTTGTAAAAAGGAAAAATGAAAGAATCATGTATTAAAATATTAGAAAAAAAAGTACAAAAAAAAAAGTGAAAAGTTAACAGGATTTCATTGAAGGTTGAAAAAATTCATCTAATTTTGGGTATCCTAGACTATGAATCTCTTTAAATAAAGCTTCATGCCAGCTTAAAAACACTGTCTTCTCAAATTTTAACACTACAAGTAGACCATGTTCTTCCCCATATTGAGCTTGTTATTTTATTCCAAATCCCACAGGGAAACATCCTCACTTGGAAAAGATAGCAAAAAGCAAAGGATTGTTTACAACCAAGCAATTATTTTTGTTTGCTCCAAATCATCATTTAGATTATTTTATAAGGCAGGCTTTTGCATGGATTTGTGGGTTTTATATATAATATATATTAATCTTCAAGTGGATTCACATAAAAAAATGTGATCATCATATGATGGTAACGTCTTTCATCATTGGAAGCCTTAGGACATGATTAGTTAGTTTTAAGCTGATAATAATAATTAATTTAAATATTTAGTAACGTTATTTTTAAATGATTAAATTATCATGTGCCAACTTATTCTTATGTCATTCCCAATTATAATGCAACTTCACCGACCAAACATAGTTCCCATAAAATCATTCAAAATTTTTAGATTCTTTTGAAATTACAAGTGTTAACCTTGATGTCGCACGTGAATACTGTTTTGAAAGTTGTTGATAAAGGATAGTTATGTCAATTTGCTTAATCCGTACATCTAACATGTGCATTCCAACCCTAGTTTTAACATCGATTAACTGAAAAACCGATTTAAACGTGTGATTTGCTTAGTGGTTAATCACATGGGTGACCACGACATGCGGGACCCACTAAACGCAAAGCCGGCTTTACGGTGTAAACCGCTTATTTTATTGAGGGATGGACATGGACGTGTGAGGAATCACATGATCAACGGCTGGGATTCGTTTTGGAGATCATCAGACGGGTAGTAGAAGTTCGTACGTCTGGTCCCCGAGGTATCCGGTAAAGACCGTGGGAGGAAAGGCAGGAAAGGGTAAAATTGGGAATGGAAATCAAACAATAATGAGGCAAATGATTTAGGTTTGACCGTTGACAGGGATCCAGCAAGTGCGAGGTAACTTTGATCGAAAGTGTACGTGTGGGTAAACAGGATACACGTGTGCTTCGCTGTCCGCCAGTTGCATCAAAATTCGTGCGTCACGTAGAATCCACATGAGTGATAATAATGGAGGCCCAACTTGCCGAGCGAAACCGAGTTGTTAGACACTGGAACTGTCAAAAGTTTTTAAATTACTCATTTTTTCTTGTAATAATGTACTTTCTCCTTCTTAAGAAAATAAATTAGGGGTAAATTTGTAAATTTATCACTAAAGTGCTACTTGCGAATTGTAACATCCTGCAAAGTCGTTGGAAGGTCACAAGCAAAAGCAATTTTCCCCTTTTTTTTTTAATAATTTTTTTAAAATCATAATTTAATTCAATTAATTTATGTGTTATTTTTAAACGTTGATATTTAATAATTTTATAAATTAAATTTTAATATTTTTATATTTTATTTTTTTATAAATTATGATTTAATCTCTATAAATTTAGAGTAATTTAAAATATAAAAAATGCAAGTATAAAAGAGTGACAGAGATCTTCATAAACCTTTCCAACATATTAATGCTTAATTATAGATAGCAATTAATTAGGAAAATTATTAGATTCGTTTATAAAAATATTGTTCAAACTCAATTGCACGAGAGGGCAACCAAAAACATGTGCCACGAATTAGGGGTTGATTCCTGAATTTAAGGTTTGACTT